CTTTCTTAAAAGTATGTATTTTATTTTTATTCAATAGTATGTGAGAATTATTTGTATGGTACGTGAATTTTGTGTGTCTTATTGAAATTGTTGTAAAAATTAGGTGTATTAAAGATGAGAAATACGTGCGTACTTATATAAGACATTATTAAACGCAAAGGTGCTAAAATCTTTATACGGGTAATAACTCTAGAAAAGTAAAAAATGAAAAGAATAATACTAGTCTTACCACATTTTTTATACCACATTTTCATACCACATGATGTGGCAGCTGATGTGTACATATCACCTCATGTAAAATACTAGTTTCTGTTTTTCTAATTTTATTTATTAAAATACACTTCATTCATTTAATTGATGTGGCATATGATATGGACATGCTACATCATGTGGTATAGAAATGTGGGATAAAAATGTGGTAAGTGTAGCATTATTCAGGGACAATAGATGCTCGAGTAATGGCCTAATAGTAATGGATAGGGCTCTTGGGCTATGGAGAAATTTAATTAGGACACCCAAACGATTTCACAAAAGATTTAGTAAAATAGTAATTAATCATTTTGTGGACTTTTCCCACAATTTTTTTTTATACTAATTGATAAATAAACTATAATTACTAATTAAAGTAATTCAAAAAGGCTTAGATGTTACAAAATTACATGTATTAAATTAAAGAGATAGGCCAAATAACAAAAGTAAAGAAAAACTGAGGAAAAAATGAGTACAGACGTGCGGTTATACTGTTTGTTTTTGAAAAAATAGAAAAAAATATAGTATAGCCGGCCGGCTATACTATTTATATACGTATATAAAGTCACGCACAGGGCATATGCGCCACGTATAATATTTTCGTTTTAATTTTATTTTGTAAAAGGCGTATAGCCGGCCGGCTGTACTATTTTTAAGGACAATTAGGGAAAAACTGAGTATAGCCGTACGGCTATGCTTTCTTAAAAGTATGTATTTTATTTTTATTCAATAGCATGTGAGAATTATTTGTATAATACGTGAATTTTGTGTGCCTTATTGAAATTGTTGTAAAAATTTGGTGTATTAAAGATGAGAAATACGTGCGTACGTATATAATACGTTATTAAACGCGAAGGTGCTAGAATCTTTATACGAGTAATAACTCTAAAAAAGTAAAAAATGAAAAAGGGACAATAGATGCTCGACTAATGGCCTAATAGTAATGGATAGGGCTCTTGGGCTATGGAGAAATTTAATTAGGACACCCAAACGATTTCACAAAAGACTTAGTAAAATAGAAATTAATTATTTTGTGGACTTTTTCCACAATTTTGTTTTTATACTAATTGATAATTAAACTATAATTACTAATTAAAATAATTCAAAAAGGCTTAGATGTTACTTAATTACATGTATTAAATGAAAGAAGTTGGCTAAAAAACAAAAGTAAAGAAAAACTGAAGGAAAAACTAAGTATCGCCGTGCGGCTATACTATTTTGTTGAAAAAATAGAAAAGAATCTATTATAGCCTAGCAGCTATACTATTTATATACGTATATAAAGACACGCCCAGGGCATATGCGCCACGTATACTGTTTTTGTTTTAAATATTTTTTTTTCCAAAAAGAAGTATAGCCGGCCGGCTATACAATTTGTTGGAAAAACTGAGTACAGCCGTGCGGCTAAACTTTTAAAGTGTGTATATTATTTTTATTCAATAGTATGTGAGAATTATTTGTGTAACACGTGAAATTTGTGTGTCTTATTGAAATTGTTGTAAAAATTTGGTGTATCAAAGATGAGAAATACGTGAGTACGTATATAAGAAATAAATGCGAATGTGCTAGAATCTTTATACGGGTAATAACTCTAGAAAATTAAAAAATGAGAAAGGGACAATAGATGCTCGTGTAATGTCCTAATAGTAATGGATAGGGCTCTTGGGCTATGGAGAAATTTAATTAGGACACCCAAACGATTTCACCAAAGACTTAGTAAAATAGAAATTAATTATTTTGTGGACTTTTTCCACAATTTTTTTTTATACTAATTGATAATTAAACTATAATTACTAGTTAAAGTAATTCAAAAAGGCTGAGATGTTTCTTAATTATATGTATTAAATTAAAGAAGTAGGCCAAAAAACAAAAGTATAGAAAAACTGAGGGAAAAAACTGAGTATCGCCATGCGGCTATACTATTTTTTGAAAAAATATAAAAGAATCTATTATAGCCTAGCAGCTATACTATTTATAAACGTACATATAGACATGCACAGGGCATATGCGCCACGTGTACTACTTTCGTATTAAATTTTTTTTCAAAAAATGCGTATAGCCAGCCGGCTATACTACCTCCGAAGACAATTAGGGAAAACTGAGTATAGCCGTGCGGCTATACTTTAAGTTTGTGTGTTATTTTTATTCAATAGTATGTGAGAATTATTTGTACAATACGTGAATTTTTTATGTTTTATTGAAATTGTTGTAAAAATTAGGTGTATTAAAGATGAGAAATACGTGCGTACGTATATAATTCATTATTAAACGCGAAGGTGCTCGAATCTTTATACGGGTAATAACTCTAGAAAAGTAAAAATTGAAAAAGGGACAATAGATGCTCTAGTAATGGCCTAATAGTAATGAATAGAGCTCTTGGGCTATGGAGAAATTTAATTAGGACACCCAAACGATTTCACAAAAGACTTAGTAAAATAGAAATTAATTATTTTGTGGACTTTTTCCACAATTTTTTAATACTAATTGATAATTAAACTGTAATTACTAATTAAGTAATTCAAAAAGGCTTAGATGTTACTTAAGTACATGTATTAAATAAAAGAAGTAGGCCAAAAAACAAAAGTAATGAAAAACTGAGTATAGCCGTGCGGCTATACTATTTATATACGTATTTAAAGACACGCACAGGGCATATGCGCCACGTGTACTATTTTCGTTTTAAATTTTTTCCAAAAAAGAAGTATAGCCTGCCGGCTATACTATTTTTAAAGAAAATTAGGGGAAAACTGAGTATAGCCGTTAAAAGCATGTGTATTATTTTTATTCAATAGTATGTGAGAATTATTTGTATAATACGTGAATTTTGTGTGTCTTATTGAAATTGTTGTAAAAATTAGGTTTATTAAAGATGAGAAATACGTGTGTACGTATATAATTCATTATTAAACGCGAAGGTGCTCGAATCTTTATACGGGTAGTAACTCTATAAAAATAAAAATTGAAAAAGGGACAATAGATGCTCTAGTAATGGCCTAATAGTAATGAATAATGCTCTTGGGCTATGGAGAAATTTAATTAGGACACCCAAACAATTTCAGAAAAGACTTAGTAAAATAGAAATTAATTATTTTGTGGACTTTTTCCACAATTTTTTATATACTAATTGATAATTAAACTATAATTACTAATTAAAGTAATTGAAAAAGGCTTAGATGTTACTTAATTACATGTATTAAATTAAAGGAGTAGGCCAAAAAACAACAGTAAAGAAAAACTGAGGGAAAAATTGAGTATAGTCGTGTGGCGATACTATTTTTAAAGACAATTAGGTAAAAACTGAATATAGCCGTGCGGCGATACTTTGAGAAGGGTTTAGGGTTTAGGGAGAATTAGGGAAAAGCCACTTAACCTTCTTCCTTTTCCTAAACGGCTACACTTTTTTAGTTATAAAATGGAGTGTAAGTGGATAAAATTGGAGTGTGGAAATCACCGCTCGTAAAGAAATGCCTAACTTTTCCTTCAAAATTATAAAAAGGCCATATAAGTCCACGAATATGGCAAATCACAAAATTGCAGTCTCACCACACACACACACGTAGGAAACACATGGCTGCACATATGAGAGAGAGAGAGAGAGAGAGAGAGAGAGAGAGAGAGAGAGAGAGAGAGAGTTTTATGCAAAGTGTGAGAGGGTGGGGAGGAGGGATGGTGATGCGATGGGTTTTGGGTGGGCGGAGGAGGCTGCTGCGCAGTAAGGGTTTAAAGTTGTTAGAAGGGGCGGCAAGAAATGAGAAGAAAATCTGTAAACATATATTAATTCTATCTCTCTCTCTCTCTCTCTCTCTCTCTCTCTCTCTCTCTAATTGCAAGTGTATATACTCGTAGCAAATGGAAAGCAGAGGCTTCTAGATTACGAAAAATCCATAGTCTGCATTACGAAAAATCGGCCTAGGCAGCCTGGGCGGGTCTGGGCAGCGCTAAGCGTGTCTGGGCGGCGCTAGGTGGGTCTGGGCGGCGCTAGGCGGAGCTAGGCGGATCTAGGCGGGTCTAGGCGGCGCTAGGCGGATCTGGGTGCCAAGGTGGGTCTGGTTATGTTCTTTTGTTCTTTAAGCCCATTATCAAGCATACGAGCATATCTAAAGGAGCCTATTACTCCCAGGTTTCACGTTCTTTTCATTTTGTTGGATTATCTTCTTATGACTAAACATAATTGATCTGCTAGGTGCACTTTCTGCTTTAATTTTTTACTTATGAATTTGTTATGTATACATTGAATTACAAGCTTTGATAATTAAGTTTTGGTTATTAATGAATCTGGAAATTCTGATATGCGTTAATGCAACTCTAGTAAAAGGAATATATAGTATACAACCAGAAAAACATACAAGGAAAAGTCTTAAACTGTTAGGGCTGTGCATCTAAAATAATTGATTTCAGAAAAACTATCAGGAATAGAAATAAGGAGAATTAAAGCTGTCTAACAGGGTGTATAAATGAATTGGCTTGATTCTAAAGATTGAAGTAGCATATAGCTTTGTTTTTTTGGGTGTTGTAGCAAGAGCGCTTGTTACAGAATTTATTTTCATATGGTAAAGAAAGATAATTTCGTCACTAAAGAAAATAAAATATGAGAGGAGCACCATCAATGGATGAATATTGAATGCATAAAGATTAATCAAGTTCCATTCGGAGTTGGCAGAGGGGAGGAATTGTCATCGTTGTCGTTGGTGTGGTGAGTTGAACATGTCATTTGGGAGAGAGCCAAGAGAGAGGAGAATAAGGCGGGAAGCATGGAGAGGAATGGAATTGGAGGAATTAAGAGTCTCATGATCTCTTCTTCTAGGCAGCTAGGCGGGTTGGCTCATTTTTTGGTGCCGAACTTGGAGGACAAAGCAGCCGAAACCGAGGAAAACAAATCAAAGGTTGAGTTGATAAGGCGAAATGGCTGTGACTGCAAGTGCAAGCTTAGTGTTCATGTTGAATATATTGAAAGCGTATAGCCGCGCAGCTATACTTTTAGAATATTCGAATGTACTAATATTTAAAGAGAGTAGCCAAACGGCTATACACGGCAGCTATACTCATTAACTATAAAATTTTGTCATATCATTTAAGGGTTTAGGGATAAAATACCACTTTAGCCCATTGGGCTACAGTTATTTCTTCAATTATTTTATTTATACAAGCGATGTTGGGGAATGAGAATTTAAGTTCTTTCCGATACATTCCATTCAAATCTGTAAAATGTTGCTACTGGGGTGTGGATGAGGGTGAGGGGGAGCTAGCCATCAGAAGGGAATCTGCACGGTTCAATTCCCCAAGTCTTCTCCACGTAGTCTTGGATTGTTCTGTCGCTGCTAAATATCCCTGACCCGGCTGTGCTAAGGATGCTCATCTGAGTCCACTTATTTGGATCCGCAAATGCTTTATCAACAACAGCCTGTGACAGATTCAAATCCCATGCACCATAGTAAGTTATATAACACCATACTCCAACTGCATATATATGCTTCGGGTTGGGACTGCCAAGTAAACAGAAATAATTACCTGTGCCTCTAAATAGCTCTCAAAATCAGAACCAAGCAAATAGAAGTCTTTACCACCGTCCACCGTATCACATAGAGATTGAAAATAGTCTTTAAAGCAGAAATAGCCCTCTCAGACCATCGTACGCATAATTAGAACCTGAGGAAACAGTTCGCTCAGAACATCACACAATGGTCAAAAACGACACCAAACACATGCCCTATAAAGAATCTGAAAATTCTAGACTGGTCACCCCAATCACTAACTGGCTAAGTGAGTATGATTAGTGACTGTAATTCCGTACCTTATAACATGTGCACATTGCAGTGGTATTTTAGGAGATCCTTCCTCACGCAATTTGGGAACTTCATGAATCTTTGCCCTAAACAAAAACTGGAGAAAGCAAATTCTAAGAGAATTATCCCTGTTATACTACAAAAAAGTATATACTATATACCAATCTAAAATCTTGAGATAGTGAATACACAGATTCCATCTTGCAGAAGTTACAGCAAAAGAAAATTTCAGTTGGTCGACAATACTTGACATCACAATCAGCTAAGCTGAACACAACTACTTGTGATGCCACAAGAAAATACTTAAATGGGACATATTTCTTGAGAAAAAAGTTGCGGCAGAAAAGAGTACAGAAAAAATTAAAAAGAAAGAAAATTGACTACATACCATAAAGAAAACTAATTCCTCATTTGCAAGAGCTGCTTTGAATTCATTCTTTTCCTGTTTCTCTTTGATGAAATGTTGTAACTGCATAAAGAAAATTGGCCTAGGCGATCGTGATTGTACATAATGATGCAGTCCTCAACAATATAGCATATGCATTCATGGTTAGAAAACCTGCTAAATGAGGTAATACAAGCATCTGTCATGTAATTCTCAGTGTTTTACAACTAATAATTTGGAGGTAGGAAAGACAATCCGTTACATGTTTAAGTTTTGCAAAGATTTGTGGCTCAACATCTTCAAGATTGAAGTGATATAGTTACACGTGCCTTCAGAGTTCTTGAAAATTAGAAAACCAACCACCAAAATTTGGAAACTATTCTATAAAAGTAAAGAGATATGCAAATATAAACAACAGCAGACTTAATGGCAGAAAACTATAAAGATGTATCATAGGAGTGGCCTCAGTGCCCTCCTAAGAACATTGAAGAAATATTTTCCTTTTCCAACACCTGTTACAGACCAATTAGCAAAGGACTTTTGACATACCTCATGGTGAGAGCTTTTAAATTCTGCAAAGACTCTCTTGAACTGATGAAAAGCTCGATAGAAATAGGATCTGAAGTTAGGCCCAAGCGTCTTCAGCAGAGGGCCATCAGAAAGGTTGTTTATGAACCGCAAAACATCAGATTTGTTGAGTTAATGTGAGATTATATTTTGTAAAAAGCAAAATAGGTCAATTGTCGAAAACACTTGATGCTGTCAGTGCTGACGGGATTTAAATTCCCGCGACAGTTCACAGATGGTCAGAATATTATATTGACTATATATCAACCTATCTGAAGTTCTGAACTACTACTACGAGTGTGGGATATCCAATATTACCTTCAAGAATGTGCATCTTGTGAATTGTCGTTGAACCCTTCAAGAACACGCGCTAGGCGGGCGCTAGGCGGGCGCTAGGCGGCTAGGCGGTCGTTAGGCGGCTAGGCGGTCTCTAGGCGGTCGTTAGGCGGCTAGGCGGTCGCTAGGCGGCGGCTAGGCGGGTTGGGTCTTTTTCCGGTGCCGAACCCGGAGGACGAAGCACTGACTGCGAGAGCAAGTTCCGTCCTCTGCGAGTGCAAGCTTCGTGTTTGTCTTGAATATATTTGAGGAGTAGAGCCGCGCGGCTATACGTTTAAAATATTAGAAAGTATAGCCGACCGGCTATTCTGTTAAATTTTAAATTATCTTATACATTTAAAGAGTATAGCCGCGCGGCTTTACGCCTTAAATATACAATTTTGTCATATTATTTTAGGGTTACGGGCTAAAATACAAAAAACACATGAGAAGAAAGCTCCAACTGCACATCATATCTCATTGAAAAATCAACAAATTACTGTCCAACAACTTCTTAAATTACCGTGACAAGAAGATGAACTAGGTATGCACAATGCTGAAGGATGGTGATAGCTCCCTTTAGAAGGTATATGGTAGTTCTTTGTTAATAAGTTACAAAAATATGGAATGCAAAGTTTTTCCCCATATAAAATCATATTCACCTTGATACAGTCATATCGATGGATAATGCCAAGTATATTAAGCAGCTGCCTTTTGTACTCGTGTATTCGCTTTGTGTGCACATCAAACATTGTATCTAAACTAACCTGCAGTTGAAAGTGACAAATTTCAGTGTAATCTATTAGACATACCTTCAAGACAAAAGAGAAAAGATGAACAGGATAGAAGTTCTAAGAACTTGTGACCAAAACTTCACACCACTCATTGCTTCAATGTACTCAGCGAGCCTCATTTTTGTTAACCTTCCTAACCTACAACATGAGCATATATACAACAGATTTAAATAATAATAATACAAAAGAAGAGCCAAAAGCTTAATATATTTTTGGTTCCTAAGCAGATATCAAGCCTAGAGAGTACCATCATCCATTATTGTTGAAGGTCAGGATCTGCTGCAGAACAATCGCAAGCACATGTGATATTACACAAAATGTAGCGAAGGAAGTTAGAACAACCATTTTCCAAATTAAGCAAACATCTTATAATGAAATCAAGATAGGAACTTATAACAAGCCCTCGTTAGAGTAACAATGTCCAAAAACACAAGATGAACACCACACCACACCACACTCAACACACATAATTGCTCATTACTGTTGTAAATATAAAAAAACATGAGATATCACTTAGTACAATCAAATAGTTCTTCATTCCTCGTCGCTCAAATCATTGAACACATCGCGCAAATCATTGAGCATTTCATCCCACGTCTCATCCACATGCAAATGAAATGAGTATCCATCAACAGGAAGAACAAAATTGTCCATACCACGAAGAAATTCAGGAAATTCAGAACCCTCGCACATAAATTTACTAATATGATACGCAAGCTTTGATATTTCATCGTCGTTCTCATTGAAACTAGAACAATCTCTGGCGTCCAACATCACCAGATCTTCAGCAACGTTACAAGACCATCCCAATTAACTTTTGCACCCTTCAAATTTAAGTACTTGATATTAGGCACCAACTTCACAATTGACAATGCCTCACGTCCATGAACAGAGCCTTTGATTCTTGCAATGTTTTTGTATAATTGCAAGTATTTTCGCCAAATTTAAGCATGAACCCAATGACAACACCTCCAAATTTTTCCACTTGCCAATCAGCTCTAGGATCGTGTGTTTGCTGTCCAATAAATCTCATGGTAAACTCAAAGTCACAAGGCCAGGACACCTGTGCAAATTCCACAACAACAAAAATGCTACATTTACATTTACAAGGGAAATTAAACTATACTTGAGGGTTTTGAAAATTAACTTAAACAAGTGAAGAAAACTTACACATTTGCAGCAAATTCAAAGGCTTCTACTGTGCAGCATTTGGGAAGCTTGAGCACAGTAGCGTTTCCACTGCTCCGATTGATCACAAACTTTAAAAAAGCGGTGACAGAGCAACGATCCCCATCAATATCATACTCACTCGCAAATCTGTCCATAAGATTTTGAAAATCCGGGCATTCAGACACATCCCAAGGCCAGACTTCGATACATTTGTTGTCTGGGAAAATGAGCAGTTGCCAGCATGAAGGATTGAGGGTCGGCTTGTACCATGACTTGCACACAAAAGGAACATCCAAAAGCAGTGACTCCATTCCAACTTTCTCGAACACTTTGACCAAGCAGTCCATTTCTAAGTCCTCCCTTCTTCGTTCGTCCATATGCAATAACGATTTAATATAACTACATCTGTATAAAATAAATTAATTAAACACCAAACTAAAAGAAAAAAATCATAAATTTCAAAAGAATACAAAGAAACCTGGGAAAACAATCATATGGTCATCCTTTTTCCTATGTAATAAGAACAAACAAGAGAATTAATTGATGAAGTGTTGGATAATTGTTCATTCAACAAGGACTTTCCGCATTCCAATGCAGTGCATGCTCTGGATGTTCAAAAGGACTGTTCGCATTCCAATGCAGTGCATGCTCTGTAGATTCAAAAGGACTTTCCACATTTCAATTATGTGGATTGGTTTCAGAGGCTGATTAGGGCTAAGCACAGTTTGATTAACTGGACCAAGTGCTTGGAACTGCCTACCAAACTGAAACCGATCACGTCGATGAAGGAAATTATGGGACCAACATCGACCCGCCACTCTCATCTACCGACCACAGTCGGTTCATGACCAAACAAATGGTTCGATGCAGGTCGGTTCCAACGAAGAGAGAGTGCGAGAAGAAAGAGAAAGAGAGGTTGAAGTACTAATCATGTATTATTGCAGTACTTAACATGTGAAGCAGTAGATGTCCTGAATAATGGGGATAGCATAAAACGGTGCAGATGCTAGTGAGGGGAATTTATTCCACCTGTCAAGGAAATGCCAATTAAACTCATTTGTTGAAGACCTGATTAAAAGGTAACCACTAAAAACTAGAACCTAACTATTATTCATGGATTTTGCACACATAAAGCTCTTAATTACCAACTATCGAACACTATAAATATGGCCACATATGCATGTTCTGCATGTTGTGTATTAACCATATGCTATTATTGAATGGAATGGTAATGATATACCAAGGGAATAAACTCATACTTGCATAGGAAAGAGAATAAGTCAACTCTAAATTAGATCATGATAAAGATAATCTTTTTTAAAGTAGTTTAGTCTTCAATGCATAGAACCCTTAATTTATTAAGTAGCCAATCACATATTCGTAGTTCAAAGTTTTCCATACCTTCAACCACCATCTCTTTCCCCTCTCTCTATATAACCTTCAAATATATGGTGAACCTCCATCCAAGAGTAGAAAGACGTCTTCCATTTGATGCTGCACACATGAAGTAACAAGGAGTTGAACATGAGAAACAGAAATATATAAGTTTAGGGGCATCTTCTATAATAAGGTAACAAATCTCTATAATAAAATATTTGACATTATTAATGGAATTGCTCAGGGGCTCATCTATCTTCATCATGTAGGTCTTTTAAGTGTGCAGCATAACCCGGCAGATAGGCCGAGCATGCCAGCTGCAGTTGGAATGGAGTCACAGTCCTTTTACACTAATGGAGTCTCGATAAACATATTTCATATTGGTGTGTTAATCTGGTACTTTTGAAGTCATTTTGAAAAGTTAAATATAATTAAGAAATTCCCAACCCATGCGTTAGCAAATGCACCCTCTAATTTTTATTTATTTGTTTTCTTTGGAGTTAAGGTGGAGTTCACACTACAGAAACACAGATGCTGATACAAGAACAAATATAAATGCTTAAATGAACTAGATTTTTCACTTGAGGTGGTTTAATATTTCAATTTTTTTTTCTGTTCCTATGCACAAGAGGAGGAGGAGACAAATCTTTTTTTTCTTTTTCCCTGTTCCTATGCGCAAGAGGGCATGATCAAATTTCAAAATCTATTACAGAAATGCAATATCCAAAGAATGAAAAGCAGTCCAACCAAGAACCATGAACGGATGAATTTTGAATGCATAAAGATTTATCAAGTTTCAAGCAAGAAGAACCAAACAAATCAATCTATTGCTTAACCAAACCAGAAATAAATAGTCAGAATTTGAGATTGGGGTCTAAAAACCGAACCTTGTTATTGGCAAGACCATAGAAACTCCTCGATAAGATAGCTTCATCATTTCCTTCCACCGAAGACAGACTCCAAGTCAGCAAATTTTGTATTTGTTTTGTTCTACGCCATGTCGTCAATGCTAAGAGAGAAGATAATAAGGCAGAGTTGGCAGAGGGAGGAATTTTCGTCGTTGTCGTTGGTGTGGTGAGGTGAAGATGTCGTTTGGGAGAGAGCCAAGAGAGAATAGAATAAGGCGAGAAACAGGGAGAGGAATGGAATTAGATGAATTAAGAGTCTCATAATCTCTTCTTCTATGGACCTGATTGTCAGGGTACCAGCTCGGTAGGCACTCCCAACTTGCGTGGGCACGACCACTCTCATCCGTTGGGTGGTTGGTGAGGCTAAACTGAGCCCCCCCTTTTTTTGTGTGGTTATTTTGTTATTTTCTTTTTTCATAATGTCTTGAGCAGATGTGGCAGCGGGGCACATGTGCTTTATTCTCCGTTTGGTCGGCTAGGAGTGGCTGGACCATGAATATGGTTTTTGGTGGAGAGAGGGAGAGGAAGAGCAGTGGTTGACAATCATTTGCCGACTCTTGCCCAGTTCAACTAAAGGAAATTGAAGTCAAGAGGGGCTTGCCACCTGGTGAGTAATAGTGCCCATGCATGCAACTATTGGAGACCGAATGCTTTGATGTTGCCTCTGTCTGCTTTAAGTTCTGGAGGATGTAATATCAGAACACGGAATGCCTATCTAGCTAGTTGAGCCTTCCTTGCCCACCTTTTCATTTATTTATTGGCCCAGCCTTCATTCTGCTCACTCATTGAGAGAGAGGGAATTGTCACACATTTATGGCAACTTAACTGCCAGGTGGGTTTGGCCATGCAACGTGGTATAGATGGCCATGCATAATACCGAGCCGAGCACTTGGAGGAGGCGAGCACCATGCAAGGTGGTGGACGACCATGCAAAGTGATCGGCGCTCATCCACGATGGTCGTGTCTGCCATGCAAGGTGGTGGGCGACCATGCAAAGTGGTCGGCGCTCATCCACGATGGTCGAGTCTGCCATACACCGTGGCGGGCGACCATGCAAGATGGTCGGCGTTCATCCACGATGGTCGGGTTGGCCATGCAAGGTGGCGGGCGTTCATGCAAGGTGGTCAGCGCTCATCCACGATGATCGTAATTTGGTTCATGTATCGACACATAATAACAATATGATATTGTAAGATATTATGTTATGACAGCGCATCACAAATACTAAGTTGAGATATTATACCTAGATATTTATGTTTGGATATTTATGCAAATAGATATTATGCAAACAGATATTTTGTTGAGATGAAGATATCTGGTAATGGGTGATCTCATTCGAGAGGAGAATGGAGTGTGAGGAGGTGGCGTCTCTGGTTTCTGGAGAAACAGAGCATTGTAGGGAGCTGCCTTCTTTTCTTGTTTCATGTTTGTTTCCAAGGATGGGAGATCAGAGTGGGTGAGACTTCGATGGCGGAGTGGATGTCGAAGTGGGTGAGAGCTGCATAACGTTCTTTTTTCTTCATGGCAGGGATGAGGAACCTGGTGGTGTCATGAATGTCTGCGAAGGCCTCGGTGGTGAACCCAACGAGAGTTCGGAGCACGGTCAGGTTGGAGTCGAAGACCTTGACCCGCTCCAAGCCTTGAGGTTGGGACTTGAGCTGTCGGTGAGTCTGCCTTAGTCCACAGAAGTCAGCGTGAGATGATAAGAGGGAGAGAATGAGGCAAGGAGACACATGGGTGTCTTGGGCAGATTTTGAAGTGTGGAGAACGTGACCTTTTCTGCTTGTCTTGGTTAGCTAAGAGTGCTGGGACCATGAGGATGGTTGTTTTTGGCGGGGATGAGCTTCCAGGTGTTAAGAAAAATGAGAACAGCATGTCTTTCGTGCCAGTTCCCACAGACGGCGCCAAATGTTGAACTCGTAATTTTGGAATAGCCGTAATATCGCAATCATACAAGTAAAACGAAGAGATTGAGTGGTTCACCCATGAATCCGGGCTACATCCACTAGTTGTATTTGTATATATGTGTAGAGAGTTGTATTACATTGAGATAGGCTTGAGAGCCTTTACCAAATGGGAGAGGAGAGAGATCTGGAGGAAAAGAGAGAGAGTTGTATTACATTGAGATAGGCTTGAGAGCCTTTACCAAATGGGAGAAGAGAGATATGGAGGAAGAGAGAGAGAGTAGCCGAGAGCACTCTCTTATCTTGGCTCCTTGTCTTTTTTGGGGTCCCCCTTCAACAAGAGGAGAGAGTCCTTTTTGTAGGAGAACAACAACTGACTTCTCTCCCTAGGCCTGCCGACGTGGCAGCCCATTAGAGCATCTCCACCCACAAGGGCTAAGTCTAGGGCAAGGGCAAGCAAGGGCTGCCACTATTCACGTAAATAGTGTCAGCCTTTGCATTTGTGGTTCCACCCATGAGGGCAAAGTCTAGGGCAAGTCTAAGGCAATTACTATTCATTGTACTTTATTTCCTATTTTTTTATACTTTAAACCATTAATTTTGATAAGCTTTTTATATTATATTTTCGGTTGTCACGTATCACTATTTATATTTTGGATGAAGATTTGGTGTGGAAAGTGAATAAAATTGTTAGGTATTTATAGGGAAAAAATCCAGAATTTTTTTGTATTTTTTTGCAATTTTTTATGCCATTTGTTTTTTTTATACAAATGGAAAGTAGTAGAAAAATGTGAGGGAAAAAATAAAATGGTTATGTATTTATAGGGAAAAAATACATAATTTTTTGGTATTTTTTTTAAAAAAATTCAGATTTTTTTCGATTTTTTTTCAATTTTTTTAGCCAAAAAAACGAGGACTGTCGGATTGTTGGAAAAAAAAAGGATCGAAGAGTCAGGGTTGCGACACGTGGCACATTACCGTGCGATGATGTCACTCTGACGTCATCGAACTCGGGCTGAAGCCCAATGGAAACTTGCCCTTGGGCTTGCCCGGGCTGGTGGGACCCAGGGCTTGCCCGGGCTGGAAGTGGAGCGCTGGAGCTGTTTTGGGCTATCTGGGGGGGCCTATTGCCCGATTCTGTGCCTGCGGTGGAGGTGCTCTTAGAGGCCCACTCAAGTGAGGTAAAACCGTGTGTCAACAATAAGCGTGTACAATATAAAATCCATAGTCCTACATTTCCCCACTCCGTTATAACCTTTCAGATTTTTTTATTTGGATAATATCTGTCTTAATTCATTACCGTACGGCAAAGCTAATTGGTGTTGCTGAAGACTTTTTCAGAAAGAGGTTTGTGCAAAAAAGAACAAACATATCAATATCTCGAATTCTCAATGCATTGTGTCCACGTTTGCATCATTTGATTATCCTCAATTATTAATGATTTTTTGTAGTCATGTTTCAATATAATTCTTCAAGCTCTTTAGCTTAATTTACAATTACAAGTATATAAAAACTAAAAAGATTCGGTTGATTAGTCAAACCCTTTATGGTCGAAAGAAACTAAGACATGGAGAATTTTATTTTATTTTTTGAATACCGATAAATGAGTGATTAGAACTTGAAATATCTTCTAAGGACTCGTTTAAAAGTGATTATGGATAGGCCAAAATCACTTATGAGAAGAAGCACCTCACATGCGTTTTTTCCATAAAATTTAGAGATTAGAAGTGCGTTTTGTTTACTACTTGAAATCTAAGTGGTGCAATCTTCAACTGGATTTAAGCAAATAACTTCCTATATTATATTGATATTTGACTTGTTAATTACAAAAAAAACTTCATTAAGAAATCATATGAATACTCAAACATCGGATACAAAAATCCAAAATTAATTGACCGAGGGGTTTACTTCAGTGGCGAGGTCCCTCCTCCTTCCCCCTTGGTCACTCCTTCAAATTCCAGAATAAGTGTCTTCCTCCCCAATGCAATGTGTCTATCGCTAATTGTATAAAATAAAATAATTTTTTTAAAATTAATTAGATATTATATTTCAAACTAATCAATAGGTTTATATTTTGATAGGATAAGGACACGATGTCCATGTTTACAAGAAGGTGACAACTTAACCTTTTTTCCCAGCAACATGTCATGTAGGCCAGGGCAGTGGGGGCTGATATACATATAATTCATAGTAGTATTTGTTTTTTTTTTCTGGGGTGTTGAGATTGACATTTTTGGGGAGATAGTTACGTCCCTACGAATGTGTGTGGGTATCAAATTCTAAAATCGTCAGTCTTCGGGGCTCGTCATCCAATACGTAGGTGGATCTCTGCTACCATTTTTTTTTAGGTTTTTATATGTTTGGAATAAGTCACAAAGAGTCTTTGAGTTTTTTGTGTAGTTTTCATCTCTCCTTTGTGAGAGCCTTTCACCTCTCTTTTGTGAGCCTTTTTCACCTTTACTTTGTGAGAATTTTATTTGTATTGTTATGACTTTGTATTTTTAAACTTGATCTATTTTTGGTTATTCTGAGTTTGCTCTCTTGGTTGGGATGCTTATGCTAGAGTTTCTTCGATCATGCTTGATCGTTAGTAGAGAAGACCTAGATTGTCTTAATTTTGATGTTAAATCTCTCTGTTATTATAATGGCCTTTTGTGATTAGTTTGTATTGGCCCTTTGTGGCTAGTGGCATAAATGTAATCCCAAAATTTCTCAAATATATATATATATATTGTTTATTTTCTCTCATAATAATGTCATAATTAACCACGGTTATATCCATGGACATGTATCAAGTCTTGAGAACACATTTTATTAAAATAGTGAATAAAAATGCTCACTGATTTTAAAACAATAACCATAATATCATCACATTTTAAAACCCTAAACCATAAACCTGGATTGAATTTTACTTGCCTTTGATTTATTATTTATTATTTTTATTTTTTGAATGAACACTATGATGACGTTGTCCAATCATCATCACTTACGTTGTAAGGTACTGAAACTTTGATAGAGCCCAGGACTAAGTTTGAATTCATATTATCTGCAGATACATACAAATGCATGGAAGATTCCATCAACCATGGAACAAGGGGTGGCTGTTGTGCCTGCGTAGCTTAGCTATTGTTTCAATCCACTTGGCTATTGTTTTCATCAATCTAGCTGTCGCCAAACGACACTAAACTACAGTTGATTTGTGTGAGATTCATTTTAGAATTCATACGACGAAAATCTATAAATCACGTCACACGCAGATATATCATATTGGCATGTATATATGTGGCTCTACATATTATAGAGTATGCATATAAAATTAAGGTTATTAATGACAAGTTAATGTCATTAATTAAGTTCGTCCCTACACGAATTGACCAAGAACATGTGCATTTTTCTTTCTTTCTTTTTCCTTTAGCTTTCATGTGTCGGTTTATTAGTCTATTATTTAAACAAATTTTAATTAAATTATCAGGTGGAATAAAGGTCCTAGACATATCAATTTGGAACATTCTTAATACCAAACTCTAGCCCTCTTTCTCTCAAAAAATTCTCCTAGAGTCGTTTTCACTTTAAGGGGGGAGAAAACTACTATTCTTCCTCTCCTCTCCCCTCTTCTTCCCTCATTTTTAGAGACAAAAGGTTTTTCCTATCTATCTTTGTTTTGTTATGATTTTCATTCAACACTCACAGGCGACTCCAACCATCACACGTTGACAACACATATTGGGTGACGTGGAGTACATATGGATGTTGGATTTTAACATGTGGGCTAACCTAGCTCTGATACCATGAAGGAAGTTGACGTTCAACATATAAACCAATTGGCAATGTGGGGAGTGGCCCAACTCCTTATAAGCCCTTGATAGGTTTCTCAACTTTTCAATGTGGGACTCTTTACCTTTACATTCTCACAGAGGCGCACCAGATTCCACTTCGTTATTGTATTGGCACTTGGCTAGTGGATTTTTCAGTTGAATTATGAATACAATCATATAATTTCTTTATAAAAAAATGACGTATCAATTTGGAGGGTTTTTATTAATAAAAAAAACTTCAATCTTCTTACATGCATAAAGGTCCTAAATGAAAGAAACCCTAGCCACTCGCTCCCTCTGTGAATCCTAAAGGAAAACTCCATAGAGGGGGGAGGAGGAAGAAGCGTCACTGTCCCTCCTCCTCCTCCTCCCCCTCCTCCTTTCTTATCGTCTTTTTCTTTTAGGTTAGTGAATAAGTTCACTGGGACGTTTTGAAAAAAAAAACTCATCGTGGTGGTTTCTTTTGAGCCATAGTTAGATTGAAGTTCCCCATCACCCCTTTTACTCTATGTTCTCAATCAAATCCTGCTCCCAAAACCCACTCCCTGATGTCGCTCATGTTCTATAAATTTGATTACACATCGTCTTTGACGGAAATTGCTACAAATCACCCAATTGTTCTTTGGTAAAGTTGTTGTTTTCGTTTATTTTGTTCGCTCTTATGCGCAGGTAGATTGTTGGAAATCGTACTCATGAGTTATTTTAGGGTTTTGATTATGTTGAGTTTATGGGCTTATAGTTAATTGTGGTGATGTGAGCTAGTAGTTTTAGTGTGGTTTTTGTCCACGTTAGTTGTGTTTTTAGCATGTTAATTTGCTGCCCTCTTGGGATTGGTATTTTAGATATCTTATTGACGTCTTTGATTTATATCGTTAAAATTTATCTAATTAAATAAATTAAAAAATAAAATAAAAAATCCTACAACGAAATAAATTTATCATTGTTGTTAGATTTCTTTTGTATTTCTAGTCCTTTTTCGAACTGTTGCTGCGTAACCTGGTCAATGCCATGTGGTGTTCTATCATTATTGTATCTCTTTAGCTTCTGCTTACTTCTATTGACCAAAAAAATATCCAAAGTTTTTTAATGAGCTTTTTCTTTTCTTCTATGCAATTTCAGTGGTCTGCTTTGTATTGAATTCTTATATCTGATCGCTTGTACGGTTCACCGACGAAATCAAATATGCCAATATATTTTATTTGTTTCCATTTTATGAAAGTGGTGGGTGTGAGTTGTGTTGTGACAATAACATTTTGGCCCTAAAGCATTTAATTAGAATTACAACTGACTGAAACCGCGTATAAATAATCAAATAATGACAAATAGTTTATGATGCGCATACGATACTGATGGTGTAGTACTAATATTTCGTGAACGCGTCTACAGTTATATAAATAATCAGTCACAAAGTTAGAAATTATAAAATTATTCAAACTTATGAATTCTTATCAACGGGGTCTAATATAGTGAAAACTAATCTTGATTTATAGATTAATGGTTTCAAATTTGAACTCTTATTGTACATTTGTAACGTGTGTGTGAGAAACCTCTCTTATATTGTAATTTCGACTATCACTTACATTATATATGTATAATTTTTCCGCTACATATAAATTACGTGTTACTCTTTTTTCGGTTAATGCTGCTATTTACATATCTACAAATTGATTGGTCAACCACGTGGTGTTTAATTTTTTGTTGACAGTACAAACATGTGTTTACTCAAGGTATCGAGAGTCATGAAATTCAAACTCATTACTTTGAATGAAACAAAATGACAAGAAAACTATCCAATTTGGTCTTCTTTGTCACTGTTGATGTATACAAAGGAAATTACTATGGCAAGTGGGTACTGTTTTCATTTTCCTTGTTATTCGCCAAATTATCAACTAATTTGACTTCGCCAAATGGATTTTGACATTTGAATTCCAAACTGATTCCATATATATATATATATATATATATCCTGTTGTAATAGTAATTTCCACACGTCTATTGTTTGGAGTACAATATAAATTCAATATTTAATAAAGATGACACTCTCAATAGTTTATAAATCTATATATATAAAGCAAATGACAGAGAATGGTGAAACATTCAAAATACCATAAAATGCCTTTGGTTAATGCAAACATTAATAATTGAAATTATTAATTAAATAAGAATAATATGGTAAATTCACACTTTTTCACATTAAAAAAAATTAAAATTAAAAGAAAAATAAGATAATGAACCTTATATTTTTATGGAACACAACTACCCATTACCTTTTTTAATTCTAAAAATAAAGTAAAAATAAAAAAGAAAACCAATTGGCACATGCGAGAGCATGTGCCAAGAGGCTAGTAACCAGTTAAACATAAATTAAGGGAGCTGTTATTGGCACTTTTAAAAAGTTGCCGTGCACTCTTTTCTAATGAAAAAAGAAATAAGTGAATAATGAACACATTGTTTTATAGTGCTAATAACAATTTCCTACATTAATATGTAATATGACGCGCTGTGTAATTATGGAAGCTCGTTTTTGAGAATTCGAGTATTGTAATATGTTCGATTTAGCAAACATTCCTATTTTTATAATCAAGTAACCATCAAACTAGTTAAATATATGTATTTTTTTTTTCGTTTGTTATGAGTTCATTGTACTTGTTTTGGGAATCAAATAAGGCACAAACCAGCTAAACATGCGCTTTCTTATTTTGAGTTTTTGACCAAAGATTGATTGTCTTCTTGGTTAATTCAAACATTAAGAATTGAAATTATTAATTAAATGAGGATAATATGGTAAATTCACATTTTTATATTAAAAAAATTAAAAATTAAAAACAAATAAGATATAGGTCATACTTTTCTAGAACATAACTACCCATTATCTTTCTTAATTCTAAAAATTAAAAAAATAAAAAAAAAAAAAAAAAAAAAATGCGTGGCTAGTATGTATTATATAAGTAATTACAAGTTATAAGTTTGATTTTGAAAGGGCTTATGCTAGAGTTTCTTCTATCATGCTTGATTGTTAGTGGAGGAGACCTAGATTGTCTTAATTTTGATGTTAAATTCCTCTGTTATTGTAATGACCCTTTGTGGTTAGTTTTTATTGGCCATTTGTGGCTAGTGGCATAAATGTAATCCCAGAATTTCTATAAATATATATATATATATATATATATATTGTTTAAAGTATTGTTTATCTCTCATAATAATGTCATAATTAACCACGGTTATATCCATGGACATGTATCAAGTCTTGAGAACACATTTTATGAAAATAGTGAATAAAAATGCTCACTGATTTTAAAACAACCATAATATCATCACATTTTAAAGCCCTAACTAAACCCTAAACCTGGATTGAATTTTACTTGCCTTTGTTTTTTATTTTTTGAATGAACACTATGATGACGTTGTCCAATCATCATCACTTACGTTGTAAGGCACTGAAACTTTGAAGGAGCCCAGGATACTAAGTTTTGAATTCATATCTATCTGCAGATACATACAAATGCATGGAATATTCCATCAACCATGGAACAAAGGGGTAGCTGTTGTGCCTGCGTAGCTTAGCTATTGTTTCAACACACTTTAATTCAATCCACTTGGCTATTGTTTCATCAATCTACCTGTCGCCAAACGACACTAAATTACAGTTGATTTGTGTGAGATTCATTTTAGAGAATATACGACGAAAATTTATAAATCACGTCACACGTAGATATATCATATTGGCATGTATATATGTGGCTCTACATATAGAGTATGCATATAAAATTAAGGTCATTAATGACAAGTTAAAGTCATTAATTAAGTTCGTCCCTACACGAATTGACCAAGAACATGTGCATTTTTCTTTCTTTCTTTTTCCTTTTGCTTTCATGAGTCGGTTTATTATTCTATTATTTAAACAAATTTTAATTAAATTATCAGGTGGAATAAAGGTCCTAGACGTATCAATTTGGAACATTCTTAATACCAAACTCTAGCCCTCTTTCTCTCAAAAAATTCTCTTAGAGTCATTTTCACTTTAAGGGGGGAGAAAACTACTATTTTTCCTCCCCTCTCCCCTCTCCCCTATTCTTCCCTCATTTTTAGAGACAAAAGGTTTTCCCTATCTATCTTCGTTTTGTTATGATTTTCATCCAACCATCATATGCGACTCCAACCATCACACGTTGACAACACATATTGGGGGACGTGGAGCACGTGTGGATGTTGGACTTTTACATGCGGGAGGAGAAAGAAGCGTCATTGTCCCTCATCCTCCTCTCTTCTCGTCTTTTCCTTTTAGGTTAGTGAATAAGTCCACTGGGGTGTTTTGAAAAAAAGCCCATTGTTGTGGTTTCTTTTGAGCCATGGTTAGATTGAAGTTCCCCATAACCCCTTTTACTCTATGTTCTCAATCAAATCCTGCTCTCAAAACCCGCTCCCTGACGTCGCTCATATTCTATAAATTTGATTCTACATCGTATTTGACGGAAATTGCTGCAAATCACCCAATTGTTCTTTGGCAAAGTTGTTGTTTTCGTTTATTTGTTCACTCTTATGCGCAGATAGATTGTTGGAAATCAGAGTTTCCCCAGATCTGTTACGGATGCGGTGGTGGGTGTGGTGGCAACGGCGCTTCATCAAGTGGTGGTAGGGTTCATCTAGGCTCATGGGTTGTTTTAGGGTTTTGGTTATGTTGGCTTTGTTTGGGCTTATGGCTAATTGTGGTGATGTAGGCTAGTAGTTTTAGTCCGGCTTTTGTCCGCATTAAGTGTGTTTTTAGCATGTTAATTTGTTGCCCTCTTAAGATTGATATTTTAGATGTCTTGTTGACGTATTTGATTATACCGTTGAAATTTATCTAATAAAGTTTTTATTTGATTATTAAAAAAAAGTACTAAACGAAATTTTATCATTGTTATTAGATTTCTTTTGTATTTCTAGTCCTTTTTCGAACTGTTTCTTTGTAACCTGGTCAATGCCTTGTGGTGTTCTAGCATTATTGTACCTCTTTAGCTTCTGCTCATTTCCATTGACCAAAAACAATATCCAAAGTTTTTGAATGAGCTTTTTCTTTTCTTCTATGCAATTTCAGTGGTCTGCTTTGTATTGAATTCTTATATCTAATCGCTTGTACGGTTAACAGACAAAATCAAATTTGCCAATATATTTTATTTGTTTCCATTTTATGAAGGTGATGGGTGTGAGTCGTGACAATAACATTTTGGTCCTAAAGCATTTAATTAGAATTACAAGTTACAACTGACTGAAACCGCGTACAAATAATCAAATCATGACAAATAGTTTATGATGAGCGTACGATACTGATGGTGTAGTATTAATATTTCGTGAACGCGTCTATGGTTACATAAATAATCAATCACAAAGTTATAAATTATAAAATGATTCGAACTTAAGAATTCTTATTAACGCGGTTTAGTATAGTGGAAAATAGTCTTGATTTATAGATCAATGGTCTCAAATTTAAACTCTTATGATACATTTGTAGCTTGTATATGAGAAACCTTTCTCATATTGTAGTTTATACTATCACTTATACGTATAATTTTTCCACTACATATAAATTATGTGTTACTCTTTTTTCGGTTCAGTGCTGCTATTTACATATCTACAAATTGATTGGTCAACCACGTGGTGTTTACTTTTTTGTTGATAGTACAAACATGTGTTTACTCAAGGTATCGAGAGTCATGAAATTCAAACTCATTACTTTGAATGAAACAAAATGACAAGAAACTATCCAATTTGGTCTTCTTTTTGACTGTTGATGTATAAAAAGGAATTTACTATGGCAAGTGTATATATATATATATACTGATGTAATAGTAATTTCCACACGTCTATTGTTTGGATTACAATATAAATTCAATATTTAATAAAGATGACACTCTCATTAGTTTATAAATAACCAATTAAGCATATATTAAGGGAGCTGTTATTGGCACTTTTAAAAAGTCGTCATGCACTTTTTTCTAATGAAAAAAGAAATAAGTGAATGATGAACACACTGTTTTAGAGTGCTAATAACAATTTTCTACATTAATATGTAATATGACGTGCTTTGTAGTTATGGAAGCTCGTTTTTGAGAATTCAAGTATTGTAATATGTTCGATTTAGCAAACATTCCTATTTTTATAATCAAGTAACCATCAAACTAGTTAAATATATGTATTTTTTTTTTCGTTTGTTATGAGTTCATTGTACTTGTTTTGGGAATCAAATAAGGCACAAACCAGCTAAACATGCACTTTCTTATTTTGAGTTTTTTTACCAAGGATTGATTGTCTTCTTGTTCATGAAATGATATTTTCATTAAAACAAACACAAAAAATTGAAGATGAAGATAAACAAGGTAAGAACCAACTGCATAAGGACAATCCATGATAAAAAAAAATTAAAAATTTGTAGCGTCCAATTATATATATATTATTTTTAATATGGTGCATGACGTAGGTCCTAAGAGTAAGAGAATAATTATATTTTTATAACAAGAATAAAAAACAGAGGAGCTGGAAGACAGTCAAAACTTAAAATGGCGGTGAAATCGAAGGCAGGTGAGAAGGAAGTCATACGACGACGTTTCCAAGGGGAGGATCAAAAGATCCGCGACAGCATATTCCATTGTCATTGAAATCGAAGGCTGTTGCTCCGTACATGTTGACTTTCGTATTTTGAATATGTGAAATTACAAACTGGGCACCTCTACAAAAGCTTCCCATGAGGTCTCTCAGATCAAAATCATCAATGTACATCTTGATGACCATGTCAACATATTATGAGATGTTTTAGTAGGGAAATAAAATGAGGATAATATGGTAAATTCACATTTTTATATTAAAAAATTTTAAAATTAAAAACAAATAAGATAATAGGTCATACTTTTCTAGAACATAACTACCCATATTATCTTTTCTTAATTCTAAAATTAAATTTTTTTTTTAAAACAAACCAATTGGCACATACGTGGCTAGTATGTATTATATAAGTAATTACAAGTTATAAGTTTGATTTTGAAAGGGCTTATAGCTAAAATAATTAACATCAACATTGTATAGGAAATTGATACAATGACCCCAACACAACCCACTAACAAAGTATAACAAAAATATCAAAGATATTAATTTATTATACTAATTGAAGTAATGGATTTTTATTATTATTATTATGAATAAATAAGATTATACTCAAATAAAAATTGATGAGGGAGTGTGCTTACTTTTACTTATATTAAACTAGTTTAGAATTAGAATATTAATTATTTTTTTATGGCTTGGTTTTTTTATGTTTTGTATTTTTTTGATTGTTCTGAGTGTGAAATTTTAATTGGAATATCTATGTAAGAGTTTCTTCGATTTTAGTTAGTGGAGAAGCATCAAATTGTCTTAGTTTTGATGTTAGATGGTTCCGTTATTGTAATGACTCTTTGTAGTTATGGGTGATTTTATTGGCACCCCATTAATTGCTCTTTACACCCCATACTAATTTTAAATATAAATAACCTATTTTACCCTTGTACACAATTACCGTTAAGGACAAAAAAAATAAAAATAAAAATTAAAATTGCTCACTACACCCCACATATGTTCCTGCAACCCTAGTTTGATTTTTTTCTCAAACTATCATGTTCCTAAACCCTAAACCCAAGATTTATAAGTTTATACTGGTGAAAAAATATATTGTATTTATTCATGAAGGGTGAGATTGAAGTTAGAGACGCTTCGAATGAGGTACGAGTTTATTTTTGGCGTTTTGCAAGTTTAATATTTCATAACAGTCGCTGGTTGTGTTCAGCACATCAGTACCGAACGCGACAGATAATTTCGGTGGGATGCCACCGAAACTTTGCACCTTTTTCGGTTGGATTTCACCGGTGAGAAACTTAATATTCGGTGGGGATCCACCGTAAGATGGAACGTAGTTCAGTGGTGTACTACCGAACTTTTACCCGCGTTTCAGTGGCATCCAACCGAAATTTATTTATTTTTTCAGTAACTTATTGCCAACCACAAATTTAATCCAAGCTATTTTGATCTTACTCCCATTGAAGGAACAAAATATCCAAGCTATTTTGATCTTACTCCCATTGAAGGAACAAAATCAAGGTGACGCCCCTACTGAAGGCAACAATGTGGGAACAGAATGTGTAATGGACTATAGTGATCAATTCACAACTTACAATGTGTTATTACCATATAACTAATATTTTGTTTTATTTTCAGCTCTATAAGCCTCGCGAAAACCAATCAGCATTCGATACATATATGCATATAGAGAAATTCCCTGAGGGTATTAGGAAATATATCACTCACCAGACTGAAGTTCTTCCGGATGGTAACTGTGGATATAGAGCCATAGCTATGGCAATGAGATTTGGTCATAATGAATGGCGTAGGGTACGCAAGGATTTGTTGCAACAACTACATGATATGTCTTTTGTTTTTAAGAAGTGTATTCGGGAACATAAACAATACAACGAGATTGAGCGAGCGCTAAATTATTTTGATGATGGATTTGCACCATTCTTTTGTTGGATGACCATGCTTGATATGGGACATATTATTGCCACACGTTATAATGTGGTTTTAATCCTTCTAAGCATGCGTCAATGCCTTACATTTCTTCCTTTCTCAGTTCAATCAAGCGAAACCAAGCTAAATGAGATTGCCATTGGTTTTGTTGACGATGATCACTATGTCCAGGTATGAATTTATTTGTTTACGCAACATTGGTTAATTTTATATGCTATGCGTATATGAATGGATTCTTGTTTTGTAGGTTCATTTGTCTCCAGATCATCCTATTCCACCAGTTTCTAGAATGTGGCATGAACAAAGTGACATATGCAATGTAACACATTTGTACTCGAGGTACCAAGCACGTGTGGATGCTTTTCAACAACTTCCGGGAGTGGAGAATGTAGCTACTACAGATACCGTCATCCTAATGACTGATGAAAATGCACCTGTTACATAATTGAGATTATAGATCTAATAATTTTATTTAATTTTTTTTCACATGTAACCTGAAAAATACATCTTTGTGTGCATAGTCATTTAGAGTTGAAGGAGAAAGTTGATAAAATAATGCAGGAGTTTAACCATAATCTGTCGCAGAACCTCCAGAGTTGAAGGAGAAAATAGAAAAGGTGAACACAGAGATTTATGAGGAAATTGAGAGAGTCTGTGGTGGCCACAGAGATTTCTTATCACTGGCCGAATACATGATGTACTCCTCTGAATTTGTGTCTGAAACATTGGAGAATCGCACCCGTAACCATGACAAACTCACATACTCATCATTGTATTTGTGCAATTGTTCAGTAGCCTCTTCATCAGTCACTCCTAAGTACTTAACTAACAACTCAAAATTTGTGTCGTCATCATCTCCAAGAGGAGCAACCGCTGCACCAGACACAGGAATGCCTAAAATAGATGACACATCATCCAATGTGATGGTCATCTCACCAAAAGGCATGTGAAAGGTGTTCGTTTCGGGATGCCACCTCTCAACAAATGTAGACACCACAATCTTATCAGCATTCCGATAAGAACACCTAATAAGGTGCTCTAATCCAGACCTCTGAATGTACCCTTTGAATATACTATTATTTGGATTACCCCACCAATTCCACTCACGAAGGGTAGATGTTTTCGACATGCACCTAAGGGGCTCACGTTCCTAGTTAAACAAAAAAAAACAAAATTAAGGTTAGTTACCATGAACCAGATTTATATTCTACCTTCTATTGTCACAGTAAAACGACTTACCTGGTTATTCCAAATTGTAGCTGCTATGTGAGTTTTAAAACTCGTAAGTAAAGATGGATCAATGGGACCTACTCGAGATGGCTTAGTAGGCTCGGCATGTACCTCAACATTACTATCCTGAGCAATAGCTACATCTTCAACCTCTGCGTCAACATTACTATAATCAGTAGGAACTACATCTTCAACCTCTGTAGTATCCTCAATGTGATCTTGGGGAGCCGCTCTCTGTCTCCTCGCTGAGGCCGTGGGACGTTGTCTATTAGGTTGTGATGATGAAGCTTTAGTAGTACCCCTGCGAATCCTCTTCATATCTAAAAATAAACAATATTAAGTACACACTCAGTAACGTATTCGGTACATAATCACTGAAAAAGGGAAATAAATTCGGTGGACAATCACTGAAAAAAGAATACATATTTGGTGGAGTACCACTGAAAAACCAAAAGAAATTCGGTGGGAGTCCCCTGAAAAATAGAAACAGATTCGGTGGACTACCACCGAAACAAGGTAACAATTTCGGTGGTAACCCACCGAAAGTACAGGTTCAATTCGGTGGACTACCACTGAAGCAATGTAATCATTTCGGTGGCAATCCACCGAAACTAGAATCCAATTTCGTAAAACCAGGTTCGAACTACCCAGAACCTTGAAATTGAAATCAAAATCAGTATCAGACTTTGGCTTTTCAAAAGTGAAATCAAATGTAGGCTTAATCAACACTTAGAAACGTAAATATATAAATCAAATTTGAAATCAAACCTTGAATAAGGATTTGTGAGAACTTGACCTTCAATGGCTTTTGGGTTTGCAGAGATGGAGATGGGTGTGATGGTTCTGTTTCAGATATGGTTTAGGTTTGCTGGAGGCGATGGCAAAGGGCTTCTTCGATGGTGAGCAAAGATCTGCGATGGCAAGGGATGAGTTCTTCGATGTTCTGCGATGCAGGCAATGGCAAAGGGCTTCTTCGATGGAGGTTGGTGTAAATGGGATGGGGTGTGCGATGGAGTGTGTCTGCAAGAGGAGAGAATTTTCGGTGGGGTGTGGGTGGATATCAGATGGGGTGGGGTTTGATTTCAGATGGGGTGTGGCAGAAAGGGAAGGGGGTTTTCGATGGGTGGTTAGAGAATGGGGTTTATGAGGGCAATTTAGGGAAAAAAAAGGGGTTTAATGAGTAATTTGAAATTTTATTAAAATTTAGTGGGGTGTAAAAAATTATGGGGTGTAAAGAGTAATTTATGGGGTTCATATAGAATTACCCTTAATTGTATTGATATTTTGTGACTTAATGATTTTTTTAATAAATGAATTAAAACCCCAACCCCAAAACCCATAATATCTCAAAAAACAAAGAAGATGATAAATAAAAAAAAAAAAAAAATAAAAAAAAAAAAAAAAAAAAAAAAAAAAAAAAAAAAAAAAAAAAAAAACTATATTCATATATGATAAAAAAAAAAAAAAAAATAAATTTAAACACTGGACCCCACGCCGCTTCACCTTCAAGGAACCTAGTCGAGCAGAGTCAGCAGACAGAGAGAGAGAGAGAGAGAGGGCTTAGAGCCGAGGCAAGTATACTTGAGAAAAATGGAGCCCGCCGTGGAATTGTTTAAGTAACTTCCCTGAATTTGATAGAAAATATACTGTAAGATAAAGTCAGAGTCTGTTTCTGCTCTACAATCATTCAAGCTCAAGACAAGCAATCTCTTTTAGACGACCTAATAATATTTATAGAGACCTCAAGCATCACCCCCTTTGTGGTTTTCCGTTCATCTTTTTGCAAGCCCACCCTTTTCTCTCTGGTCCTTTTTTGTTCACTTTATGCAGTGGAAAGTCTTGGAAAGCTGGAAACACAGTCTGTTAGAGAGATGGAGAAAGAGATAGCGAGGGAAAGTTGATTTTTTTTTCTTCTGGGTGCGAGAGTTTGATGGTAGAGCCTTTTCAATTGGGGAAGATCAATTTGTTAGATTGGGTGGCGATTTATTTGTTGAATCGGTTGAATTTGAGGTCTAGAGGGAAAAAGCTGGCTTGGGTTGGCTGAGATTTTGATAATTTTCTTTATTGAAGATGTGGGTTTTTAAGAGTTGAATTTGTTTTTCCTTCTAGATTTAATGTCTTGAGAAATCATGTTGAATTGGGTAGAGTGCGATCTCGATAAATAGTTTTTCTAATTGAAGGGGGGCAAAAGTGAGTTGAATTTGGTAGTGTGAGTTGTAAAGAGAGAGCCTGGTGTGAGAATTTGATGATCAAGTTCTAAAAGAAATTCAGGAAAAACAGGGTTTTAGAGAAGAAAGCATGTACTGTTTTGGAGAGAGATAGAGAGAGAGGATTTGATAGCTTGGAATGAGGTTTTGAGGTTTTGCCATGGCTGTAGTGAGTTCTATGCCTGCAATTCAACCTGTAGAGCGGTTAAGGTATCCTGTTATTTCTCCAAACATGGCTTATGGTGGAGAGATTGTGGAAGAGCCTGTGGCACGCATGATTGAAGATATGATATATGTTGCGGTGGCAAAAGATGTCAAAGACAGCAAATCAACTCTGGTATGGGCAGTCCATAACTCAGGAGGGAAGAAAATTTGCTTAGCTCATGTTCACCAGCCTTCACAGAAGATTCCCTGCAGTAAGTCTGCAACATATGTGTCTGTGTGTGTGGGAAATTTGCACAGTTCATGTTTGTTTTATGATGTTGTAATATGACTTTTGTAACTGAATTATTGAGTGTTTTGTATTGAAAATGAATTAGAATTACCCTGTGGACAATTTGTTCAACTCCCAGTTACTAACTGGATCATGCTTTGCCTCTATAGGACCATGGTTTTAGGATCTGATAGGCAGTATGAGCCATTCAATAAATTTGAATTCAGACTCAGACTCGTGAACCAGATAATATGTGGACAAACATTGAAGAAAAGTAGAGAAGTTTGTAAATACTTAGAAAACTCAGGAAAATTAGCCAATGAAATATTTTATGAATTTGGCTAGGTATCAAAGTCATTGTATTGTGTATCTGGAAAAGTTTACGATCTTACATTTAAGCTGAGATGTTCATATACCAAAGTTGCCATTCTGCCTTACCATCTCCGAGCTTCCGAATGGATTTAATATTCCACTGTTTCCATGATTTGCAGTGGGGGGGTGGTTCCCAGCTAGCTCACTGAAGGACGAGGAAGTCAGAGCATACCGAGAAATTGAGAGGCAAAACATGAATAAGATCCTGGAGGATTACCTTCGTATATGCCGTCAAATGGGGGTATTGTTCCTTCTTCGGTTTCTTCCTTTCTGTTCCTTTTTTATTTTTTGGGTTTTTGTAAAAACTTTCTTTTACAATACAAAGTAGTTTATCTAAAAATTTTGTGAATAACAAGATAACAGGATTTGAAGTTTTGAAATTTTTTATAAAATTTGCTAAGATTTCTGATATATTTGGCTGATGATTGTTTAATGTAGGTTCGGGCTGAAAAACTACATATTGAAATGGACTGTATTGAGAAGGGAATTGTGGAACTCATCTCTCAGCATGGAATAAGGAAGCTTGTAATGGGAGCAGCAGCAGACAAATACCATTCAAGGTATTACATAAGTATTCTTCTCATATGCCTGTTTATCATTTTTGTTTTTGGTTCTTTGTTCATCCAGCATAGATACATGCGTCCTGACTGTGCATGCTGTAGGATACATTGTTAATTCAGTGAAGGCTAATAATCAGTCATGAAGGAGATCGGAAACAGTATTATAATGGCACTTTGATAATTAATTGACTGAAAAATAACTGAAAAAGTATGGTAAAAAACGTGAGAAGGCACCAGCAATTATACAGAGACCTGTTTTTCATTGAAATGTCTTTCACTAATGCCTCTGCATCAAATAATTAGCTGGTTATTACATTCCAGTTCCCTTCCCAACGGACGTTTTTTTTATAATCTTTTTTGTGGCGTTCCCAATAGAAGAGGTTAGTTTTTATGCAGCTTTTGTCTGCGTGAAGGAGAATATTTAGTTTGTTACAAGTTAGTTATTCTCACTTCGGGGGGTTCATTTTGTGAGTATATTATATGCATCTTTTGCACTGAGGTTGCTTACTCACAGATTAATTTTGCAGGAAAATGATGGACCTCAAGTCGAAGAAAGCCATATACGTGCGCCAACAAGCACCTGTTTCCTGTCACATACAATTTATTTGCAAGGGGCACCTTATACACACCAGGTTTTACTTGAACCTTCTTTGCAAATAAAATAGAAAAAGAAAAGAAAAAGGTTTTCTTGAAACTTCTGTTATTTCTTTATATAGGGAAGATATGTGAATGACTCCACAAAGAGAAAACTGTCTAAGCTTCAAAGTGATCATATGGTTTTTAATTGTTTAATAATGCTTTATTGGTGATCTGCTGTACAAACTTGATTTTGATAATCATGCCTACTAATGCATATACCATTAAAAAATAGGGAAGGTAATTCAGATGGAGTTGATACAGATGTTCCATTGCTGCAACCAAGTCCAAACACTGATCCTGAACAATCAACGCACCTCTTTAGATCAAGATCTGTTACACTCGGGCAGAATAATCGAGCAAAACTCACCAATCCAGCTCAAGATTTGTACCGCAGGGTAAGATCGGCAAATATGGAGAAACGTGGAGGGAGCATAAGTGAGGCTACTTCCTCAGATGGTACTGAAGGGCTGTCAACTCCAAGTAGGTTCGAAGCAGGAGGGAGTCCTGATGACTGGGATAGGGTATCAAGGAGGAGTGTTTCAGGATATTCATCATGCTCTTCTGCATTGGGTGATTTAGGTCTGGTTCAGTATGAGAGAACTGAGGGAAGTGAAAATGGGTCAACTGAGTCACTTGCACTTTCTCATTTCAAAGAACTTAATCATTCATCCCCTCCCAGTGTATTGGTAAGTGAAAAAATATCATGTGTGCGGTTTGGATAATTATTTCACGAACCTTGTGCATGTTTTACGTTGTGAATTTAGACTTTGAAATTATTAATTAGCACTTCACCTGCCACCTTAGCAGAAATCAACTGAGTCAATTCAGTTGCCAAATTATTGAAAAGGTTTGAATTTAAATCCCTTGATGGTGCAGGATGGAAATATAGATGATAGTCTGTATGATCATCTTGAACAAGCAATGGCAGAGGCTGAAAATGCAAAGCGAGAGGCATTTCAGGAGGGAATCAGGCGTGGGAAAGCTGAAAAGGATGCCATTGACGCCATACGGAGGGTAAAGTTTTTTTCTAGTTGGCATTTCATTTTACCTTCTCCATTTATGGAGATGATATCTTTCATTTTTCCTCTCGTCTTTTCTCCAGTACTTTCCGTACAGAGTGTAGATAGTAATTTGTTTATTTACCATCATATTACTTGATCATTTGCATGGAAATTATTAATTACCTTGTTGTGAATCCTGTTCTTCTACGGTGGTGAATCTTAGAGGTGGGGGTTTGGTAATATGTAATTTGAGATTTTTTTAGTAAACATACTACTATAATATTTGCTCTCACTGAGGCGAAAACTCCATAAACAAAAAATTGGGAATCACTCCATTTACAGGCTAAAGCATCAGAGCTCTTATATAATGAGGAGTTGAGACAAAGGAAAGAAATTGAAGAAGCACTAGCGAGAGAGAGAGAAGAACTCGAAAAGATGAAGAAGCAACGAGATGAAGTCATGGAAGAATTAAGGGCTGCCCTAGATCAGAAGTCACTACTTGAGAGCCAAATTGTCGAGTCTGATCAGATGGCCGTGAGGTTGGAGCAGAAGATAATCTCAGCTGTGGAACTTTTACAAAATTACAAAAAAGAACGGGATGAGTTGCATGTGGAGCGTGACAATGCGCTTAGAGAAGCTGAGGAGCTGAGGAGAAAACAAGGAGAGGCCTCAAGCTCACACTTGCCTCAGTTCTTCACTGAGTTCTCATTTACGGAGATTGAGGAAGCAACTCGAAACTTTGATCCATCACTGAAGATTGGAGAAGGGGGATATGGGAGCATTTTTAAAGGCTCATTACGTCACACCCAGGTGGCTATAAAGTTGCTACACGCTCACAGCATGCAAGGTCCTTCTGAGTTCCAGCAAGAGGTAGGATAACCTAATCATCGTTTACACTAACAATCCGTTGATTCATAGAAGCATTGAGCTTACAGAATTAATTTATTATGAGGGAGGTACATAGAACTAAAAACTAAAAACAATTTTGAATAGCTTCTAGTTTTTATTTCAAAAGTCAAATAAGCTCTTATTATGCTTTTATTATGTTCGTACATGGCACTTTACCAGCCTTTAAGTTCTGTGTTGGCATTGAGAAACTAAAAAGTGAGTATAAAGAAAGTTTTCTATGTGAAACCTTTTAAATTTTCCTGCCTTGCAGAAGCTGAAATTGCATTGTTTGCAATATTTTAACTTAACCATTTTATTTGCAAACTAAAAAATTTGGGATAAAAAAGCTGTTCCAGAAGAAATTTAATTCACATGTTTGTCATTTATCAAATTAGTTTTGGCATCTCAGGTGGATGTATTGAGTAAGTTGAGGCACTCCAATCTCGTCACACTCATTGGTGCCTGTCCCGAATCTTGGACTCTCATTTATGAGTATCTTCCAAATGGAAGCCTTGAAGATCGACTCAGCTGCAAGGAAAATACTCCTCCATTGTCATGGCAAACTCGAATACGCATTGCCACAGAGTTGTGCTCTGTCCTTATCTTTCTCCATGCCAGTAAACCTCATGGCATAGTACATGGTGATTTGAAACCTGCGAATATTCTCCTTGATGATAACTTTGTTAGCAAACTTAGTGACTTTGGAATCAGTCGGCTATTGTCTCGTGGGGAGGGTTCAAGCAACAATACAACACTCTATTGCAGAACTGACCCAAAGGGAACTTTTGCATACATAGATCCTGAGTTCCTCTCATCAGGAGAGCTTACACCAAAGTCAGATGTTTATTCATTTGGGATTGTACTACTACGACTGCTGACTGGGAGACCAGCTTTGGGGATAATGAAGGAAGTGCAATATGCATTAGATTTGGGAAAGTTGGAAACGCTATTGGATCCTTTGGCTGGAGACTGGCCATTTGTTCAGGCTGAACAGTTAGCTCGCTTGGCAATGAGGTGTTGTGAGATGAGCCGGAAGTGCAGGGCAGACCTTGTATCGGATGTCTGGAGGGTACTTGAACCCATGAGGGCTTCATGTGGATGCTCATCGTCATTCCGTCTGGGTACTGAAGAGCATTTCCAACCTCCTTCCTATTTTATTTGTCCCATTTTCCAGGTAAATTTTGTTCATCATTTATTGTATATCTTGAATTGACATTTCCATGGTCACCACATTCTCCATTGACGGATACTTGATGTGTACTGGTTTTTCTGTGTCGCACACACACGCACTTTATCGATCTAATATAGCTTCATATATGTTTTTGTTCATATGAAGATTTTCTTTATGCCAAGGTCTGCTTTACTCAATTTTTTTTGGTCGAATGCTTTACCCAATTGAAAGTGCCTTAAAATAAAAGTTCCTCTTATTTTCAAACTTGCAGGAAGTCATGCAAGATCCGCATGTTGCGGCAGATGGATTTACTTATGAAGCAGAAGCTTTGAGAGGATGGCTGGACAGTGGTCATGATACTTCACCCATGACAAATCTTAAGCTTGAACACAAGAATCTTGTCCCCAACCATGCTCTTCGTTCTGCAATTCAGGAGTGGCTGCAAAAGCATTGATATCTTTATCCAATTGTTTGGATATTTTTGTTCCACATAGCTATGTATAACTACATACATATATTTTCACACCCATGTATAATGTACCAAGTTAGATTTCTTCTGTTTCTGATATGTTGGTTTCTTCCTTGGACCTTAGAGTGTGTGGCCATTCAGACAAACTACGCGTTATGCCATATTAATGTACAGAAGACTTCCCTTATTCGCTCCAACTTGTTTTTCATGCTTCTTTGAATGGTTTACCCATGCTTGATAAGTATGCTTGACATTGATGATGAAATATACTGCAAGATGATGATGAAATATACTGCAAGATGATGATGATCTTTCGATGATTGATTCTTGAATTACATGATGAAACCTTGGAAATATCACAAATCCCTCTCTACTTTAAAACATTGGTAGGAATGATAAATATGAAGAGCTTTTCTAGGGACGATAGCTACGCGCTAATGGGTGACTATCAACTCTCCACGGTTGTGGGTTCCATGCTTAGCATGAAAAACAAGATCAAATGGTTCAATTCAGAGCAAAGGTCCATTCGGCTAAAACCCATCAGACGCTTAGACTACCATCGGCTGTTACTGAGTGTGTCTCCACCGTCGGATTCATGCTCATCTACAACTGACAGTCACCCACTGGCTTTGCTCTAGACATGAACAACCAAATCAAATGGGTCAATTCAGAGTACAGGCCCATTGGGCTAGAGCCCATCTGATCATGATGCAGTTAAAACTTCAGTTGGGCCCCACACATGTGACTGAGGTTACTCCAACCGCACGTGTGATTCCTCCATTAAGTACGGTTGCATGTGTGGATAGCTGACCACAGAAAAGTGCATCCATGTGAGGGCCCTACTTTGTGGCTTTACCGTATGGTTAACGAAACTCAGTGCTCCTGTGAGCTGAAGCCCACGTAACTCCACACGTGTTCCCATGCCATTGGGTTGGATAACCAAAGGACAAAAGGAATAAAATTGTTTGGCTGACTATGATCACATGCCCCCTTATATCCTGACACGTCTCTCTGTTCGCGTGAGCTTGCAGGTAGGTGATCATAAGGGGGGTAATAATTTATTCAGCCGTCTATGTCTGTACGGTCCATACGGAAGCTTCAAACCTGTTCGGGCAGTAGCCGGTAACCTGTAAAGAAAAGTTCAGATGATTTCCCACGCGCTTTTCCAGTCTTTCAAATTTCGAGCATCCCTAAAGTCATTCTTTTTTTTTGGAAACTCCCTATAAAGTCTTTCAGACCAACAACAAAAAAGCTTCCCTAAAGTCAGGTGTGAAAGTGTGTGATTTGGATTTAAAATATTGCCAAAATTATTGGTATGACATTACATTTTTGTTACTTTTGGTGTTTACATGGAGAAAGATTTTCTTGTTAAAACAAGTATAATGCTATATTTGTAAGGCTTCTTTAAAAGGATAATTTTCTATATTTGTATTTATGATGTCAATAAATGTGCGTTGTCTCTTTGCGAATTTCGAAAAAAAAATGAATAAAGACTTTAATGACATGCGACAAGATGAGTGAAAAGCATAATATGTGCTACGATATTATATTTATGATTTTAATTATGTAGTAAATAGTATGTTTTAATTGTAAAGCCTCCTCATGTGCCAAATAAGTCCCCCACCTAAGTTTTCCTCATGACTTTAAATCACATGTTTATATATATATATATATATATATATATAAATCAACTTAATCAATAAGTCATTCGTATTTGGTACCATAAGATACTTATGTTGGCAGAGAGTTTGACAATAAAATATTTTTAATTTTAAAATTAAGAATGTCAAAGAAGTACATACCACATGATGCGGTAAGTGATGTGTACATGTCATGTTAGTTAATAATTTTATCTAATTGAAGATTATATGCATCGCTTGTGACTTTATTTTGTGGTATACAGACGTAGCCTTCCTTTATTATCTCATAAAACAAATGATTACTTGTTTTGAGAGTAAATAATGTGATATACTTATTTTGTTGGGTTAAAAAAACTTAATATAAACTAGAAGCTCTCAATTATAGATCATTTACAACAAATAACCATAAACTAACGCAATCCCAGTCAGACTGACTGACCAGCCGACCTGACCTGACGACTTTTACTAAAAAAGTTCGCCCAATTTTTTATCAGACTTCTTTCTACTTTCAATCTCCACCAGAGTCTACAAATACTTACGCCAGTCCTCAAAAGGCACGTGCTCCACACGCGTTCAAGGTGCCGGTAAGTAAGTCCAACTTCTACACCGCCAGCGCAAAAAGGAAAGCCAGTTCAACGGTTACACAACGACAAAGCCACGGCCAAAACGACAACGCGCGAAAAGTAAAACGCAGAAGAAAGAAAAAGGAAAATGCACTCCGCGATATTTCTCTCCCTCCTTTTTCCCATTCATTCACATTTTTCATCATCATCTTCTTCCTCCACTTCTTGGTTGGCTCCTTTTTCCTCTCTGAAAACCCTAAACCCCCTTCTTCAATTCCTGGTTAATATTTTTTTTTTCTTTTTTGCTGTGAATAAATGGATTTACGGAGAGGCGTGTGGATAGTGGTTGGTGTGTTGTTGCTGAGTCTGAGTTTGAGCTCAGCTGGAGACATTGTTCACCATGATAATATTGCTCCGAAGAGGCCTGGTTGTGAAAACAACTTCGTTCTGGTAAATTCACTAACTTTTTGAATTTTGATTTTCCAAGTTAATTTACTTTGCAGCTTATTTATTTGATCTTGAGTTTCTGTTTGGGTGCTGAGAAAACTGGGGAAGGAAGAGATGAGTGAGGGGAAGGAAAAGATAGAATTTTTGCTTATGAAAAATTAAAATTCAATACTTTGTGATGATTTCGGGACTAAGAAGCTCAATCTTTTTGTTTAGTTATTGAGAAAATTGCTCTAAATTAATGAATAAGAAAATAATTGCGAATTTCCAACTGTTTGGCAGTTGGAAATGAGAATTTAGCATCAATTTGAGTGGCATGGTGATCCAGTACATGATGTAGACATTATTTAGGTAATTGGTTCTAAATAATGAAAAACTAGGCTGACAAATTTCAGACTTTTGTTCTCTGAAGCTTGTTACACTTTTATGCAGTGCAGCCTATAAATCCCTAGTTCAGGAAAAAAATTGTTCCTAGATTTAGTTTTGGGTTTTTATTTTGTAAGTCATTCTATGTTTTCTTCCTCGTATTTTCCTCGCATCTCTCAATTCTTTTCCCTTACTCATCTTCCTCTCTCATCTGCCTGACTCTCCTTAATTTGAAAGGGAAAAAAAACATAAACACTACCAGATGGGCAGTAAGACTTTAGGCAATACCTCCGAGTTATTAAAATTTCCATATTGTTTTATCTTGTTCTTTGCCTGGTTGCTAAGAAATTGGGCAAAATGATCATCTAGGTTCCTTGAAGATTATAAATTTCTACTTCAGTTAATCAAATAAAGTTTTATACCAGACTCGGTCAATCATAAAATGGAAATTTATTTAAGCATGTGAAAACCTTTCATTTTGTTCATATTTAATAAAGAATTTTTCTATGCAATTATTATTTGTTTCAAATGCTTCCTGGAAAAGTCTTAATCTTCAATCAAACAATGAAGCATTTGAAGTTTTTTTCCCGGTGCTTCTTCTGAATGTCTTGTCTTGTGAAGTAATTTAAGATCTTTTTCTTTAAATTTTTTTATTAAGCTTTGTTTAGTTGCCAGAAATACAGTAGCAAAATGAAAATCAGAGAATATATAACTGAAGAAAACTTATTATCTATTTCTCTCATTGTGGGATTCAATTAAGCTAATTATTTTATATAGTATATTGGAATACTTGAATTTGTTTTGTCTTTTTACCTAACACAGTTACTTGGCAGTTAAACATACCCTAAGATTGTAGTGGAGGCATTGCACCTTGTTTTCTTCATTTTTTTCAACATAAAATTTGAATATAGCTTTGGCGTTACATTTAAATCCATTTTGTTTTATAGGTTAAGGTCCCAACTTGGGTCAATGGTGTAGAAGACAATGAGTATGTTGGTGTTGGTGCTCGATTTGGACCTACCTTGGAATCAAAGGAAAAACATGCCACCAATACGAGAGTGGTTCTTGCAGACCCCCCTGACTGTTGTAGCGCACAGAAGAAGGTATACTTGAACTTTCAATTCCATATCCTCAATTTACATTATAGAGTTTCACAGCCATGAAATATAAGCATCTTCATTATTGAAGTTGTAAGATATGCTCATGCATTTTGTGGATTCATATTGTGGAGTGTATGGCTCTTTTGTAGCTTTCACAAGGGGTCATTTTGGCGCACCGAGGAAATTGCAGTTTCACAGCGAAGGCAAATATTGCTGAAGGTGCTAATGCTTCAGCCATCCTCATTATAAACAACCGTACAGGTATTTGCATGCACTTTTTTCTTTTCTTGTTGGTCTACAAAGCTCTTCATCCCTAAAGTCCTCTTCTTAGTTTTCTCCCTGAGTAAGAATGTTCAGTACAACTGTACGGGTTATAAGGGGAAAAAAAACAGTAACAAGTACATAAAAAAATCTCTATTGTCATAATGGCTGCCCAGGTTATATAAATTTAAAATTTTAAAATAAAATTATTTAAAAAAAAACAGTGGTTAAGAAGATTGATTAAGTGAAAATAAGTTACTGTTACAAAAAATTATGCTGTCTGTCTTACAGAACTTTTCAAGATGGTTTGTGAAGACGATGAACCTGATGTTGAGATAAACATACCAGCTGTTATGCTTCCTCAAGATGTTGGTGCAATCTTAGAAAATGATTTAATGAACAAATCCAATGGTATGTGTTTTCTTTTTTTCCTGCTTATATTAACAATTGGCCATGCATCACCATTACTCTGGATTATTTCTTGTTTAAAAAAATAGTTTTCTTGCATGGAAATACATTATTTTATTCTTTCTAAGTGGTCTTCTTTTGCTTGTACTGTTGCCTCTGATATCCCTTTATTCAGTTTCTGTGCAGCTGTACTCTCCATTGCGTCCAGTGGTCGATATTGCAGAAGTGTTTTTGTGGCTTATGGCTGTTGGTACCATTATATTTGCTTCTTATTGGTCTGCATGGAGTGCCAGAGAAGCAGCTATTGAGCATGACAAGCTATTAAAGGTTATATTGTACTTTCAGCAGCTATTTTGTAACTTTTAGCAGTCATGGGGCTTGAATTATTTCTGTGTAATTCACTTATTCTATCAATTTCTATATGGTTTGGTGCTATGTGCGCAGGATGCCTCTGATGATTCTTTGCATATGGAAGTTGATCGTTCCAATGCTTTAGTGGAGATTAGCACCACAGCAGCAATCCTGTTTGTTGTGATTGCTTCATGCTTCTTGGTTATGTTTTACAAACTTATGTCATTCTGGTTTGTGGAGATTCTGGTGGTTTTGTTTTGCATTGGTGGGATAGAGGTATTGTCATTTGTGCTATGCAGACTTTGCCACTATGATTACAACTTTTTAATTAAGACACTATTATTCATGTGTCCCTCTAGGTTAATGCTGAACCTTCTCTTTATGTCCACAGGGCCTGCAGACTTGTTTGGTGACTTTGCTATCATGGTATATCTCTTTTCTTCCTTTTGTTAGACATTTTATGGGAATGCACCCTATTTCCTGTTGGTCAAGAAACTTTTGTTTGAATTTCATTGTTCCTTTGCCATGCTAGTTTGGACATTTTATGGGAATGCATCATAGATAAAAGCAGGGGTGGCAATTTAGTCATGTCATGTTAATTTGGATTCCTGTTGAGTATTTGTCAACCCTAACCCAGCCTATTTAGTAAATCATGTCAGAGGACTTATTCCCAAGGCAACCTGTTTATTAATTGTATTGTGTCCGTGTCAATCCATATATCAACTACGAACTTAAGATTAGAATCTGTTTGGTTCTAAAAAGCTATGACTCATACACTCATAAAATAAACATCTACCTGATCTAGATGCAACCTAAACCAAGAAACAGAATATTATAATTGTACAAGGATTATCAAGAAACTGAAAAAATAGAAAACAATAATCATTTTCTTCGTACATTATTGGTTAAATAGGTTTACCATGTCATAATCCGGTTATTGTGTTTGAAGTTAACCTGATCTGTTTATCATCAGTGTTCACAAGTTGTGCATTTATAGATTTATGTCAAATAATGGTAATCCTTGACCCGCTAATTTCGTGTTGGGCATCAAGTGATGTTAATAGTGTCCTGTTATAAATTGTCACCCTGAAAATAAAAATTCAAGGTTAAATAAGAACCAAGTTCTGATCTTGATACATCTCCTTCCTTATGGATATGTAGAAATTTATTTTTTTGAGAAGAAACGAACTTTATTAAGCAAAAGAGCACGGAGGTGGATAAGGCAACCACCACCGAAGAAACAAAAACAACATAGAGAGAAACAAACAGCACCAGTCTCTCCCCAACTAACAGGGAGGAACAAAACCAAAAAACCACAGAACACACCCCCCAACCCTCAGTTAACCGTAGCTGCCATATCCCTCATAATAGTGGAATAAGAGTAGTCTTTAAAATCATTTGTAACCGAAGCCCACAAAGCTGCCCAGTACTTAACTCTATCCCAAAGCTCAACCACTCCCACTCCCTTATAGTCTTCAAAAATTCTCCTATTACGCTACATCCAAATGTTCCAGAATACAGAGTGGACCAAACAGCCCCATAAAGTTGAAGTGCGCTTCCCCTTTCCCCAAACCACAAAGTGAGAACAAAGGAAATCAGAGCACCCTTTCGGAATCACCCAAACAGTCCCAACCTCCCTCCACAAGAGCCCCCAAAGACTTAAGGAAAAAGGGCAATGTAAGAAAAGGTGGTCCACATTCTCCTCACTATGCTTGCACAATACACACCATTGAGGAGACAGATACATAAAAGGTCTCTTCCTTTGGACTAGATCCGAAGTGTTAACTTTCCCAAGCGCCACCAACCAAACAAAGACTTTGACCCTAGGGGGAGACTTAGCCTTCCACACAAGAGAGAAGGGATGAAAGGTCACAACTCTCCCCTTGTTGCGCAAAAAGGACTGAAAGGACTTGCAGGTGAACGATCCCGACTCCTCAAGATCCCACCTTCTCCTATCCGTTTTAGAAGCACGCAAACTGAATCCTTCCAGAATTTCCAGCAACTTAATCACCTCGACAGTCTCCCTTTCATTCAGATTTCTCCTAAACCCAAAATCCCAATTATGAGGAAAAACCTGAGAATCAACAAAACAGTCAATGCTTAAGGAATGCTTTGCAGACAGCGCAAACAAGCGCGGAAAAGAGTCCTTCAACAACCCCTCCCTCACCCAACTATCCTCCCAAAACCTGACCCTATTCCCATGTCCCACCTCGAAACTGCAGCACTGTAAAAAAGTTTGGTAACCCGCCGAAATGTCCTTCCAAGGGTTAAGAGAGGTAACCATAGTAGCGGGATTAGCATCCCACCCATTAGTAGCTGACCCATACTTGCTTTTAACCACCGTAGCCCAAAGAGAGTTAGGTTCCATGGGGAAGCGCCATAACCATTTAGCACGCAAAGCTTCATTCTTTTCCTTCAGAGAGCCCACACCAAGCCCACCTTCCTCCTTAGATTTAGCCACCTGCTCCCATTTAACCCAAATGATCCCTCTTTCCTTCCTCCACACCTTCCCATAAAAAGGATCTCATAAGCTTCTCCAGTTTCTTAACAACACTGGCCGGCATTTTAAATAGAGACATATAATAAGTAGGGATGCTACTCAACACGGCTTGAATCAATGTTAACCTACCCCCTCTGGAGAGAAACGCTTTTTTCCACCTTTGAAGTCTCCTTTGAATCTTCTCGAACACCGGGTCCCAGAAAACAATAGCTCTAGGATTACCACCGAGTGGGAGACCCAAGTACTTCATAGGCCAGTCCCCCACAGCACACCCCCAACCACCAGCTAAGCAATTGAGGTAAGAAGGATTATGCCCAATCCCCACAAGAGAACACTTACATTTATGATTTTCAAGCCGGAGATAAGGCAAAAAAAATCCAATAAATCCAACAGATTAAACCAGTACTCCTCTTTATCCCAGATAAGAAAAATAGTATCATCGGCGAATTGGAGATGAGAAACCTCCACACTGTCCCTCCCAGTAAACAGACCAGGATCAAGTTAGACTCTTGAGCCTTCTCCATAAGCCTACTCAAAACATCAATAACTAGAGTGAACAAGAAGGGAGATAACGGATCCCCTTGTCTCACCCTTCTAGTAGCAGGAAATTTGCCCCTCGGCCGGCCATTGATCATGACAGAAAAATTAACAGATTGTAAACAGCCCCTAATCCAACACCTCCATCTCCCACCGAAACCCTTCCTTTCCAAAACCTCATCGACCACTTTCCATTCTACATGATCATAAGCATGATCAAAATCAATCTTAAAGACCAAACCCACCTTATTCCGCTTCATGGCTTCCATGACAACCTCATTAGCAACTAAAACAGCGTCCAAAATCTGTCTATTTTTCACAAAAGCTCCCTGAGTAGCTGAAATTGTTTCCTCCAACACCTCTCTCAATCTTGTAGCTAAACTTTCGACACCACCTTATATAAGTTAAAAAGCAGCTTGGCCACATTGGCAGTGAATATCATGTTTCCTAGTGAGCATTGATTAAATATAAATTTCAGCGGCTTAACCCTGTTTCCATAATGGCTGATTTGTAAAGTAAGAATGTTTGCAAGGATCAGTATTAAATAATTTTTTTAAATGAAAAAAGATCCTTTGTTTGAAAGTTTTAATTGTGTGTGTGTGTGTGTGTGTTCTTTTTGGTGAAGTCTCCTAATATGAAGCTGACAATTAACCAAATATAGTTTCAGACGATTTAAACATGCTGGAGAATCATATGTTAAAGTGCCCTTCTTTGGAGCTGTTTCATATCTGACGCTAGCCGTTGCTCCCTTCTGCATTGCATTTGCTGTTGTTTGGGCAGTGTATCGCCGCGTCTCATTTGCTTGGATAGGTCAAGATATCCTTGTAAGAAATAAATTCTTTTTTTATTTGGTCTTAATGTTGATGTCGCTATAGATTACCACTGGAATTTTTACATCCAAACCTAATCAATTGCAACTTTGCTTTTGTACCTCCCTAATCCAGCTCTTTTTTTGGTTCATCTTTGTTTTTGATTTTGAGTACCAGAGTCAAGCTGGTAATGCTCTGATTAAAAATAAAAATAAAACCCTTATACTTGAATTCATGAGTTGTCAAAGATCCTGTATTTGGACTGCCCACTTTTATCTTACTATTATATTTTCCCTATTTTCTATCATGAACCCTGGATAGTAATAGCTGTGCAAAGTGATTTTTGTAATCTGTAAAATGTTTGGTAGACACTAACTTGCGCTCATGAAAAATCAGGGTATTGCACTGATAATCACAGTTCTTCAGATTGTTCGAGTACCGAATCTCAAGGTGATAATTCAAAACCTGCCGTTTTCTGATTACTTTTGGACGGAGTCTGAATTTCTAGTGTTTACACTGATCCTAGGGGTTTAATAATATTACATTGCTTAAATCCATATCATATACATATTTAGTTGAGAAAAAAATTGCACCATGAATATTTTTTGTTTATTTATCTAGAGATTTCACTTGCCAAGCATGTCTGGCTCTGAATCATAACATATGCTTTCTTCATTATTCAATAATCTCTCCGTCTTTCTTTCTCTCTAATCAGGTTGGAACAATTCTTCTCAGTTGTGCCTTTTATATGATATCTTCTGGGTATTTGTTTCTAAATGGTGGTTCCATGAGAGTGTAATGATAGTGGTGAGTAAATGAGAAAAAACTCTCTTCCTTACTGGCACCCTATATAGAGGTTGTTACACCTGTCCTGCAAGTGAGAGAGATTTAAATATTAATCTTTCCTCTTCTGTATAGGTGGCTCGTGGTGATAAAAGTGGAGAGGATGGTATACCAATGCTACTGAAAATCCCACGGTTGTTTGATCTTGGGGTGGCTACAGCATCATCGGATTCGGTGATATCATCATACCAGGATTGGTTGTAGCCTTTTCACTAAGGTCTGAAATCAGAAAGCCAAATATATCTTTGACAATCCCTTTTAATCCCTACAATTGAACCTGGACTGTCATGTTTCAGAAACTGTGTTTTCGCTTCTGTTATGTGTATTGGTTTCCAAATATTCGTGTACTACAGGGCTGGTTTTGGAATTCTATAACATGAGAATAAAAGTGAAAACATGCTGAATTTAGGTATTCAGAGTTACTCGTTAATCACGAAATTCGGATAAATAATGAGGAAAACCAGGGGGACTCACAAATAAACATATGACAGCACCATCTGAGTACTGTGAACTTTTAGTTATTACTACAAATGAGGGTTTATAACATTGGCATTGTCCCAACAGTTCATTAATCGGACAATTTGTGGGTAATTTGCAGGTATGATTGGTTGGCAAATAAGAAGCTCGAGCTGGTTACTTTGTGTGGCAATGACCGCTTATGGTTTAGGTATGAGTGCTAATTTTGGGGCATTTTCAACTTCTTTTCTTTTTTCTATATCGAGAAAATGCATCTGGTTGAGCTAGTTTCAGAATTTTAGGTGACCTAAAAAACTTATGTGTGTGGCTCACATGCAGGCACCGTGTTTTCTGTGAATCAATGATTTTGTGCATGATATGACCTATTTGTCAAATATCTCCTGAAAAAGGAGGAATAATTTTAGCAGAAAATGGCATTATTGTTCCTTGGCAATGTGTAGAATACCTACATTTTAAAGGCAGATATCACCACTGGGAAAAATTAACTTGCCTGCAAAAGAAATATGAGTAAAATTGGGGGAGGCACTGAGAAAGCTGGCCCTTTACGTTCTCCTCTCCCTAGTGGCTAAGAGAGCTATGTTTTTTCTTGTTGGAAATTGCTACTATTAATATGTAGAAAGTCTAATGCTCTACCATAACAAGTATTTTATTTTGTAGATCATGTCACTGTCACTAATGATTAGAGTTTCACACCTATGAATGGTTTGCTTTGGCGATTTGCAATTGCAGGTCTCCTCATCACATATGTGGCTTTGAACTTGATGGACGGTCATGGCCAACCTGCTTGTTGTACATAGTTCCCTTCACACCTCGGTAAGATGCAACCGCTTTTGTAATCCCACTAAACATCTATCTCAAACATTCTTAGAATTCGGTTTTGCACTAAACATCGTCCGTGAGCAGCATGACATAAGCTAGTTACATTCTGCGGTACCCTTCTGACTTGGCACAGATGAGAGGGGACCTTAAAGTTCTGTGGACAAGAGGAGAACCAGAGAGGCCATGCCCGCACGTCCATCTCAACCCTCTCATAGAAGTAGTAGGACAAAGTAATAGTGTGACAGTTAGTACAGTAGTAACTCAGAAAAAACCTCTTTACTCGTCATAGCTGTAGGAGAGCATCAAACATTTACAAGGTTGTTCATAGATGATTTTTCAAGGACCAACTGATATATAACAGGGATACTTATAACATCCAACATTCTATTACGCTATTCAGTTTCGTAGAACCCTAGTTTTCTCTTTCGTGACCAAGTTAAAACTCATACAGCAGCAGCTGCTTCACAGTGAAGGAGTAATCGGTAAAGACTGCAATGAACATATCAACGCTGCAGGGTTGCAAGTAACCCTGAGCTGAAATATGTCGCATTGCAAGATAATCATTTGACTTGAACACGCTCATTCCATACAGTTACAATCTCTATTCACTCATGCTAAAGGGGAGGGCATGCCTCAAAAAACTTATTCTGAGCTGGCGAAAATAAAATAAGATAGAATAATTATTCAACGAGGTAGACAACCAATAACCTCTACAAGCTTGTGATAACCGAGCAAATTTAGCTCATGCAAGACACAACAATTAACTCTTTTTGATTTCTTTGTTCCCCAAAAAGTACAAACAGTTGCCCCAGAATCCACTTGCCAGTTTAATTACACCCACCCAACACAGAAGAAAAAGTCTGTTTGGAGCCAAATAATGAGAATAGTAACTCTTAGAAGCCGTTTTAGCATCTGGTCAAAATTTTCCAGCCATGGCCGATATAGGGATATTCTGTTTGTAGCACACCATTCGCTTTTTGGATGTCCTCCTGTACTCACGAGAGAAAAGATGAGTGCACGGAACACAATGATAAATGAGTAACAGCTCTAAAACAGATATGCCTCCGGAAGAACACACACTCAGAAGCAGATAAAACAGATATCACTCAGGAGTTCCAAAAAAGAGAGATTATACAACATTTGACATATTGATCAATCATTTAGGATTTGACAGAAAAACAGCTCCCAAAATGAAAGCCAGATGATAAAAGCGATTCTATAAAAAGCATCAGCCCAAGGACCGTGAGTGATGTAAGGAGGGGATAGAGAACAGCACTGTATGGGCACATACAGGAAAATTAGAATTGAGAATAAGAACTTTTTCGAACTTTCAGCCCCAAAACTATTCCTTTTAGAGGTTATAATTATAATCGACAAGACGAAGCAACGAAAACCAATTTTTTTCGGGGTAAGTGCAAATTTCAGAAACCCGCCAGGGACTGAACCGCAGCACTGATCCAGAGAACCGTTCATTAGGTTCAAAGGCTCTTTGAAAGGTATAAACTGTAAGCTCATACCTATATACACATATTGATTAGGGAAACTAAATACCAAACAAAAGCAGGAAATATCTGACAGATTTGATACTTTGTAACCAGAGTAATAGAAAAAAACAACCGTAAAGCTTCCGAACTGGGAGAAAAGTTTAAAGGAACAGAACATACAAGATATCTTCTTATCGAACCCTTCCGTTAATGGAAACTGAACCCGCCTCCTTTCCTGCCCAAAGCAGACTCTTGTCTCCTTGAGCCAGTCTGAATTCAATTCCTCGCAAATCTTAACCTCCCTGAATTAAAAGATACAAGATAATGTAACATAGGAACCAAGGCAGAACTCTCTGCTCATTTTACATGACACAACCCTGGTGAAGCCACACGTGAATTTCCAGTTATATAACTTACTCTTAGGATGAAATAAAATGACATATTGAACAAAGGCTTGCGGCCTCCTGAACTTTCTCACAACTGCAAAATATATACTTAATGGACAACCAAAATGGAGAGCATTTTTTCATGAGCCACGTAGAAGAAATATATGTAAAATGTCACCAACTATCATGCTCAGATACCCACAAACCAAGCTCTCTTGCAGAAACAGCCTTATATATAGGATTCCTTTACATAACTTACAAACAGTAAAAAGAAACAGAAGAAAATGCAGTAACATGTGTCTCAAAGTTTACATCTTTAACCGTGAAAGCTTCTTAAGCAATTTTTTATTTCTTCTTTTTCTTGGGGTGAGAGAGAGGATCCAACTTGGGCATTTTTCCAACAAAGTGGAGGAAACACCTCTAAACTACTAGCTAGTTTTTTTAGAAAATTCTGGAACACTGCAAAACAGAGGACAACTTGAAACTATTTCCAGGTATCAAATTTCCATCGTCTCATTTGGCATATCTGCATGGTGTCCATTAAACATGTAAGGAAGTCTGCACTATAAGTCAACAATGGCAGCCCGTTTCTTAAGCTTTCTTTAATAAAGTCAGCATTGACAAGTTATAGCCACTCAGTCAATTAAGTTACTTTTTTTTCCTCATATGGTTCGATGTAATAATTTTCATCCATGTATTTGATAGAAAACGTATTGTTTTTGGTATAAACATTAATAACACAAAATAGTGGCAGCCAAACCTCTCAATTTTTTCTTTGAACGCAGGAGCATTCATCTCAAATATACACATCTCAAACAACCATAGCCTCTCTTTCAAACGCTGCAAATTTGCTCGACTTTATAAAACAGAAAAAAAATTCGGCTACCTACCAATCAGCGGAAAGGAAGGCATAAGAAGTTATACGAAAAAATTAGTGATTTCAAACCTCAGGATTTCATAATAGTCATACAGAGTGTTTTGTTGATCATTTTCGTTCTAAGATCTCTTTTTGTTCTTGGAAGTTTTAATCCCCTTGGAATCTGGAAACAGAATTCCTTACCTCCAATGAGGCTTCAAAAGGAAATAATAGAAAATAGACGACTAAGACACTAGACTTCAAATCCCATTTCCAATGGAATCTTAAGTACTCCAAGTACAGTATAATGTGGGCAAATGCAATCCTGAAAATATAGTATCAAGTATGTCTCCATGGGAGTGCAATTGGGTACCTTGGAACTACAGTCGTTCAATGTTAGTTCCAACTAGTCACAAAAGTGGTAAAATGTCCTCATTTATTGCAAAATAAAAACGCAAAAGTATGCAGTGAAGGCACAAGAAAGCAATTACGCACAGTATACCTCCAATTCTCCATTAATGAAGACAAGAGCTCATCAACTGACCGGTCATCGCTTCGACTTCTCTCTTCAAGTCGCATTCTGAAAAGAATGGAAGGTTCAATCATGATACATCAAGAAGGATGATGTTTTAGCATATATAAATCCAGCAATTACATTACGTAAAGCTTTCAATGCAAATTTATCGAACGCCAAATTCACCTCAATTTCTCTCTTTCCTGAAGTTCTCTTCCTCTTTCGTGCATATAGACGATTCAAAAGCCGGATACGTGGATCGTCAGTGAATTTTTCAAAGGCTCCAACTGTCTCTCTGGATGATTTCTTAATTTTGTTAAAAACACAAAGAAGACAAGTTTTTCTAAGCATACACAGATATTCACGCACCAAGACCTCTGACGATCATCAGGCAGATGAATATCTCCCGTATCTCCTCAGGTGTTTTCCCTTCAATTATTCGTGCAAGAGCACGACTGTAAGATCAACCACGGCTTTAATTGGAGGCTGTCAGCAGCTGAAGTCAGCTCACAGAGCTTTTTGGTCCCATTCGGATGTATTTTTCATCAAAAGCCTTGCATTCCACACAAACCAATGGCCCAAGTCATAAGACCATGTGACTTTACACCAGCATCAGAGGAAACATTTAATTCCACTGCAGGTGGAAGAAATTGTCTTCAGTAGCTCAAATTCATGTACAGTAGACGTAGACAAGAGCAAGGAAAGACATAGACTCGGAAAAAAAAGAAAATGACATCCAACAACATGTAGACCTTGTTCGAGCGACCTGGTACTTGATGAACCCTGCAGTAATCAATAATTAGGCTAAACATGGAAGTATTGACTCTTTCCGGAAGAGATATTGCATGGTTCTTGGAAGATCCCATCCCTTTTTGTATATTCTCTTGACATATCATGGGGCAAAACATGGCAACCTCTTGTTTCACTTGTTGGACTTGAACCATCAGCAGTCTGAAGCCAGATATAAGACTTCATATCTGAGAATCAGTTGGCACCAGTGTGATTCAGAATAACTTTAAGTCTCAACATTACCAAAAAAAAATAAAGCAGCAAACAGATACACACCTGCCCACCCCTCCCCTCCCCCCCCAAAGAAAGAAACAAAAAAAGAAAACAAACACACCCCACAGTGAAGGCAGCTACAAGCATTCAAATGGGAAAATATATAGGAAACAATGATAGAATATGGCTTGAAGAAATAAATAAAATTCATTGATCTACTAAACACTATACAAAGAGGACATACGTAACGGAAAAAAGGGGGGGAGGGGCAAACAGAAGCAGGAAAAACACACAATGACAGAGTTATTCTACCTCAGGTTTAATAACAGCCATGTCCCTTCTGACATTGGTACAAAGCAAGTTCTGAGACTTAAAAACTGGAGTGCATCACAAAAGAAAATAACTTTATGATTCTTACGCAATGAGGTCTATGCAAATAATTACTTGTCCACGTTATGTCCTGTCACAGTCAAACAACATTATCATCAGCAGCCTTCTGTGTTAAAACTTGCCCAAAATTTTATCTAACACAAATTAAACAACACAGCTCTTACATGCAATGAACAACACCATTTCCAATATGGTGAACAAAATCTGTACTTCATACTTATTCCTTCATTTCCAAAGTTAACGAAATAGGATGTCGATGATTATATTTCCCTAAATCATGTGATAAAATTTACAATATTAGGTACCTGAGCTGAGTTTTATCGATTAGCTAATATTATAATGATAGTGATTGAAGACTCATTTACTAAGATTGTCAGTGCACTGAGCTCAATTAATGGATAATCGCAATTTATTCTTTGCAACCAATTCTTTTTCCTGCACTTTCTCGGCAACCAAACAAGTATATATAGAAGAACCAATACATATAGGAAAGCAAAGGACAGACAACCAATTAACCCAAAAGGCGACATACTTAAAGTACGGATGCAGATAGCGAGAGCTTTTGAATTGCAGAGATTTGGCGGTTGTCGGCGAACCCAAAATGGATAAAAGCGATTTAATTTATGCATTTGAGAAAAAAAAATTGAAAAAAATAAAAACTTTATTTGCGTCTGAAAGCGTCAAAATACAAACGTCTGCCACTCACACTCAGCCGTCGTTTAGGGTTTCCTGACTCTGTCTTTATGTTTGATTGTTTATTTCATGTTTTCAATCGACGGCTCATACTCATTTATAAGTGTTTAGTTAACTTTAAGCCCTTAATTGAAGTGATCCTATCAATAGAAAATCTTAAATGAACGTATCAAGAAAGAAAAGCTTACATACAATACAACGTATTACGAAAAGGAAACTTACATATAACGTATTACCTATGTTGTACGGACACTTTAATTAGTTAAAATGGTAAAATGTTTAGGAATAGCAATGAGCCTGTTTGTGGTCAATATGACAATACCCTCCCCGTCCCGTCACTAACCCCATCCCCAAAATTTTTTTTTGAGGAATCATGTCCCTTTGAGGGATTCTTCATCAAACCTATCCCGAATCCCCTATTTATTTGTAGAACAACCAATTCACATATACAATACAACACTAAATATGGTTTCTTAATGGTTAGTCGAGTGAATAGAAACATGGTATCTGTATCAAATAAAATGTAGCCTAATTAAAAACAGAAACTGGTTTGGTCGCACTATGGTTATTAAGATATACAACATGCAAACCTGTCATTTTTATTTAGAAACCTAAGAGGCACGTGTAATTGACATGACTGCCCATATGCAAGAAAGAAAGACCCCGTAATAGTATAATGGTATTAAATTTCTAAAATAATTTGAAAAATAAGTTCATTGTTATTTTAAAATATGTTTATTAATTAAAAATTATAATCTCTTATCAGGCCAAGTTCGGGAATAGGGATAACAATACATTTTTCGGCCCGTTTTGACCGGGAATTTTTAAAATTCAAGGATCCCTGTACCTGCCCCCAAAATTTCCCTTAAAATATCCCTCGTTAAGGTTAGGGACCCAACGGGATTTATGCCATCTCCTAGGAGTGTCGGACATGCGTTGGACATAATTAACGAACTTTGAACACACTCAAGACACCTCCATGACATGGTCAACCCATGGGTCAATCCCATGGTCAGACACTTGAAAATGTTTTAAAATTGGGGCCAAAACACAATTATTGAAACTTGTTTAGGGACATTTTTATTTTTTAAAAAAGAAACTGGAGTTCAAAATTATAATTTTGAAACTCTTTTATACTTATGCCAATTACCTTATCAGGGCCTCTTCTTTTCCCTCCCAACCCCACTTCCCCTACCTTTTTCTTCTCTCTTGGTACTTGAGATCACCTTATGTTTTATTTTGTGTTGTATTAATTATTTTGTGTCGGTACTCGGTACTCAGATATTGGATTAGTCCAACATCCTAGTCTAATCCACAATCTTTATTGGTGCACCAAACATGGGTTGGACAATAGTTGTCTTTAATTGGAATCATTTTGTTCTTACCAAACCAACCAACCCACCAAAAGAGACCTAATGATCATTTTATCGCGATGGACTCTTCATGAGGTCTACATAGATGAACAGTCGGCTAACTATGCTCATCATCTGTCGAGCTCAAAACCAACTATTTTGTTAGTTAGGCCATAAGCTTTTTAACTCAAATCAACAAACACAAAATTTCAGCTCTAGTTTAGTTGCCTTCATGTTTTCTCAGTTCATCCATAAATGCAGGCATCTATCTATATTTTGTGCTTTGCATAGTTTTTGCTCCCAATTTCATGGTTTAGACAGACAGACAGACAGACAGACAGACAGACAGACAGATGATGTTTTTGTGTTTGGTCGGCTGAGCCTTGTTGGGTGGAAGAAGAAAACATGCAAGTTTTGACATCGGATGGCTGCCGCGGGATCCAGGGTGTTGCTTGGACGGTTTGATGTGAAGTGTGTGGTGGTTGAAAACTTTGAAGACTAGGAAATTCAGGGCTCAGATTCGAAATGATTGAGACGGGGCCCACATACCACAGGAGCAAAGCAATTGTGTGAGTTGGATTTTGAACGGCCGGCCAATACTCATGACAAAAGGATTTTTCAGTTTCTGAGGAGAATGAGCAGGTCATGGTGAGGTCCCCTTGGTCCTACCCACTTACAAATGTTTTCTAGCAATCACTTCTTGTGTGTGTATTATATTAGGGGCATGGATAATGTGATACATCCAGATAAGATTTATTTTGATCAATGATTAGCCCTTGCTTAATCAACAATTCAGATTAATATTCTTATGTATAAAGTATCAAACTTGGGATAAGAAAATAAGTGGATACATAATATTGTAGGAAAATTGGTGCGAAGTGGTTGTTGTTGGAATGATGTCCTTCGAATTGTTTGATCCACGTTTATTTGATCAGACAATATTGATCGCTTAGAAGGATATGATCGTTATTTCAAAACGAGAAATGAAATTATTGATTACATAATCGATGTTTAAAACTATAAGAAAGGTTTGGCTAGGAAAAGGACATAGCACTTCAATTTATCTGAAAAATAGAATAAAAAAGGACTGTGGAACTTTTTAATTTCATGAAAGTTAAGTATGTAGCCGTTGTCCTCCATGTTGTTGCGTGATATTCCATTCTTTATTTAGACCCATTCTTGACAAACGTCTACAAGTTTGATCTTTTTAGGCTGCCATCCCTTTCTTAACGGTCCTAAAACCGCCCCACAATTTCCTCACCATTAAAAATTTTACAAACTTTTTTCTTTTTTCTTTTTCTTTCTTCTCTGGGTTTGTGTTCTTCAATCTACTGCACCAGAAGAAGTTGCCTTTACATTATTATAAACAATGAATTGCCTTGGCCAATGGTCAACTTTGCCTCTTTTTAGCCTATCATTATTATCCCCCACACCCCTTGATTCTAATTGGGTGCCATGGTATTATTATTTTTTAATACAGTGATTTGGGGAGATTTTTGCTCACAACTTTAATATATGATCACCACTCTTTTCAGCACTTGACACGTGTTGATAAACATAATCATAGTTACATAAATTCAAAGTAAAAATTAATCATGCTATGTCTATGAACACAGATCAAGTTTAAAAAAGTGATGAGCTTACATCTTGAATGAAATGGTGAACAAAAATATTTATGTGATACTAAAGAAGGAAAAAATCAAACCTAAAACATTGAATCAAGAATAACTGCTCTTGAGCGACTGTGGGACAAGGCCCTTAGAGTATCTCCACCGATGTGTCAAAACGTGCCACATAGACATTTAACAGCTATAAATAACATCTCATATCACTCCCAACCGATGTGTCAAAGCTGATGTGAAATGAAGGCTGGAGGTTGAGATGTTATTTTTGACATCCCAAAAGCAAGATGTTAAATGAATATTTATTATTTTTTCTTTTCTTTTCTTTTTAACTAAAAATGAATCAACACTAAAATGTAATAAAATAATAATTTAATTTGACTTATCGGGTGGAGTGTAAAGTTGTGTAAGATGTCAAATTGCCACATCCGCCATCAAATTTAAATTTGATGGTGGTATTTGACATCTCCCTTGGAGATGCTCTTAGAGCATCCACAATGAGCTCCCTAAACCACCTCCTTGGACAAATTTTAGGGAGGAATCGTAAAAATGCAACTCCAACCACGCTCCCTATCCACCTCCTAAAATATGGGAGTCCTCTAGGAGCTCCTAAATCTGAGGAGAGAAGGAAAGGAGCTCCCTATAGTGATAATTTTATTTAATTAATTTATTTTCAAACCTTTATTAATAATTCTTTTCAATCAAAAAGAGTTATAGCATTTATGACTCTCCAAATTAGAGAGTATGGTTGGAGTTGAAATTTTTTAGAGAGCTCCTAAAATAGTTTTCTTATATTCTTAGCTAAATTTTAGCTAAGAAATAGAGAGCATCATTGTGGATGCTCTTATATGGTATTGTTTAGACAGCAATTTAACCAGAGACTTGTTACTTGAGGTTTAAAATACGCCAGACCAAGAAAAATGAAAACTTCAAAATATTGAAGAAGTGGATTAAAAGCCAAGGAAGAAAGAGACATGAAGGTGGAGTGAATAAGATTAATTTATCCAAAAGAGTCTGCAAGGAAGATAAAGATACCCCACCATCCCTGACATGGTGACAGACAGCAGCTGTCCTCATCTTTTCTGCACTTTCCAGAAACATCTCTTGATTAAACCCACAGAAATTTCCATTATAACTAATATTTGTATTTACAATGGAATTAAAGTAATGGTTTAAGATTAAGAATTAAGCTTCCACTTTTGAGAATTATAGAATAGTTCCAAATAATTCACCAACCAAAGAGCCCAAAAGGAATACAACTCAAAAAGTGCAAATGAGTTTTATTTTATTTTTAGGTTAATTAAAAATAAAATGCTTTTCATAATTTCTTTAACATACTTTAACAGCTCACACTCATAATATTTGTTTCCCTTTATAAACCTCACTCCATTGCTCACTCAACCATATCATAGCTCTCACTCCAAAAACCAAAGCTTTCAACTTTGTAGAGAGAAGGCCAAAACCAGAGTTCTTGAGAGAGAGAGAGAGAGAGAGAGAGAGTGAAAACAGAGAAATGGAAGGGAAAGAAGAAGATGTGAGGCTGGGAGCCAACAAATTCTCAGAGAGGCAGCCCATAGGGACATCTGCACAGACAGACAAGGACTACAAGGAGCCACCACCGGCACCTCTGTTTGAGCCTGGTGAGCTCAAGTCCTGGTCTTTTGGAGGGCTGGAATTGCTGAGTTCATAGCCACCTTCTTGTTCCTCTACATCACTGTCTTGACTGTCATGGGTGTTTCTAGATCTCGCAGCAAGTGTTCTACTGTGGGTATTCAGGGCATTGCTTGGGCCTTTGGTGGTAGCATCTTTGCCCTTGTTTACTCCACTGCTGGTATCTCAGGTATATTCTTTATTTTTCTCTCATATTTTTCTTTCTTTGGTTTGATCTACTACGTACTGGCAGGCTTCCTTTCTTTTATTGTTTTTGTCTTTTAAAAAAATAAAGTTGATGGGTTAAATATGTGAAGATATATACAACAAAAAAATTTCAGGTTTTGAGTTGTTTCTTAAATTTATGTTTGGTTCCTAGTGAGGGAAGGAAAAGTAACAGTGGCGAAAGAAAAAAAGTTCCTCTTTTACTTATGCTTTCTGAGAGAATCAAATGGAGAAGTCGTCATGTTTGTGTATGGATTTGCTGTTTCGGTTGGGTATCTGAAAGTTTTACTGGCCATCACTTTACAGATGTTTGTATGCTTGCTGATGAAAAATAAAGAAACCACTTACTAAAAGAGAAAAAGAAAAAAGAAAAAAGAAGCGATCTTGTGTTTGGATATTGTGATCATCTGAAATTTCAGAGGCTTATTTCTCTAAATTCCTGTTTGGTTAGTAATGGTTACTGCTAAAACTGAGAATGGTGGAGTGAAAAAATGGGATTTGTTAAAGGTGCAAGCATTGTTCCTGATCTCCTTGATGCTTTTAATGGCCTTTTTCACTTTACCTCACAACATTCAGGAAAATGAAAATCTTCATTTTTGTTTTGCAGTATAAATTTGAAAGTTGATAGTATAAGGAAAAAAGATAATATTAACCTTGCTTTGTTGATCATTTGGTCAGGTGGTCACATAAACCCAGCCGTGACATTTGGTCTCTTCCTAGCAAGGAAGCTCTCCCTGACCAGAGCTGTATTCTATATAGTCATGCAAACCCTAGGGGCAATTGTTGGTGCTGGGGTGGTGAAGGGGTTCCAAAAGAACCAGTATGAGTTGCTGGGAGGTGGAGCTAATGTGGTGAACCATGGCTATACCAAGGGTGATGGCCTTGGTGCTGAGATTGTTGGCACTTTCGTTCTTGTGTACACTGTTTTCTCTGCCACTGATGCCAAGAGAAATGCTAGAGACTCTCATGTCCCTGTAAGTATATCTCACCTTTTCTTTTCTTACCTGGTTTTTTGATTACCCACTCGTTTCTACACTGTCCTCTTATGATTTTCTGTGACATGGATACAATTTTATACCTGTCTACTTATATTCTCATTGCAATGCTATAGTACTGGGTATAATCCCCATTGGAGTGAGATTATTGTAAAACTAACCATTTTGATACCCTTAGCCACTGTTAATTTTAAAGTCTTATTTGGTTGAAAGTTTAATGCAGGTTTACTCATTTGCACTGAATTTTTAGTAGAACAGTGTTTTCTATTTAACGCTAATTTCATTTGCACTGAGTTTTTAGTAGAACAGTAAGTGTTTTCTATTTAAAGCTAATGTCATAAGCCTGATGAATCTGACTTTCTTATGGATTAAACTTTCAGTGCACTCATAATCTTCATCATTACTTTCAATTGAAGTCCTTTTTTGAAAGTTCTATGCAAGTTGACCCTCTTTTGCACTAAATTTTTAGTCAAGTGGGTTTCTATTTAAAACTAATGAGTGTGGTTCATGAATCTGACCTCCTTATGGATTTGTGGGGGTGCGAATAGTGGTTGGTGTGACACTATTCACACTCCCCAATTGTGGGAGTACTTGGGGTCACAAACTGTTATGATTCCAAAAAAATCAGATAGTGAAAATCTTCTTTCTTGAGATTTTTACTATATACATATTGATCAACTAGTATCGTATCCACACCTCCTCAATCTAGTGATTTCTTGAGTTTGATTTTATGTTGCATAATGAAATTCTTGCATGAAGTTGCAAGTGGTATCATTTTTGGCAGCTGAATACTAAACCACCTTTCCTGTACGAATTAAAATGCAGATCTTGGCTCCACTTCCCATCGGGTTTGCAGTGTTCTTGGTGCACTTGGCAACCATCCCCATCACCGGAACCGGCATCAACCCTGCTAGGAGCCTTGGGGCTGCCATCATCTACAACAAGGACCGTGCATGGAATGATCATGTGAGTAAAACTGTTAAACATCATTTGAAGTCGCATCTAAATGTGTGGTTGAGATTATATGTGTCTTAAACCTGGGATGATTTTGTTGTGTTTCAGTGGATCTTCTGGGTGGGGCCGTTCATCGGAGCTGCACTTGCCGCCCTCTACCATCAGATAGTCATCAGAGCCATCCCATTCAAGACCAGGGATTGAGAAGTTGTCTGTTCTCGCCATTCAGCCTTGTGTCATAGGCAGCAACGATTATATTATCTCGTACATTATGTTCTGATGTTGAGAGTGGAATATTTGGGGTGTGCATAAGTTATTTGCCTTGTTACTTTAATGGAGAGCCTTATTTAATTTATACTTGTCATTGTGGTAATCCTTGTTGCATTAATTAGTCTCCACCAAGTTCATCTCTTTGATACCGTACGGCTTAGCCGGGGTGGTCACTGGCATAGCATTAATCAATAAGCAAACTAGCTAGGGTGGCAGACCAGAAAAAAGAAAAAAGAGAAAAAAAGGGTTAGCTAGCTTGAAGTTGTATGTTTCCTGATTTATAAGATGTTAAACAGCCCTGGAATTAGTCGTAGATCATGGAAAATAATAAAAACACAGAAGGTTAACTTGTATTCTGACACAATGACATACTATTTCAAGTTCCAACTACAAGAACAATTCAAAAGATAGGGACATGCTCTTAAATAACACTATTACGGTAAAAAAGTTAACAAGAACAATTTAAAAGATAGGGAAATGCTCTCAAGTAACACTAAAACTGACCCATTATATCGGTGTTATCTCGATATGTAGTCGAAACTGTCGATATTGTCTAATTATTTCAATAGGAAACAATTATAATCTCATATAGAATGATCAATTATAAGTAAAGTAACAATGTTATTTGAGAATTATTCTACTGGTATGTTGATATTTGAGAGTATTACTATTCCAACCTCAACACAAGTTCATAGCAATGATCAATTTCCATTATGTTTGCTTCATTCTATACGTTCTTTTTGGTATCAAGTTCATCATAATGTTTATTTATTAAACTATCCGGGACATCACATTATGTCATATATATATATATATATATATATATATATAAAGCAAAAGACAGAGAATGGTAAAACATTTAAAATACTAGAAAATGCCATTGGTTAATGTAAATATTAAGAATTGAAATTATTAATTAAATAAGGATAATATGGTAAATTAACACTTTTTCATATTTTTAAAAAGTAAAATTAAAAGAAAATTTAGATAATTGATCATATTTTTATGAAATACAACTACCCATTATCTTTTTTAATTCTAAAATAAATTTAATTTTCCACACTTACAAGAGGCTAGTTATATTATACTACTCAGAAAAGTCATGTTGTCAGCCATGCATGATCGACAAAAGACAGGAAAGACCAAAAGAGAGCAAAAATTGGCCCAATTATCTGAAAGTGGATTTATTTGGAAGAAAAAAAATAGGAGGGGAAATTCAGAACAAATATTAGAAGGGGTGAAGAAAGGAGCGAAATTTAGGACAATACCCAAAAGAAACAAGCAGCTCTCAAAAACACCCAAACACTTTTCAAAATGGCAAAAAAGCCCATTATCTTTAGCTTTAGAGACATGCAAGTCCTAGAACTCTTTCCTCCACCATCAGCATGTGAATATTTTGTCTTCAAGCAACCAGACCATGTGAAAACCTTGACCGAGCCCTTATTCAAAAATGGTATCAGAGTTTTAGTTTAGCATCGTTTAAAAGTTCTTTTATTTGTTGTTCAAATTCTTGCTTATCTAACAAGTTAGAAGGCATATATGCTGTTTTAATTGTTAAGTTTGGATTGATAATGTCTAATTTTGCTAATATCTTATTCTTATTCCAATGTAATTGGGGATCTTCTCCTATAATTCTAGTTTGTTCAGCTAATTGTAACAATTCTTCTAAATTTTTTGGTTTATCTATTTGCATGATTTCTAAAGGTTCTACGTTTCCTATAAGTGGATACTCATGATCAAATATTATGTCATCATATTCTAAATTATTTTGTTCATCTATTTTTTCGTCACTTATTTCTTCTAATTCTTCCATATTATATTTAAAATTTTGTTCTTCTATGTTAATACTATTGTAAGACTCTAATATATTACTTTGATCCGTTGTGGTTATACCTTTCTTAAAAAATGTAATGTCTGGAGGTGTATATAAAATCATCCTTGTAAACTTTTTAAGAAATTTAATCATAAGATAAATGGATATGATCCTACTGGGGATATAAAGGTTAAGGGTAAATTAAACTGTTGTCTTTATATCCTAATTGGTATATTATTAATACATGTGTTAAGTATACATGTCTTGTGTCAAACTGTATGATTCTTACTGGTCTAGCTAATTTCTGCCTAAATTGTTCTGGTACTAACTCTTCTTTTATTACATTTTTTGTGCTTCATGTATCTATCATGGCTGTTGTTTGAATTTTATTTTATTTTGATAATTCTAACTCACAATTAATTGTTATTAATGAACTAGTCTTTTGTTTTTCTATACTAGGGCAATTATTCTTTTGATTATCTATCTCAACTGTATTTATTTCTATTGGTCTATTATTAAAACAAGGTTTACAATAAACAAACTCTTCTTCTCATCCTTAGCCATGGTAGAAGTCGGTGTAATTTGTGTATATAGTTTGTAACTTCGAAGAAAGAAGTACAGAACACCAGAGAAGAAAAAATCTCAGTACTTTCTCCTTCAAATTTTCAATTAATAAAACTCCATTTGTTCATATACTTTCTTTTATTTTCTTATTATTCTCTTACTCCGACCATTATTAATACCGTCGACCACTGTTTATACCCGGTGATAACAGTAGTTCCAGCAACATAAGCAATTAAGTAAGTTTTTCTCTTTTATTTTTGGTTTTCTTAGTAGACTTCTTGTCCAAAATAGGGAAACACTTTTATAATTATGTTATTATCTTGCTAAACTGACGATCAATACTTTGTTTGAGCACTTGGTCATGTTTGATATTTGCCATAACAATAATTGGATGTTTGTCAAGGAACCTCTGAGTTCAGAGAACATCTGAGTTCTGCTCCATAGCCCTTTAAGTTGGGGTCTTTGCACTTCCATGTTTTAGGCATGGTATCTGGTTGTTATTTTGGCTTTTAGAAAACCTTGATCGAGCCCTTATTCAAAAAAGCAGAACATATTACAACAGAAAATAATGACAACTCATATTGGAATAGCTTAGGAGAAAAAGAGCTACACAACATAGATAACATGATGGATGCATGAAGACCACGTGAAGAATCCATCCAGCAGAACAGCCGCCAAATTTCTTGGCTCCATACGGTAGCAACATATGAAAAGAATAAAGATTTCAGTTTCATACGGCTAGGATCCCCTAGGAAATCTAGAAATGAATAAGGGCATTACTGTCCAACCACTTTAATTTTGTCATTCTTTATAAATATTGTACCCATTTTGGGTTTATTTATAAGTCTCCCAAGAAAGGATGAGAAGAAGTATATAGAATATAAACAAAAAATTAAAATAGTTTTTCATTTTCCTATCTCTCATGCCCTTTCTTTAATTAAAAAGGAAAAATAATGTGGGCCTTTCAAATTTTCTGATATTCAGCTGCCCCAAGCCCAAAGTCCAAACTCCACCTTCAACTTTAGCCTACTGAGTCGTTTCCAACTTTTCTCGTCCGATATTTCTCCATCTCTCAGCCTGACGCCACCACTAGCAGGTAATAGCAACTCCTCCTTCGACAGCCTTTCAAATTCACTGTCTCGGTTTTCTAATAACGTAATTATATGTTTCTGTCATTTGGTTTCATTCTTCCTGATGCATATTCAATTCTCGGAAATGGACCTTGCTTTATAATTGTTGATCTTGTGCTGGGATGCCTTTCTCTGATAAGTAAATTGTACCCATGTAAAGCTTCGATTTTTCCTTGAGTTACAGTCTTAAAATTGTTTTCCTTTTAATCTGCTAGCTCTTAAGAGCAATTTGGTGAAGTGGGTAGGTACTGTTATCCTAAAATTTACTGAAAGATTTGAACTTTGGATGTGGGATTAGAAGGGTTTTGATTCAATCTGTCATCAATTGATCAATTGATTGTCTGCCAGTTTTTTCTAAATAATCTGGATGAGTATTGATGGATTTTGGATGGGTTTTTGCTGGTTTTTGTAGTTAGTTTTTCTTTGGAATATCTCTCAAGTGGTTTGGTAATTTTTTTTAAATGATGATACCGGGGTAGTTGAATTGGTGGGGGTTTATTAGACAATGGAAGCCTGTGTGCCGTGGAATTCTCTTTGTGCTGTAGTATTGTTAAGTCATCCAAGTTCCAAAGATGAATTCTTGTTTTAATGTTTCAGTTGTGCTTTTAATTCAATCTCTGGTATTCTTCTGAAGCGTTTGCTTATATTATCACGCAATCTTCCTCCTTTTTTTGTTTTTGGCCAACAGATTCGCATTGGTACACTTTTGAATATTTCTTTTGTTCTAATACTTGGTTGTTATCTTGGTTCCAGAATATTTTTGTCTTGTCATTTTCTGAGGTTCTATCACTAGGAAGAGCTCATACTTTCTCTTATAACGGTTTATGAGAAATTTTTATAAATTGTCTTACCTAATTTTATGTACATATTATAGGAAAAGCGCGCCTATTACATTAGAGTTTTGTGTTTTTTTTCTTTCGGTTGTTAATATAAATAATTTTAATATGGAAACACCAAACAAAAACCCTAATCTTCTAAGTCAATCAAACAGCGTAGTGCACGGCTGAGTTCATCTACTGTTTTCTAGTTTCTAGGTGGACATAAATCATAGCTGGAGAACTGAAGGAAGGCAACTATGTCGTTCATGAAAGGAGATTTACTTGCAAGAACCAGAAAGCTGGTGAAGGGCCTGGCCAAGGCTGAGCCTGTTTGGCTCAAAGCCATGGAACGGTTTGCCCCTCTCTTTCTCACCATTCTGTGATTCTTGGCATGCATTTTCTTATATTTTTTATTTAATTTTTGAAAACATAATGTTTTGGGAATTTCTCAGGGTACCGCCTGTAACATTTCCTCGTGCAGATGCAATTCAGAAAATCACTCTCCCAGAGGATGTCTACATAAAGAAGTTTTTCCGAAAGCATCCAGATTCCAAGCATGAGGATGCCATCAAGTATGGTTTATCGTTGTTTTTTGTTGCAGTACTCGGTGTTCATGTTCCTCTTCATTTCAGTCTCTCAGTGTGTGAGCAAAATGAGTTCTGGTCTCATTACAAATGGGGTGTTTTCATAATTTATCTTTAGCAGACAAATGTGATCAGTATTTCAGAATTGAATATGTAGCTTGAATCAGAAAGACATATTAACTTGTTATCAGAAAACACACGACATATTAACATAGCAATTATGTTTGAACAGGTTTTCTGCTTTTGATCCTCCTCCAGCCCGTATATTTGGTTTGAGGGTGCTTGAGCTGAAAGAGCAAGGGGTTTCTGAGCAGGAGGCAATGGCAGTAGCTGATGTATGTATTCGCATTTCCTGTCCCTGAAATATATACTCTTTCTAAGTTGTATCTAACTGTTTTTTCATGTCGTCTTCTAGATGGAATACCGTATGGAGAGAAAAGGAAAGAAAATGGCATATTCTCGCTTGAAGAAAATTGCACGCCTTCAAGGGAAGAAGCCTCCTCCCAACCCATATCCCAGCGCCATCAAGGAGATACAAGCTGAGGAAAAGAAGTATGTTCGCGACCGTTTTTTCAATCCCAGGATTAGGCAAATTTTAAGGAAATTGCAAGAGGAGCATGCAGCCGAGAGGCAGGACAGACTCCGAGGGGAAGGAGGTTCCTTGTAACTTAATGTGCCATTGCTTGATAATAATTTTGGTTAGTTAGCCTCCCGAGATTTGGTATATTGACTTTAGCATTTGATCAAGTATTAGACAAGTCTGTTGAAAAGTTTTCTTTTCAAATATTTTTCTTTCGCACCCTTTTCTCGAAGGTTAGAGAAATACTTTACATTTGTGAAATTGGCATTATATGGAGGTTACACTATGTGCCGTGCGTGTTCAACTCTTTTCCTAACCCCTACTCAACACTACATATTGCCTGCGTTTGGATTTGGAAGGTTTAACCTCTTGGTTTAGTGGTTTGGTATGAGTCTACTTTTCAAGACCCATTGCTTTCCAAGCCAATTTGCAGTATGCAGGTATATAATAGAGGACAATGTAGAACACATCACTAATAGCAGCAGGGCTCATGGCTAGTGAGAAACACTTGTTACATACTATGATTGCTATCACTGTTTCACACAAGTTTTTCTGCATGACCAGTAGACTTTGTGGTGGTTTACAATGTGATCAAGGGGTTGGTTCAATTCAATCCAACATATCTCATTTAATGAGAGCTACTTGGCTAGGCTGGCCGGCAATGACATACAGAATTCAACTAGTAATTAATGTGTCTATTGAATGTATGCATTTCCAGGTAAAAGGCTTCTCAGCCTTCCATAAACTCTTTTGTCACAGCTTTGAAAGATTTGACTTGAAATTTATTGTAAGGTGGTCCACTGTATCCTATCAACAAATCTATTATTTCAGACTGAATCCCCGACAGAAACTACTGTTTTTAACTGTCATGATGTCAAACGAATTTACAGTCGACAATTGAGCATGGCGAATATGGTGAAAGGAGAACATACTAACTAATAAACTTGTGAGAGCTTGTATGCTTAGGTTTTGCTAGTGGACGGCTTTCAATCGTTAACACAAAGTAAAATTTACATGCATCAACAAGAATAATGGTTGCTCGCTGCCGCGTGTGCAACCGTCGGTGGTTGTGTGCATTAATCGGTCTCAAAAGTCATCTCCGCGGTTGATTATGATTAAGGTGTAGATGTGATAACTGTATTTGATATTAAAGGACCTAAAAAAAAAGAATTGTTTATAGGCAGAGTACTTGGGTTCTGTCAACATCTGCCTCAATCAATTCCCACCAAGAATTGCAGCTGATCATAAGTTTGTTTCATGTATCGATAGATAGCTAAGTAATGTTTTCTTATACTTAAATCTAAAATTGGAAGTTTTCTTATACTTAAATCTAAAATTGGAAATTTTCTAGGCAACCAAACAAGTCCCAACACTAATTTCTTGCACGTAATCTGAAAGTTGAAACACAAATTTAGATAAGATAGCTGCAATAGTCTAGGCCTACGCCAGATGAAAGTATGGCCACCAATGAAAGCAGTGATAAAATCATTTAACTCTTCAAGGCTTCACCTACTCCAACCAACCCCCATAGAAATTATTATCTATTTTGCTCGGAAGATGATCTAACCTCCAACCAGTCCCCAACGTCCCCTGCCTTCATGTATTGAAGTTTTGCTACAATTTTCTTCACCGCAAATCAGTCTTGCAATTTTCAAATGACAAAGTCAAGTGATGGAGAAAAACTACATTGTCTTTATCGGTATATAATTATGTTTTTATCTCTCTCGTTACACGTAACTACATCATGTGAATGTTTTTCTGAAAAATCAACCCAGATAACAAAGTCCAAACATTAATGCATATGTGTTTTATTTAAGTTATAACACACTCTTCTGTTTTTCACGTTAAAGAATGAACCAAATTAAATCCAGCCCAATTATTCCAAACATCTAGTCTCAAAGCCATTTTCTGGTGAGACTATTTAATGCTCACTTTGAATTCGACCTGCTTGGTTTGAACAATTAATTCATCATTGCAGTCGGCTGTAGGTGAGTTATTGTATCGACAATTGGAATAATTACTAATTACCATCACTGAAATGTCTGATATATAGTTGTATTTTATTAGATTGTTACTATTTACACCCCATTTACTGCTTACATTACCAATAACCTTTTTAATAAAGATAAATCCTATATATGCTACTATGCGAGTACGGGCCACTTAGAGAGGTGATCATCAACGTGAACTATCTTATAACATTATTGCTTTGTTACTAAATATGGTCTCATTATAAACAGAGAGTGCATGTGATTCATCTAGCACATGAAAAACATGAAAGCGATGGGTGTACCATCTTTTACCCATACAGAAATAATAAACAACTAATTGGCTGAATATCCGTACTTACGAATTACAGTTTCATATTTATATATAAAATGTATTTTTCGTACGTATATGTGTTAAATTATAATTTGCACGTAAAAAGAATCCAAGCAATGTTGATGAAATTATGCAAATAATTAAATAAATGGGAATTTTATGTAGACCCATGACCCATCAATGTGCAATATTCTCATGCACATTTTCAACCCCAACCACATTTCCAGCCAAAACAAGAAAAATACTTCCCTGCGTTAATTAATTTGTAGACCCAGCAAGTAGGGATAGCACGGTAATTTCAGCCCCAACTCCCTCATTTAAAACCCCCGCCTTCTATCTCACGCCATCCCTCGCTCAAAAAGCAGACGCAGAGAAAGAGAGAAAAGAAAGAGAGGCTTCAGTTTCCCAAACGATGTCGTCGCAGAAGCAACCGCGGAGCTTCCCGTCCATTACGGCGTGCGACACGAGCGAAACGGCGTCGTACGATTCGATCGCTGCCGACCTCGACGGCACGCTCCTCATCTCCCGGAGCTCGTTCCCTTACTTCATGCTCGTCGCCATTGAAGCCGGCAGTCTCCTCCGAGGCCTCGTCCTCCTCCTCTCCCTCCCTCTCATCATCATCTCCTACTTCTTCTTCTCCGAAGCCCTCGGCATCCAAATCCTCATCTTCATCTCCTTCTCAGGCCTCAAAATCCGCGACATCGAGCTCGCCTCCCGCGCTGTCCTCCCCCGGTACACAAAAATCAAATAAAAAGCAATTTCATTTGAATATAAACATTTAAATTTGACATTTTTTATTTAATTTTTTGAATTGATCAGGTTTTATGCTGCGGACGTGAGGGCGGAGAGTTTCGAGGTGTTCGACAAGTGCAAGAGGAAGGTGGTGGTGACTGCGAATCCGACGGTGATGGTGGAGCCGTTCGTGAAGGATTTTTTGGGCGGCGATAAGGTGCTGGGCACGGAGATCGAGGTGAACCCCAAGACGAAGAAGGCAACCGGGTTCGTGAAGAAGCCGGGGGTTTTAGTGGGGAAATTGAAGCGTTTGGCGGTTCTGAAGGAGTTCGGCGACGAAGTTCCGGATCTTGGGATCGGAGATCGGAGCTCCGACCATGATTACATGTCACTTTGCAAGGTCAGTACAGGCACTTCTGCTACTTCACATTTTTGCTTAATTATTTCATTTATTTGGTTTTGTTTTCCCCTTTCTAATTTGTTATAGTAAAAGCATGGGACCCACATAATTTAACTTCCCCAACCACTTGCCAGCTAAAATTGTATGTTGTCCATTCAATGGAACTGTGGATCTCTGATGGTAAGGAAAGGAAATCATTAAGTCAATTATTGTTAATGCATAATTTGGAAATGCAACCATTAAATGATCATAACCTACCGCATCTCCTTTAAACATTTTAAGCAAGGAATCTTATCGTCAAGTCTAAAAAAGAATAATAAAAAAACTCTAGTTACAAGTATGCCTATATACCATGTTGAATTCACTGCGGATAATTAATTATTCTAAGACATTTGAAACTTGTTCCATAATTATGATCAGATATCTATTCAACAAATTTATAAATAAGCTAATATGGTTTTTTAATTCTTTGGCTAAAAAGGGGCAGTTGAATGATAATACTTATATTTGGTTTCATTATCTTCATTTTGATACGAGCTTTTGTGTTAAGTTTGGTTTGTATGGTTGTAAGATCTGTCACGATTGTGTATTATTTTTTGAGTTTAAAAACGATATTACATTTTAATTAAATTATATCATAAATACCATGTGCTGGTTGGTGGAATTTATATCTAATTTTTAATTTGAAATAAGATTGGCTCCTTTAATTTATTCAGCTGTTTCATGTGAATTTTTGCTGACTCTGGTGTGGCTAATCAAATGTTGGGCAGGAGGGCTACATGGTGCACCCAAGCAAATCAGCCCGTCCAGTCTCCAAAAACCGTCTCAAGAGCCAAATAATTTTCCATGATGGACGCCTAGTGCAGCGCCCGGACCCACTCAACGCCATCCTAACGTATCTCTGGCTGCCATTTGGCTTCATCCTCTGTATAATGCGTGTGTACATCAACCTCCCTCTCCCCGAGCGCATCGTAACGTACACCTACGCAATGCTGGGGATCAAGCTCGTGATCCGCGGCAACCGGCCCCCACCGCCCTCTCGCGGGACCCCCGGCAACCTCTACGTGTGCAATCACCGTACAGCGCTCGACCCGATCATCATCGCCATTGCGCTCGGACGCAAAGTCTCGTGTGTGTCGTACAGCGTAAGTCGGCTCTCGAGGTTTCTCTCGCCAATCCCAACCATTGCTTTAACCCGCGATCGTGAGGCTGACGCTGCCCGCTTATCAGCGCTTCTCCAGAAGGGAGACCTCGTGGTGTGCCCCGAGGGCACCACGTGTCGCGAGCCCTTCTTGCTGCGATTCAGTGCTTTGTTCGCAGAGATGAGCGATAGGATCGTTCCCGTGGCGGTCAACTGCAAGCAGAACATGTTCTACGGGACCACGGTGCGCGGGGTCAAGTTCTGGGACCCGTATTTCTTCTTCATGAACCCGAGGCCCACTTACGAGGCGACGTTTCTGGACCGGTTGCCAAGCGACATGTCGTGCAAGGCTGGGAAGTCGGCGATTGAGGTGGCGAATTATGTGCAGAAGGTGTTGGGCGATGTGCTGGGGTTTGAGCGCACTGGATTGACGAGGAAGGACAAGTATTTGTTGCTGGGAGGGAATGATGGCAAGGTGGAGTCTATGTACAACGCAAAGAAGTGAAGGTGCGTGATGTGGGAGGGTATTTTGGTCATTCGCAGTGATAGGGGAAGAGATAATGTGTTCAGAAGGGTATATTGGTCTTAAGTGTAGAGAAGTTTATGTGAATTTGGATAACGTGATTGATTAAGGCTCCATCCATATGAAGTTGTTTGTTGTTGTTATGTTAATCTATTATAATATTTAATATTTATATTCCTCCGGGCTGTTTTATTTTTCATTGGGATAGATTTGACATTGGGATCGAGAAATCCCAGGCCACCACACCAGTATGGCCTCGAAACCAGTTTGATGTTCCTGCTGGTATCTCAACAGGTTGTGGGATAAGCTTAGCCTCTCCTGGGCTGTTGTTTCCTCGGCGTGGTGAAGCCGTTGCTCGACCATAAGTTTCCTGCCAACTTTGGAAAGCCTTAGCTTGGTTATCCCATTTTTCTAGCATATGGATCATTAGCTGTTCCAATGATGCTTGTTTAGGCTGTGCTGCCTGAACATCTTCAACTTCAATTTCATCAGCAGCAGCATTGGTTTCGTTGGAAAGATTCATTGGTGGGGGAGAGCTGTCTCTCAAATAGAGTTTCCTGCGAGTTTTATTGACCATACAAGATTAGTCCCATTAGGCGTGCTGGAAAGATTCATTGGTGGGGGACATCCCTCTGGCCGCTAGCAGGCTGTACTTTGGCAGCTAGTGGCTTTGCTTGTGTGTCAAGGAAATGGGCCTGAGATGGGCTCAGGGACTATTCCTTGGGGGATTGCGATAGGCGTGCCACTACTAGTGATACCCTTCTAGTAGAAAGAGGGAATGGAATGGTGTTTACGCTGTGGATGTATTTGCGCTCCTGGGATCTTTTCTTCTAATCAAAGCCACTGTGCTTTAAAGAGGGGAATTTGGCTTTAGATATGTGACACTTGTAAAAGCAAAACAGTTTTATTGTTTTCAAATCAGAGTCCAAACCACGCCCCTTCTTAATCCTTTAACACTGATTGTTTAAGTGATTAAATCATTTAGAGAATCGCTTGGGTCTTCGTGATTTCAGCATGGGCTGTGTTAATAACTTCCTTTAATGGATCTTAAGGCTCTAGCAGACTTTGCTTGGGCCTTCTCTATCTGCTGTGATGGTTTTTTGGGAGTTGGGCCCAGCTTGATAAGCCACAAAATTGGCTCATTAACTGTAGAATTTAACCTGGTGTAAATTTTGGTCTGAACAGAAACTCAACGGACAGTCGCAACAGAACACATGCAACTGAGATGTTCAGTGACAACCACATGCACAAAATGAATACAGAAGCAGACTATCCAGAAGGCTCTAGCAGCCTAATCTAAAATGAGGTTACTGTAATCTCTTCTTTTATAAACTCGATTCCCTCACAGCCTAATCCTAACCCTTTAATTCAGATACTTTAACTGTCCTGCCTGCCTGCTTGGTTAAATTGCAGTTCACTGCAAGATTCACTTCTTTCTGCTGACACGGATGCCTTAATGACTCTGTAAGTTTTTGCAAGAAAAGTATGAATCAAAAGAGAAGAGCATAGAAAAGCATAAAACGAAATCAAACAAGAATGTTCCATCCACATATCATATTGGCCACCACAGTTTTTTGCATCACATATAGCAATCATCATTGAGCATATGATTTAATATGATAGTCCAAGAATGTGCTTTCTCATATTCTTTTGTGTATGATTTGGCGGTTTTCTAGTTCACATTTCAATGAAGAACAAACCATTTAAAACCTTTGTTAAATAAGTGAGAGTGTATCAATCATCTCCATTTATTCTCAACAGACCAGAAAATAGCTGTAACTACATTGCATTCAGCTCATACAGATTTTCGAAGATTTTGGTTGTGTTCCGACAAGGAATGAGAGATGGGTGGTGGCTGTTGTGGCTTTTCCGTCTGGGGTGGGAAGGTTCTCGCCGTTGTGGTCGAACATGTCGTGGCATTTGACGACTTTGGGGTTGTCGACATCGTGGAAGATTTCGATCTCGCTGCAGATTTGGTTGTCGACCCGGTTCCTTGTAGACGATGCCTTTGGTTCCGATCCGAGTCGAAAGCCGTGACCCACCTTCTCACCTCTGAGAAGCAACGGATAGACAAGGTGATGGGGTTAGGCTACCAGGGATTAACTTGAATCTTCAGCTATTCATCATCACTTTTTCTTATTTGATTTTTTATCACAAATGGTCCTACATGTTTATGAAATTATCACGAATAGTCTTTGAGGTTTTTTTGTGACACTAATAGTCCTTAACGTTTGGGTTTTTTTATCACAAATGGTCCCTGTCGTTACAAATTCTGTTAAGTGTGACGTGAAAGATAACTGGAGCCCACCTGTCCAATTACATTGTGACATGTGGATAAAAAATAATTAAATAATTTTTTAATGAAAAATCCCTTTTTTTTCTGCAACTTTTCATCCCCCTTCCTTACTCCGTCTCTCTCCCCCTCTGCCCTCGCTCTCCACCCTTTGCTCTCCATCTCTTCTCCCTCTGTTTTTTTCCTTTCCCACTGCCACCTGCAAGAAAAAAAAAGAAAGATATACAGTTGCTTTCCACCCTTTGCTCTCCATCTCTTCTCCCTGTCTCCTTCTCCTTCTCCCTCTGTTTTTTTCTTTCCCCTGTGCGCCTCCCTCTTTTCACCAACCAATCCATTTCTCCCTTAGTCGCTGGTAGTAAAGAATATGTTCATTCCCTCCGCCAATTCTACCGCGATTGCATAATCGAAGGCACGATTGATTTCATTTTCGGAAAAGCAGCTGCAGTCTTCCAAAACTGCACAGTAAATGTTCGAAAACCGATTCCCGGTCAGAAATTGATGATCACTGCTCAAGGGAGATACGACCCAAATCAAAACACTGGCATTTTGTTGCAAAACTGTACCATCGTGGCTGCACCAGATTTCAACAAGACCGAGAGGCAAAATTTCACAACTTTTTGGGTAGGCCTTGGAGAAACTATTCAAGGACTACAGTCATGAAGAGCTACTTGGGGGACATGATAAATCTACAAGAGTGGTCAAAGTGGGATGATTATAGAACTGTGGAAACTGTGGAGTACATAGAGTACTTGAATTTTGGACCTGGATCAGATACAAGGCACATGGTCAAATGGGGAGGCTATAAAAAGAATTGCAGTGAAGAGATTGCAGGGCAGTTTACAGTTGGTTTGTTCTTACCTGGAGCAGGTCATTGGCTAAAGACAACAGGCATTCCACTTTCTTATGGTTCATAAGGAGAAGGAGACAGGGAGATGGAGAGCAAAGGGTGGAGAGCGAGGGCAGAGGGGGAGAGAGACGGAGTAAGGAAGAGGGATGAAAAGTTGCAGAAAAAAGAAAAAAGGAATTTTCATTAAAAAAATTATTTAACTATTTTTTTATCCACATGTCACAATGTGATTGGACAGATGGGCTCCACTTATCTTCCACGTCACATTTAACAAAATTTTTAACGGTAGGAACCATTTGTGATAAAAAGTCCAAACGTTAAGGACTATTAGTGTCACAAAAAAACCTTAAGGACCATTCGTGATAATTTCGTAAACGTGAAGAACCATTTGTGATAAAAAAGCCTTCTTATTTTTAGTACTCAGAATGTTGTCCTCTTATCACATTCACAAATTCATTCGTCGTGTATGAAAATTTATTTCCACAAGTCTTCTTGTCCATTAATCCCAAAATTAATGAACTTCTTATATTCATACCCAACAAAAAATAAAAAATAAAAGAAGAAAAATGCGATTATCTGATTAAGACCTTCAAAATTTAGTCAATTATTGAAGTCTCAAGTCAATTTATGGGCACTTGCATCTTGAAAATTAGTGGGCACTTGCATCTTAATTTCTAAAAGTAGCAGATGAATGATATATGCAGTCCTTTTTTCATGTTTTGTGTTGAATAAAAATGCATGTGTGAATATGTGAAACACGTTACAAAGTGACACACTTATATTTTGCATTATGAAATCCCAATTATTTTTTTCTCAAAGCTGTGCTTTTGGTGGAAATAAAGAGTACAAGTCTTTAAAGTCAAGTCATCAATACTTACACTACGACATAATAATTAAAAATTATTATTTTGATCTATCTTCTAACTCACTAGTTTTAGACATTCATGCTGATTGGATTCCTCCTTTCCAACTGGACCAAATAATTTTGCGGTCTTGCAAGATGGGTCCGGATTTCCCAAAGTGGCTTCAAACTCAAAAAAAAATCTCATACCTTGATATTTCTGATGCTGGAATTTCCGACATCCTTCCAAGTTGGTTTTGGAGTTTGTGTCGTAATGTGGAATTTATGAATCTCACAGACAACCAAATTAGAGGTTCATTTGCAGATTTGACATTGGAATTTTCACATTCCCCTGCACTATATCTGAGTTCTAATAAGTTGGAAGGTCCAATCCCCTCAGTTCTATCAACAGCCTCATATCTGGATCTCTCTTATAATAAACTTTCAGGGTCAATTTCGTTCTTGTGTTCAAGTGCAGCTATTTCTTTAGGCTTTCTTGACCTCTCAAGCAACAATTTTTCTGGACAAGTTCCAGATTGCTTGACACATTTGGAGAATTTAGTCATGCTTGATTTGAGTTTTAATGCTTTGTCTGGGAAAATTCCTACAACAATAGGCTCCCTATTTCATATTGAAACACTCAAATTGAGAAGCAATAGATTTGTGGGACAATTGCCTTCGTCGTTGAAGAATTGCAGGAGTTTAATGCTCGTTGATGTTGGGGATAATAAATTATCTGGACCCATACCTAAATGGTTAGGGGTTAGCTTAAAGAATTTGGTTATCTTGATGCTTTCGTCTAATCACTTCAATGGAAGCTTGCCCACACAAATATGCCATTTAACAGACATTCAAATTTTGGATTTCTCCATGAACAACATCTCTGGAAGCATACCCAAATGCCTCAACAATTTAACTACTCTGGCTCAGAAAGGAAATCCAAGTTTGGACATCGAACATCCTGCCGCCGCTGCCTCCCCAGAACCTATGGCATTTGCTTCTGTTACTAATGACTTTCAATATGAGGATAAGGCAACCTTCATATGGAAAGGAAGAACGTACTCATACAAAAACACTTTGGGGCTTGTGAAGATGATTGATTTGTCGAGCAATAGATTGACAGGAGAGATTCCAAGTGAAATCACTCATCTTGTTTGGTTCGTTTCTTTAAACTTGTCGAGAATCTAATTAACAGGTCAAATAACTCCAGAGATTGGAAACTTGCAGTCACTGGATATCCTTGATTTATCAAGAAACCAGATAGAAGGACGAATTCCAACAAACCTTGCTCGGATAGATCATCTTGGTTTCTTGGACTTGTCATTTAACAACTTATCTGGCGAAATTCCAATCGGGACTCAACTCCAAGGCTTTGATCCCTCTGTTTATGCTGGAAATCCTCAACTCTGTGGAGCTCCACTTTATGCTCAACATGTGCAAACTGACTTGAGGAATCAAGAGGATGACCTTATAACATTGGGATTTTACATCAGTATGGGGGTTGGGTTTGCAGCTGGATTTTGAGGAGTTTGCGGCACTTTGATATTCAAGAGGTCATGGAGATACGCATACTTCAAGTTCTTGAATGGTTTAAATGATTGGCTTTACGTGAGAGTAGCTTTGATCAAGCGGCAACTCAAGGATATGCTTAATAGATAAGCTGTAAGTAGATGAATTCTTGTGTTTTTAAACAAAACATATGGAGTAAAGCTATTTTTGTTTAATTTGGTTTTCATCAAAACTTATGGGTGCTTGTTTGCTTGTATCTTTAGCTCCAGCATCTTCGGAGTGGGAGGCAACCTCCATGCGTCAGTTGACTTGAAGAGTGCATAGTTGCCATGGAAGCAATGATATATCTGCACAAGTTTTCAAGTATTGGTTTAAATGATTGGCTTTGTTTGTATTAATATTAATAAGGATTTGTTACTGTATCTTTGTTTGTAAGCAATTATGTGGTGGGAATTTTCCTTGGTAAATGATTTGTTAGTGTGTCTTGTTTGTAAGCAATTATGAATAGGACTTCTCCAAACAATTGTTTGCCATGAATTTTATTTTCTGCAGAAAGCAAATTATGAATTGGTATCCTCTGTTTTTCATCAGAAAGAATACACCAGGAATCTTTTATGTATTATGTACACAAATTACAAGCTTTTTCCCTCCCAGTGTAGTTTACAACATTTTTTTTTCCATTTTTCCATAGTAATTCATATACTATAAACATTTAATGGACAAGAATTCAAATACAACATATCTCACTAGAAAATGACCAGAATCTTAATATCATGGAACTGAGTGAAGCTTTGACTTTCGCGGTTCGTGAAAGCCAAATTGAGAAGTGTCAAATTAAAAACCAGACCCTTGGAGGGCGTTTGATATCCTATTAAAGTATGGAACTCAAAAATTTTGATTTTTCTTAAAAATAAGGAGTTTAGGCTCGTTTTGCCTTTGGGCCTGCCCCGTTATGTGGGACCCACCTATTGCCCGGGCAACTGAAGCCCGCTGGAACTCATGCCTGGGTCTTGGGCCCCCTCCTGCTCGGATAATTCGAACTGCTGGAAGTGCTCTTAGAGACGTACCCAAACGTGGTCGTTCCATTTTGGGTATTATTAGTATTACGGAGCCAAAAAGCGCAAAAGCTTCGTCGTTTTGATCACAACGTTTCTGGAGGTAAAGAGCAACAGACGGGAAGAATTCTCGTTAGTGAGACACCGAAGACTGAGCGATGTACTTGAAGAAGCCGCTATGGAGTGAGGGAACGACAACACCGAAGGCCTCGGCGGAATCTGATTCAAACCCGCCCGCGACCGCCGTCAGCGATCTGGTCAACTCGTTGACCACGCAGAGAGTGTACCGCGAGGTCACCCTCGCTCTCCGGAGCGGCCTGCGCGACGTTCGTGCCGAGTTCTCTTTCCTCCGAGTCCGCGGCCTCCGCAGCCTCCTCAAGTTCCTCCGATCAGTCGCCGAGTCCGATTCCACCATCAACCTCTTCTCTCAGACCCAATCGCTCCCTGAGCTTCAAGGTAATTCGAAATCAGAAATTTCAATTTTTGCTTTCATTTCCTGATAAATTGATTTTGATTTGTTTGAAAATGGTGAACAGTGGTGCCGGTTCTGTTTCAAAACTCGCTGAAAGATGCGGAGGATGAGATCGTGCGAAATTTGGATCACATTTTCGGGGTCGAGCCTCTGAAGATCACGAGCCCTTCAAGCGACTCTGAGGTTTCGCTTGCGCTTCGAGTTTTGGAGGGCTGTTGTCTGCTTCATCCAGATAGCGCGGTCTTGGCTCATCAGCACAAGGCCATTCAGGTAGGTACCCATGTAGCTAAAAGCTCAACCAAAATCTACGGAGTAGTTATCAATTTCAGATATTAAAGTTTTTGGTTTTTGTTTTTGTAATTGGGTTTGTGTAGGTGTTGATGAATATACTGCCAACTCGAGGGGTGATTGAGCAAAGCGCTTGCTTGGATGCTTTGATTGCAATAATGTTGGATTCATCAGCTAATCAAATGGTAGGTTTAAGCCTCGTTGTGCTTGGTTTCTGATTGGTGATGGGATTTTACAATTTCATTGTTTTTGTGTAATGTTCAGGATTTTGAAGCGTTTCATGGTATTGAGGAAGTTGCAGAGCTCATTAGAGACAAGCAAGTTGATGAGAACCTCAGGTTTTTGTTCAATTTATGCTGATTGATTGATTGGTTTCTTATGTTAACCTCCGTTATTGCATAAAATCTGACATTATATATTGAGATGGTGCCTTCACTGCCCCGAGTTGTGGTTTGAAGCTTTATCTACTTAGTGTGGTTTTTCGAAGGGTGAATTCTGGGAAATGAGTAGTTTCATTGATAAATTGTCGGGTAAATGTAAAAGTTTGTGCAACAATAGGTTTATGGAAGCCACATGATTGCTGTCTGTGCTCCTTGTTTCTTCCAAATCCTTGCATCTTTATCATTAGCAGTGCCATTTTTCGGCTTGTGCATCAGACGAGTCTTGATAAAAATCCCATGTTTTCCTTTATTCTAGGCTTAGTTGAACTATGTCCTGTTGCTCATTTTCATTTTCATCAAATGTGTAATGAGGTATTCTTCGAGAAATGAGTTAGAGTTAGGGTTTCTGAATATTGGTCTGCCTAGGCTGAGGTCTTTTCTTTGCTAATCTAATGGACACTGAAGGCCAACATCTTTTGCTTCTGATTAGGTTGAAATGTGGAGAGTTCTTGCTACTGCTCATTGGGCATGTAAATGGGAGGGACAGGCCTCCCTTGGCAACTGTACATGAAGACATAAGGAGGCTTTTAGGTGAGAAATCTGCTTCCTTGATATGGGCAGCCAGTCAATTTGGTTCAACTCTTGATCCGGAGCAGAGACTAACCGCGCTTCACATCCAAGCTCGTCGCGTGATAGAGTCCTTGGACCTGTACTGAATCTGAACATAGAAACTAGAAAGCACCCTAGGCAATTTTCCTTTGTTTTTCAATGAAATCACAATCTGTAGCCGTATTTTTGCCCATTTGCCTGTTTGTATGTAGTTCTTTGTTTGCAACGGCTGATGTTCAAGAATGTTTAAGAAATTGAGTAAAGAAACTGTGTTCATATATTTGAACAACATAGAGCAACAATCTTGTTGTAGTTATAAACCATTTTCATGTGCATAATCATAGTATTCGAAGTCGAATAAATCTCGACGAATTTCTTCTCTGTCTTTGCCTGAATTGCATCCAGGGGCGCTTTTGAAATCCAATTAGGTTGTAGTGGTGTTACCATGACACACAAACTTTCATCTTAACCATGACGTCGACAGCTTAGCATCACTAATAAGAGGAGGTGAGATTATTTTATGACACGTGACGTTGGTGTACGAATATTCCACGTTGGCCACAAATTATGCGGAGTGTAATTTACACAGAAATAAACGCAATAAAATAACAAAATATTACAATTTTAAAAGAAAAGAAAACAAAAAATAAGTTTTGAAATTTGTTTCGTTAAAATCAATACAAATTTATAAATAAACCCAATTCTAGACATGTATTTATAAAAAAACTCAAGCACTATTTAAACATAGAAACACACCCAAAATCAACCATAAAGTCAACTTTTTGGGTGTGTTTATAAATGGGTTTTGAGTGTGTGTAATGATGAGTTTTGGGTGTGTTTATATGTTTAAATAGTGCTTGGGTTTTTTTATAATTTCAACCCCCATTTTGGGTGTTTTAGTGAAACTCCCTAAAATCAAATAGCAACTTTTGCAATTCTTTGCTTGGTTTAAACTAAGGGCCAGATTTCTGAAAATTCCCGAAATGACCCATACTCTCGCTATTTAATTATCCTTTCACCCATCTAAAAGCAACCGAATATCCGACTTGCATGGAGGGGCATTTGGATAACTTTGACCTTTTCCCCTCCCTTCACGAGGATGATACGCCACGTGTCAGCCTCTCGACCCATCTTCCTTCGAGTATAACGCCCACTCAGATTCTTCCCGCTTGTTTAAATAATAATAAATAAAAAATAGAAAAATATTAAATAGAAAAAATCTGGAAGCAATGTTTGTATGAGAAAAAAAAGGCTTCTGGTTATCCTCTCAAGCTCGAGAGAGTGAAAACGACTGAGAAGCAACGAGGCACACACAGAGAGCGTGAAAACACTGTCGTTTCACTCCCTGCCTTTCAGCTTTTTGGTTGCTGGACCCTGAATTCTGAAATGGTGTGAGAGCTTGTTGAGCTGAAACAGTTAATTGTTTGAGCTTAGCTTCAATCAGGAGATACAGAGCAAAATGGCTATCGGCGGTTTGATCTCGAACAGGAATTTGGGTTCTTTTATCGACTCAGGTACTGTTGCTTCACTACCTTATCCTGATGTTTTTGTTCTTAATATTTTTTGGTATTTTGATTTTGGTTGCGTTTTGTGAATTGTAGCTTCTCAATGGAATTCATGCATGCATGTGATTTGAATTTGATTATTTTATTTTCGAATTTCCATTTTTGTGAGCTGAACGAATTTGTTTGTTTGGTTGCATGTTGCTTCTTCTGCTTTGCATTATCTGTATATAATCTGGTTATGTTGGTAAATTTTCGGTAGCAAATTGTTGATTTTGCTGCTGAATTTTTCAGGAATGTAGTAATTTAAGCAAAGTCTACCTTAATTCAACAATTCACCAATCAGCAATAAATTTCAGTGCATGTAAACTTTTCCCAACCTAAATTAGACTGGTTTCTTGTTTCACAGACGTGTATATATGTATATACATATATATGTATGAATATATGTACTGAGCAATTTTGGGAATGCTTTTATCTTTCTGAGTTCATTAAGGACTTGCTTAATTCGGCCGAAGAAATTTAGACAATTTATATGTCGAATTGGAAATAGATGGAGGGATGGACCATTTGGGAATGCTGATCAATATAGCTTACTATCTTCATTTGGCAAATCCCTTGTTACTATCTGTAACTCTTTGATATTGGCAGGGAAAGTATGTCAAACAAACCACACTGTTGTGCATCGCAAAGGAGAGCGTCTGTACAATCAGGGGAAAACATTTTACCAAAATTTATGTACTCCAAGGGTTTCTGCATCTAGAAACTCGTATAGCCCTTATCTGCGTGCAATTAGTTCTTCAGATGCAAGCATTCTGAAGCCAACAGGTAGGGTGCATGATGAAGGTGACCTTTATCTAATAATGTCTCTGCAATCTGGTATAAGGTCTCAGAGCATCATTACTAAACAAAGAAGTACAGGAAGATGTAAAAGCTATCTTTCTTCAAACCATTCATTTAGAAGTTGTATTCAATCAAGAAAGCTGGATAAGCTTGATAACAGGCAATACCAGAAGTATGAACTTGTTAAGGTTAACAGGACCCGTGCTTATTACAAGTCAGAGGATAATGACATAACAAAACCAGAGGTGGACTCACTGTCATCAATAGAGGGGTCTAGTGAAGCTGTTTTGGCAGATGGAAATGTGCTTAAACTATCTTCTTGGTGGGAGCAATTTCCCAAGCGCTGGGTGATTGTACTCCTTTGTTTTACAGCATTTCTATTGTGCAACATGGATCGTGTGAGTATTTTTCTATTTATAATCATTGTTTTTATTTCTCATTGGTCTAAGCATTGCAAACTTGATATCTCAATCAGCTAACAATGTTAAATCCTTATTGTAGGTAAACATGAGCATTGCAATACTTCCCATGTCACAGGAATTTAACTGGGATAGTGCAACAGTTGGCTTGATTCAGTCCTCTTTTTTTTGGGGCTACCTACTTACTCAGGTTTGACTCAGCATAGCTAATGTGTTTTTCCTTACTCAAATAAATTACACTTTCATTCTCAATCTTCTATGCGTACATTAGCAGGAATGTGATCACGGTTCTGTCCTTGTATCGTTTAGAGGATACTGTTTCATTCATAGTAGTTAGCACGGTCATATATTTGGCGTTCAAGCTACATATCTAATGTATGCATATATCTCTTTTCCTATCCAGATGATGTTATAAATTCCATGCCAATTCTGCTGTCTGATTGTAATAGTTTTATGATTTCTCTTGCATATAGATTCTTGGAGGCATATGGGCAGATAAAATTGGTGGGAAGCGTGTATTGGGTTTCGGAGTGATCTGGTGGTCAGTAGCGACAGTTTTGACACCTGTTGCAGCAAAAATCAGCCTTCCTTTTTTGCTTATTATGCGTGCTTTTATGGGGATTGGTGAGGTTTGTCTTTTCAAATGCTTTGCTATGGATCTCTGGTCCTTTACTATTCTGCATTTGAACGTAAATCTGAAACTCTCCTAGCATACCTTTTTGCTTGGGAATTGACTTGGCTAACTTTACAACTGAAACACTGTGCAAAGAGCAGAACAAGACAGGAGAAAATAATTAACCTAAAAACTACATTGGTTTTGATACCCCCTAAAAATTGAAAAAGAATGAGGAGCTTGTATTTGCATGGCAGGTTCATTGGTTAGTAATTGTCTCAATGCACTTTGTAGCTTAGCACATACAAATTTTTGCTTAGCTTCCTAAGTTTTTTCGCATTTGAGATCTATTGTATATCATCTTCCTTCCTGAAATAGGAATTGACAATCCAATTAAGGATTCTCATTGCTGAACAATTTCCCTTTATCTTTTCACAGGGTGTTGCTATGCCTGCAATGAATAATATACTATCTAAGTGGATTCCAGTGTCAGAGAGAAGCAGAGCACTTTCACTAGTATATAGTGGCATGTATCTTGGTTCTGTCACTGGGTTGGCTTTTTCTCCTATTCTGATCCAGAAGTTTAAATGGCCGTCTGTGTTTTACTCATTTGGCTCTCTTGGTAGTGTCTGGTTTGCATTATGGCTGAAAAAAGTATGCTCTTGCTTCCTTAGTTTTTTCATTGGAAATCGTTGCATTACCTTGTCTACTTTTGATTAGGTAGGATAGACTATGTAAAGAGAAGAAAATGAATAATCTACATATCTTTAGTATGTATTCTTGTTTGGGCTGTGCAATATTCAATAATGCACTCATTTGCAAAAAGAAAAAAAAAGAAAAAAAGAAATCAATGATATTTGATTCTAGGTCAATGTAATTTTAACTCAGAATTGTATTTGATGAAAGTTTGTTGACTAGACTTGTTTTGAAGGCTTTGGGTGTGATATTCTTATGTCCTTTTCAATTCCGGGATTGTGTGAATGAACTACTACTGAATCTTCAATTTAAAGTAAAAATATAGGGCATTATCCTTAATAAGGTCACTTGTCTTGTGAACATATATAATGTTTTACACCAGTGGTTTCTCATGTCCATCCGTCTTAGTGACTCTTCAGACACCACAAAAATATACTCTTATATAGACATGACGTGTATGGAAAATATGAATGAATAGATTGAAGCTGCACTTCAGATGCTGTTCCATAAACGACTGTAAAAGCTCTTTCTTGCATGTTGAATCCCCAGGCATATAGCTCTCCAAAAGAAGATCCGGAGCTTAGCACAGAGGAAAAAGAACTTATCATGGGTGGCAACATATCTAAGGAACCTGTTACCGTCATTCCTTGGAAGTTAATTTTATCAAAACCACCTGTTTGGGCTCTTATAATCTGCCACTTTTGCCATAATTGGGGAACCTTTATTCTATTGACGTGGATGCCTACATACTACAATCAGGTAAGGAATTGATTTCTCCAAAAATGAGCCACATGCCCACAACACAACACCCACTTACATATCTCTGTGCAATCTTTGGATTCAGAAATTTCAAGTACTGTCTCACATGAAATCCTACTTTTTCTACTATCCTTGTGCAATTCAACAATTTTAACCAGAAGAAGATTAATTTTTAATCTTGCATATTCAGGTTTTGAAGTTCAACCTCACTGAATCGGGACTCTTCTGTGTCTTGCCATGGTTGACCATGGCTGTTTTTGCAAATATAGGAGGCTGGATTGCAGATACACTTGTCAGCAGAGGCCTTTCTGTGACAACAGTTCGCAAGGCAAGAACTATTACTGCTTGAAGCATTGAATGTGGTTTAGGGGCCGACTTTGCCTGTTTTACTTTTCCTAATGATTTCCTCCAAATCTGTTTGTTGTTGCAGATCATGCAATCAATTGGGTTTTTGGGACCGGCCTTTTTTCTTTCTCAGCTGAGCCGTGTCAAGACACCTGCAATGGCAGTACTATGCATGGCATGCAGTCAGGTAAAAAGTAGTTGTTATTACTTTGACTGAGCTTGAATATATTTCCAATGCTTCTAAAATGTGTTGTTTGGTAAGTATTACTTGTAGGGTTATCTGTTCATGCGCTCTTGCTTATTCACAGGGATCTGATGCATTCTCACAATCTGGTCTCTACTCCAATCATCAAGACATTGGACCTCGCTATTCTGTGAGTTGCTATATTCTGAACATATGGCTAGTTGATGAACTATATATACCATTTTCTATAATCAATTTCTAATCTGTCATTTTATAAGTTTATTTGTGCTTTCAATTCTTTACCAACAACATACCTGAAGAAGTAATCAAATTATCGGAACCCTGTGCAATCATACTTATAATACAATTACAGGGAGTATTGCTGGGACTGTCAAACACAGCAGGAGTTCTTGCTGGTGTCTTTGGTACAGCTGCAACCGGGTACATACTCCAAAGAGGTACAATTGATACTTCAATTAAATCATTCTCTTCTGCAGTTTTCAGTTTCCGGTTTCCAGTTTTGTATTGACTTCTTAAACTTCAATTTTCAGTTTCCAGTGTTGACTTCCCATACTTTATTATCTGCAGGTTCTTGGGATGATGTATTCAAGGTGGCTGTTGTATTGTACCTCGTAGGCACATTAATCTGGAACCTATTTTCAACCGGAGAGAAAATCCTTGATTAGAGAAATGCAAGAATGGGAAGGAATGAAAGCTATGAAGACATGGAAGAAATGCGAACACATGAAAGGGAAATCCGGCTGAGCGAACTAGTATTTAAGATATCACCATCAATGTTTTTGTAACGACTTCTGAGGCCCTATCTGGGTTGGCTGGAGACCCCCCTTTTTACAGGTTAATAATGCCTTTAGTTTCAGTGTATGGCTTTAATGTAGAGAACCTATGGGTAATTTGCACCCCATGAACCTTTTGCTTTGCCCATGCAATGCTAATAGCATGTCATCCGCCTAAGTTCTTTCTTACTGGATTTCTCCACAGTAACATTGCTTCTCGCATTCCACCGTATGTACAGCGCCCAATTACGGCGCTGGTGTGTGATCAGATTTTCTTTCAAACTTCAGATTTGTGTAGTAGTATACAGATTTGATGTGTAGCTCAGGTGATGTAGATTCTAGCTATAATTGTTTTCCTAATAACTCAAATATTAATTATCAGAAAGAAACAAAGAATTAAGAATAAAAATTCTGTTATGCAATATAAGTAGGACTAGGCATTTCCATCCATCATCTTCTGACAATAAAAACCTGTTTACAACCCATGCATTATCTCCATTGGAGATAAGACTAATCCCCACCCCACCCCTCCGAACTTGCAGAAATTTTTATGACCTTATCTACATGAAGCAAGAGGCAGAAAAAAGAAAAAAGAAAAAAAAAGATAATAACATTATATTGGGCAAAATCCATGAAGCAAGAAGCAGAGAAAGCTACAAGGTTGAGATGAACCCGGCACAAAATCTTTTCCAAATGAATAGTAATAAATATGGATAAATGTAAAATTATGAAATTTGAACATACAAGAACATAAAGAATCTTAATGTAAAATAAAATTTTGCAAGCTCCTTTTCTTTCTTTGTTTTTTTTTGTTTTTGTTTTTTGTTTTTTTTTGCCTAGCTAGATGCTCTCTCTCTCTCTCTCTCTCTCTAAGCTGATGTATTTGTGAGAGAGACTGTACCCCCTTGTGTAGTGGAAAAGACCAATTTGCTTGTTGTGACCCAAAACATTTACAAAACATTTAATTGAACCACATGATCTTTGCTTCCCAATTCCCCCCATCTATGCTCTGAGTCTTCATCTTCATGGGTTCCACCACTCCATAAATAACACCACATTCACAACACAGCCTACCCTCAACACCCAAAATTAAAACCCCCATCCTCTTAAGCCACCCCAACTACCGCTTCGCCATTAACGCCGTGACATTTAACCCCAACACACTCTTGCCCTTGCAGCTTTGCCTCCATGTCCTTCTTTGCCCTTGCCACAATTGCCCCTAATTCCCTAGGGTGCACATTCACCATGAGTCCATGCTTCATGAACAATGTCAATGACATCTTCTGCTCCACCTTGTGGCCCGGTACCAGCGTCAGCCGGTGCCGGAGCAACACCGACGCCACTACCGACTTCATTTGCAAGTATGCCAAGTCCTTCCCTAGACATATTCTTGGACCAGCATTGAATGCTACATATTTATTTGAGTCATGCATTATGAACTTCTTACCGTCTAAAGATAACCACCTCTCTGGTCGAAACTCTAGGCAATCGTCCCCCCCATGTGGACTTCATCCGCCCCGTCGCGTATATTGAGTAGGTCACCGATGATCCAGCGGGCACGAATGTCCCGTCGGGCAAAATGTCATCGCGCACAACATGTTTTGAGTCCTCAGGCACGGAAGGGTACAACCTAAGGCTTTCGGACAATGCTGCTTTCAGGTATATCAATCGGTCAATTTCCTCAAACTCCAAAGGCTCCTCCAACCAACTCACCACATCATCACCACGTGTCTCGATCAGAACGGTGCAGATTTCGTGCAAGATTTTCTCTTCGATTATCGGGTTCAGAGTGACCAACCAAAAGAACCAGCTCAGCGCAACTGATGACGTGTCGCGTCCAGCTAGGATGAAATTGAGTGCCACGTGTTGGAGAAAAGTATCTGAATAGTTCTCCTTTTTCTTCATAAACCTTGACAACAGATCATCGTGCGGGTTTCCATCTTTCTGCTGATTCAGCAACTCGAGCTTACGGGAAGCAATCACATCGGATAAATACTCCTCAATGTGCACAAGGCTTCGGCTCAGCGTGACTTCCATTCCAAGCCCAAGCCACTTCTTCAGCTTCCACAGCACTTCGGGCAAAATAAAACGCTGTAGCGAGGCTTCGGTGGCTCGGTCGAAAGCCGAGGCGAAGCCATTGTCCGGAAACCCCGGCGCGCAAGTCTGCGGGTCCTTCCCGAAAGTCAAGCCGCATATGTTGTCGAAAGTGAGCCGAAGCAACAAGTCTTGAAGATCAACCGGTTCGGATTCAAGCTCAGCCGATCTAAGAATCGGGCAGAACCTCAGCTTGATGGATCGGCTGACCCACCGAGCCATGGCTTGGCGGAGCGTCCGGGTTGTGAATTCCAGTGCGGCCGTCTTCCTCTGAAACAGCCACGTGTCGCCATCTGAGTTGAAGATGCCTTGGCCCAAAAGATCATGAAACACGGATTGCCAAGTGGGGCCCTTGGGGTAATTGTCGAACCGGGTTTTCAGTATGTGCTCCAGATTCTTCGGGTCGCACGTGACGGTCACGAGGCCCTGCTTTCTGGCGAGGAAGGGGATGGCGCAGATGCATGTTTGATACGTGCCGCCGCAGGCGCGTAGGTTGTCGCAGATCCAGTCGTGCAAGCGGTCGGAATTCTCTATGAGGCCCGGGAGGCTGCCCAATAAGGGCCAGACACCTGGACCCTTCAGGGACCGTGAGATGAAGGTGAACCAAAGTAAATAAGCTGTGATGGCCGTCAAAACCAGCAAGGCCGTACCAATCTCCATGCTTACTTGTTTGCCACGTATTGACCAAATCGCCCAAAACCCAAAAAGAATGCAATGCAACAACCACACTCAATCTCACTGAGCCAGCTACCAGCAAGCAAACCCAAAACCTGTTTTTTTCCTGGAAAGTATTTTCCCGAGAAAATGTTTTCTGGGAAAGTACTTTTCTTGTAAAGAAGTGGGAAGAAGTTACTATAAAACGTACGTCATAGGAATATGGGTCTGAAATCTGAGAAATAGATGAAAAGAAGGAAAACCCAGGTTGTGTTTTTCTTGCATATGAAATGTTTGAGGGATTGATTGAGAAAAGGAGAGAGCTTTAATGGATCTAAAAAATATGCAAGGTTAACTGTAAGGTGGTGCTTCTCAAGTAGAAGAACAAGAGAGGAGTAAATATTTGATGAAGCAGAGAGATGGAGGAGTGACTGATATAAAGTGGAGTAGAGTGTTAATTGAGAGAGGGATTTATAGGTGAGAATTGTATTGAGAAGCAATTATTAAGGCCAGACTGGTCCTTGAAATTGCTCTCTATCTCTCTCTGTCTGTCTCTCTGTTTCTTTTTTTGTTTTCTCTCACTAAAATTAAGCTTCACAGCAGCACAGCAGGCGCCATAAATGTCTTCAGAGGTCGTTGAACTTTTTAAAGCTTGCCCGAAACCTCTTTCTCTCTCCCCATCTCTAGAGCTCTTTTTCCACAAAAACCACTGGCTCTAGCAAATTAAGATGATCTGCTCTCTCTCTCTCTCTCTCTCTCTCTCTCTCATCTGCAACTCTTACACCTAATTTTACTGGAAATGGAAGAGGAGATTTAATTCAAGAGCATTGAATGAAGAGGAAATTTAATGAGATTAGTTGAGGAACTATATATATAAAGGAAGTAGAGAGACCCCAAAAAGAAAAAAATACAAATAAAAAACAATGATAACTATATTAAAAAAAAAAGAAAAAAAAGAAAAATGGTTCAACCACATACACACATACACACTGTCTGTTTTAATTGGATAAATTGTGGGTTGTTTATGATCATTATCTTAACCCTAATAAGCCCCCTTCCCCTTTTTCTTTCTTTCTTTCTTTATAAGTTATACCTTTAAGTATTAAAATTAAATGAAAATTGGGTTCTTCATGTGGTTCTTTTTGGTTAGGGTTGGGTGAGCAACCCACCCACAATTTAAGACCCTTTTTTGCTTCTCTTTCCTTTGCTTTGCTTGTGTGACTCTTTTTTCTTAGCTAGTAAAAACAATTCTGGGATTCTTCACAGGTTTGACCCTCTCACTTTTAATGCATTATAATCAATGAAATTATCAAAAAATGCGCGCCTCTCTGCCTGTAACATGAAAAAAGTCAAAACCCCATATACAATATCTATCTATCTATATATATATATATACTGTTCACCTGAATGCAGGTATGGCCTAAATTTTTGCACATTGGCTGGCTGCGGACGCTTCATCAGGATTCATATGAAACCTGGCATTGAAATTGAAGAGCTTTGACAAATTTGGGATAATGCTATCTCGTCAAACTGTGAATCTAAAATGTTAATTCCCGTCATTTTCTAGCAACGTAAGTATTTATTCGATAAATACATAAAGTCTAATAAGAAAACATAACGCTAACGAATGAATTTATGACATCCATGAATGAGAACGTGATTGTGAATAAGCCCCTACGTGAGAACCCATGTGATGATGGAAATGAGTTCGTGAGAGTGCCTAACAATTGTTGAACCATTCCACGGTTTAGGTGTGCTTGGCTAAGCACCATCTTTATCAGTGTCATCAAATTAATCACATCATGTGCATCTGACAAGGCTTCATTCATTCTATAATAATGTGATTATCATTATTATAGGATGAAATTATATAAGTTTCATTCATTCTAATTTATATATTAGTGCTAAGGTAAGCCAATCCAATTTATGTAATTACCTGGATAATATTACATATGTTTGGGTGGATCCTATCATTGTTAGGCTAGTTAACTTTAGGTTTTCTTTGACAAGAAAAAAAACATAAAAAGCTTTAGGTTTTCTTATCCGACTTATTTATTAATCGATATCGATCTTAAATTTAAGATTAGGAACCTGTTATGTTTTGATTAATCATCGCTCATATCATTTTTAAAATAAACCTAGATGGCAGCAAATCAAGGGAAACAAAAAACCAATTTGACTCTAGGAGAATCAACAAATGGGAAAGAAAACAAAAACATAATATTTTTCTCAGAATTCCGATTAAATAAGTTTGTTATCAATTCATTTATAATTCGTGTTAGCGAGTCATGTCATTTGGTGTTGGATCATGATGCGTTAAAAAATTATAGAGATATTTATTCAAAAATTCTTTTTTGTTTTTGTTTTGGAATAGATGTTTTATTAAAAAAAATAATAAGCACCATAAGAGTGTACAAAGATAGCACTGAAACAGCCAATACTAATTTTTTTTTGTATCACGAGGTGTCCCTACACTCGAAAGGTGGGATTAATCCCCGCTCGGGGTTTGGCTATTCAAAACCCAACACTACTACAAAATTGAGCAAAAGCCACGAACTTAAGAGCACAAATACATGCATGGTGCCCTCATCTTTAACATTGAGCACAAATAAATTTTATTCATCCTCTTCTCGCATAAAACACAAATAATTATGTCAAATTAATTTACGTAAAACACAAATTTATACTGGACCCAAAGAATTGTGTCAAATGTGAATTGAATGTAAATAATAAGTATCATCTAACAAGTTGTTCATAAAAAGTAAAATTATTTATTTGTGTAGACTAAATAGTTGTGTCTTTATCTGACATATGTAACACCTTATAACACAACACTACATTTGTGCACAATTATTTGTATGTAGTGTACCTTTTCTCTTCCAATTTATTAAAAAATAAATAAAGAGAGAGGGAAAAATACTTATATTTTATTATTATTTTTTATAATAGTTTAAAAAAACGTACGGTTCTTTTCCAACCCCTAGAAAATTATCTAAGTAAATTTAGGTTTTAACCATAAAAAAACTTTCACTTTTGGAAAAAGCCAAAGTTTTTTCAAAAAAGACAGAAAAACATCTCAACTTTTAAATCAAAGACATGCAAATGTAAACGATTTCTTAGGAAATCCAAAAATAAATAAGGGCAATTTTGTCCATTTTGACTTCTTTTAAAAAATTTCTCTCTCCTTTTGCTTTTTCCAAAGTCTCCCAAATATCTAACCCTCCCCTTCCCCTCCTGAAGGTTAGAGTCAAGCCCAGTAAAGTTGTTACCTTTTCTAAACTTTCTTTCTTTCTTTCTTTATTATAAATATTTCTGGGTTTATGGTTTGCTGCAGTTTTTTGATGAGCAAGATAATTTGCTCACACGCACACAAAGACACATAATTTCATATGGTTCATGTTGTTGTGTGCAATTAAACATCAAACATTTTTTGGGTTTCAGCTAAAGTTGGGCTTTGTGTCATTGATTTGTGTTTAAGATGTGAACTGGTGATGTTTGCTGGTGGTGGTGGACAAACACATCTTCCAGATCCTCAAGACCACCGGAGACGACAACACTGTCCTCAAGAGGATGTGAACTGGTGATAATTGTGTCTGTACATATGTCTAATCAATTGATAAAGTCGCCGAGATAATTTGTCAGAATACAAGCACAAATACTGTTTTTCGTGCTTTATATTGTCGGAATGGCAATGGAAACTCCTATAGACAACACCATCAGCCTAATAGTGGTTGCACCATGACCTCTGAACATAGAGCATAATTATTTGTGTCTTTTGTAGCTAAGAGCACAAACGAAAATGGTGCTGAAACCCAAATATTCTAGTAGTGGATCGCATTGTAAGGCTACGTATTTATACTTCTCACTCTTAATACCATTTCGATTTTAATAAAATGTTTAAGCCCAGAGAAAAAGAAAAAAGAATGCAACCGATCGTCATGATTCACAATGGAGGGTCATATGGACATAAACGTACTTTCCTTCTCCATTGTTGGGTAAGCTTTTTCTTGAAAGGAAACAAAAAACCAAACCCATGCATGCTAATGTTGTCAACACTATCAGACCCATTTCTATGCTTTTTTCTGAGAAACTGGGCTGGAAATTGGGCGGTAAAGCTGTCTGCAAAAGTGAAATTAGAAGCAAGAATCTTCTAATAGTGATTGAGAGAAGTATTCTTTTGTCTGTACATGTCTGGTTTTGCTTTGCCTGTTTTGTTCTGGCAGATCTTGACAAGCTTACTCTTGAGATTCACTATGGAGGTACATTGATGCAAGTTGCTGTCGGAAAAGGGTAGGCTCTAGCCTATTGCAAGGTTTGGCAAAAAAAATATACTTAATATTAATTCCAAGGCATTAATACCTCATTTCACAAAAATTAGCAAGCAAAAATTATTCTATCTTATTCATACATATCTCTAGTTACCTACATCACAAACATTTCAAGTTTCAAGCTTTCTCATTTGAGAAAATGAATGAAATTTTATTTAGATCTTTACCTACATAACAAGTCCATTTCTATAAAAGATTCTAATTTCACCCTTGCATCTAACAACCCACCATACCTCAAATTCAAAGATGCATACGTCGAGTTGAAAAAAACAAAAGAAAGGTTATCATGAACATTTGTGATGTTTACAAAACTATGAGTTATACCCATTTATCTTTTTTGTGTTATGGATCATTCTTTGCTTAATTCACATATCAATTTTATCAATGTCGCTAAAATCCGTTAAAACTTTTTAAGGTCTTATGGAGTTGATTAATTTGGTTCAACAAACCGACGTTTTGCAAAAGTGGGAGTTATGAACCGGATTGGTTCATCCGATTCAGTCTGGTTATACTAAAAAAATATACTAATTTATTAACGTGAATCGTGACACACATATTGGGTCGGAATTTAATAAAAAAAACTACAAGAAAAAAGAAAAGAAAATTAACATTAGAAAGAACTACTTCAATCTTGTAGTGGTGTCAATTCTATTTAAATGGGTGGGAAACTCAGTGAACGTATTGATTAAGTTTGGGAGGGCCCATTTGTTGAGACCAAAAGTTGGTAAGCATGTATCCCAATTTGGGGTTTAAAGTTTATATTTCTATGACAGGTTTTAGAATATATTATGCACCAAAATATTATAGTGGCAATAACCCAAGTTTTCTTTTCATGTTTGCATTTTTTTTTTCGTTTTTGCTCAAGCATGTTTGCATTTAGGGGGTAAAAAAAGAGAGTAGAATCCAGCCTATGCGCGTGAGCACCTGGGTTGTAATATTTTTTTAAAATAAAATATATAACATTGAGCATAATTTACATATGTCTAATCAATTGATAAATCACTAAAATAACTTGTCAAAATACAAGCACAAATATTGTTTTTTTGTGCTTTATATTGTCTGACACGAATTTTTCTTTCGTGTCCTATAGCACTGAAACTCCTATTGAACACCGTCAGCGTAATAGTGGTTGCACCATGGCCTTTGAACATAGAGCATAATTATGTGTCTTTTGCAGCTAAGAGCACAAACAAAAATGGTGCTGAAACAGAAGAAAAACAAAAGACACTTGGGCTAATAAATCAAATGAAGGAATACTAAGAAAGAAAAACTACTCCTTGAGCTAAAGAAGGATGTGGCCGTGAAAGCCGACAACTCGAACACAATTGCAAAATTCAACAACGAAATCTACAATATGCGGCAGCCACCGGACGAAAGAGAGAAAAAAGAGAAGTAGAGAGAAACAAACAAGGGGGAAAACATATTATACAAAAATTCATATAAAGCCTATTTAGAGAGAAAAACCCAAAACTAATTACTTGTCATTTTCTAATTTGTTTTTAATGTGTTAAAATTTTATAAGAACCATTTAGAAAATAACAATTAGCTAATTTTGAGTTTTCACTCTAAATAGGTTCTATAAGAACTTTTGTGTATTATATTATACTAAAATGAATTTATTAGTGAAATCCTCAAAATTATATGTACCACGCCTAATATACATTGGTAATTATTGTACGACTTTTTTGAGAACTAATTTTTAAATGAATGGCATAATTAACACTCGAACGAGTAAATTAAGCGAAGGTAGATCCTTTTATTGGTATCCTTAGGACTAGAGAAGAAGAAAAAGGGACGGAATTTACAACTCAAAACTTTATGTACACCGACAGATTGTGCACAAAATTACATTCTATTGATTTTTTTCTCTCTCATCACCTCATGGTGCACATTGCATGAGAAAAATCATGAGGATAATGTTTTTTCTCACCGACAGCTTGTACACAAATTACATAATTGGATGCATGCAATCACTATGAACATTACCATCCAGTCACATTCTTTAGATGTATAGCATTAACCCTATGACCCATAAGATAATCTGTCAGATGACTGCATGCAGAACTTGTAGCAAATTCCAAATCTTGAGTTGACTCATTCTAATTGCTATAAGAAGCTGTGTTTTTTATTTTTTGGATACAAACGATATTGGCCGAGGTGGAAGCGAAAGCAAAACCTTGGATGCACAGGTAAATGCTATTATCATTTAAGGGTGTTTGTGAGAATTAATTCAAGTTCGTGCATTAGCATAAGTGGAAAAAATAAGAAAAGTGTAACTGATCAAATTTTGGATCCCAAACTTATTTGATGCGTACCTCTTTGTTTTCTTGTTTTCTATAGGCTGTATCACATCACAATCATCATGCTAATTAAGGAAAACAGAGCATTACCCCAAAAACAAACATTGCAAATAAGTTTGTTTTGCTATCACTATATCAAATATATAAAAAACTACTTAAAGACCCATCTCATCCGAAACCCATCTAATCCACATCTGACAAAGCTTTTATTTGTTGAACTAATGACATCCCTAATTTTATATAAAAATACAAACGGTTTACAATAATAGAAATTTTGGAGTGAATGACTTGGATTGAGACATTCCACAAGAAAGCCTATAGTTCCCCATTTGTTTAGATGGGGATTTTGGCACCTAATAGCTTAAAATTAAGTAGTTCAACCGAAAATGGAAAAAAAAATTAAGTCCAACATGATATAGGTTGGGTAGCTACGAAATTAAACGACAATGTTTTTCAAGCACGCCAGCATCAAATTAAGATCTCTATTCTTTGTGATACTAAATCCTGGGACTTGCCAAACCTCTCATAGTTGGTAGTTTACAGATGCAGATCAGGCGGCTCCTAACAATTCCACATATTGCGTCATGAAGCAAAATGTTCAAAACCCAAATAAAATTAGGTCTCCAACTGTCCATTGATGCCCAAGAAATATACATGTGGATGATCCAACTCCCATGCTGGACCATTAAGTATAGCCCTCTGGGGACCCCATAAAAACTAAAGTCAACGTTCTGAGTCTCACACATTTGTACCATTTCAACCACATATAGCATTTATCCACAAAAAGGAGGTCATATAGCATCAAACGAGTCATTGCTCTAAATTGCATTTAAGATGGGATTTCAGGCCAGCTGAGACATTGGCAAGTCCTCCCACCACATTGCTGTCATATTCAACAAATCAAAATTGCAGATAAAATAATCTCAAGATTGAACAGCATAGACTAGTTTGGAGAGCCAGTGAGTCACCTTGCATAAAGCAACCATACACTGTTCTGTGAGGGGCATCTCTTGCAGCTGTGAGAAATTGCCCCCAACAACTATTTTATGTAATGCAGCCATGTGATATATCACAGAGTGAGGTTAACCCCAGTTCGTTCCTGCCCTTCTCTGCAAACAGCACTTACAATACATCTAACCAAACCTAAAGAGAGAATCAACTCAGGCGTAACTTAGCAAAAAGGAAGCAAAACTCAATAAACAATTCCCAAATCGTGATAGACACGTACACTGCATAACAAACAGTATTTACTTGAGAGTATCTCAAAAAAGAACAGTTACCACTGGCATTTTAAGTGTTTACACTAGATTTGTACATCGAGCAAGTTCCGCGCCCTGGGACTTACTAGACTATTGACAAGGTTTGGTTAAGGTCTCTGGTTAACTACAATTGTTAGATAGCAGGCCTGCAGAAACTTGACACCAAGATACTGTCAGAAACTTCCAGAAACTGTTCAAATTGCTAGAGTACTGAAGACATTTTTCTTATCCAGCTCCTTTAATGGTGCAATCCCCATCTATCACAAAACCGCAACAATCAGTTGTATCCACTCAATACCAGTCATTTGAAGTTGCTCAACAAATATGAGGATCAGAAAATTTGGAGTAATGGTTTAACACGGTAGAGGCTATGTTAGTTGAAAACCAGAGGCAATCTGACCCTTCTGCTTGAGAATTTCTTCATCCCTGAGAACGAATTGGCAACCATATCACAAATAACTCACCAAAAAAGCAAATTATCTGTATATATACTTTGAGAGAGGAAACTTAATGCTCCTTGCTACCTGTAATCCATGTATAAACAAGATGTTATATTTCCAAAAGAATTCCTTAATCTTACATGACATAAAATTTTGGTATAATTTCAATTTGAGAAAAGTGTAAGGTCACCTTCAGAACCATATCTTCACTCACGGTAGATCGATATCGAGTTGAACCCTCTAGTGGGCAGCTTCCACCAGTGACAATAAAATTAGCACTGCAGAGACTGGACAGTTGTAAGAGAACATCGGACATGAGCCCACCATTCCCATTTCGAATGCCTAACCCATCATATCCTTCTTCTCCTCATCAAGAGAACCTTCCCCTATAGAAGTAATACACTGAAATATGGCTAATAACCTCTCCATTGGAAATGTTCCAGGATTCAGAAGTAATTCCTGTTCTGCAGTTTCCTTCTGTTCCACTGACTTCTCCGAGGCCCTACTCATGAAGAAACATTATTAAGAGGAAATCAGTGTTTACAAGTGGTGCATTGCAGCATACAAACAAGTAAAAGAAAAGCAAAGGGTTCGAAGGTAGTCAATTGGCAAATCTTAATAAGATCTTTCAGAGATTTTTGTTTGAAGACGATTTGTAAAGAGAATCTTAAGAATTTCCCAACACTCCACTGCAAAAGTGCAATAAAACAATATTGTGATTGATGTCAGAAATTTTAATTACAGGTCGTTCCAAACAACATCACAGAAAGAGCAACTCAAGTATTCGTTATTAATATAGTGAGGTGAAGGTAAAACAGAAGCAGGTGTTTGGACATATAGTTATCTTCATTCTAAAGAAAATGCTTAAGTTTTAGCTTGGTTTCCAGCGGGAATTTGGAATTGCAGATCTTATATTGACAATATTAATGCGGTATTAACCTTTATGAGAGCATGGAATACAAAGCTAGAGTTTGTATCCCACTCCAGTGCTGGATCATAGCCCAAATTTCACCAACTAAACCTATAGAGTATAAACTACATTTAAAACAAGAATTATTCTTCATATACACTTACTTCCTCCTTCGTTTGCGACTATTAGAACCTCCTGTGGAATCGAACAATGATGCATCAAGGGTAGCTGGGTTTCTTGAAGCAAGGAATGCTGAAATAAGGAGATACTTGGCAGAAGTAGGCATATGGAAATCTAATTGATCAACCTCGCAATCTCCAAATTTCCTTGTGCTGCCCTTTCCTTTTGTCTCCCTAACTTCAACTTCAGTGGATGGATGAGATGAAACCTTAATATCTCATTTAGTGAAGGAGCAACATGGGGCCGAAAATAATGAAACAGCCTTTGGTTCAACTCTTTATTGGGAACAACACCCAGATTGGTTACGGGCTCACAATATTTTGTGAATAATAGTGAAAAGGCAGGAGACAATTCATCCACCCGTCTGGTAATTCTACAGAAAGGCCTTAGCACGACACTAACGGAAAGAAAAGGGAATTCATCAATATAAACACAAAAGGCAAAACATGAGTGCAGAGTAAAAAGACTAACTATTATTCTTACCTAAGAAAAGAGGCATAAAGTTTTTTGTTTGCTTGGTTTCTCAAGAAGATTTGCTGAAGATCATCTTGAGTATAATCAGGAAGATATATAGAGATAGGCTCCACATAACCCATACTTGAGTAATATGTATCCGGTGAGGCATTGCTAATAAAGATAAGAGTGACCTCAGGCATTTTCAGAATGTCATAGAGATTAAATAGTAAAGGTAATATGGTAGAACCTTTTTCCCATCCTCTAACACGCTCCAAATTGTCAAATATCAAGTAGATCATATTTCCATTAGCCTTTCCTGACCTTTTGGAGCTTAATTTCCCCGAGTTTCCCTCAAGATTACCAAGAATGCTAACCAAGGCTTCGCGAAGAAAATTAACAAAATCAGATGGGCTTTCACAGCGCTTTGCACTTGAATATCCATTTACTGCATTCTTTCGGTGAAGAAACAGTTGATTCAAAACAGACTCAAACAAGATTCTGGGATTATAACAGCTAAGGCAGCTTGAATAAACAAAAGGACGTTTAAGATGCCTAAATGTCTCCAGTACCATACTAGTTTTCCCGGTAGAAATGCCTCCATATACAAAGATAGGAAGCATGGGAGAGTTCCGTGGACCCAGAAGCTGTAGAAGCTCCTGGATCTGATTACGTCTACCAGGAAAACTAGACAACAGATCATCCAAGCTAAAGGATTCTCTTTCTTCTCCAAGCACAAGGTCACTGAGAGTTGGCGGCTGAGAACTACTTACATAAGTTTCTTCAACTACATTCTTTGAAGAAGTAGCTGCAGCGGAGGATCTGGTTGTTCTCCTTGTGGTTTTTGGGCTTTCCTCTTTACCCATGTCTGAATTCTGGCAGAAAAAGAAAAACAGTAACATTAAAGATATGAATTTGAGTAGAACCAACATTTAAGACAAACAATAGCACCTAGGAATTACAATGCAAACCAACAACAAAAAGTGGATTCAAAATGAAGAAGTGTTGAATCAGCTAATCAAACACAAAGTTGCAGGGAAATTGCACACACAAAATTGCAAACATCAAAATAAAACAAGGAAATGACACCCAAGGTTAGATATCAATTCAATACAGGAAATAAAATTTATAAAAAGAAAATAGCCCCCCTCAACGAGCATTATAACTCACTCTCCTAAAATGTTGCCCCTAAGGCTGTGTTTGGTATGCCTTACTGGATTGGACTATGCTAAATAGCACTTGCAACCCATGTTTGGTAAAAGAGGGGACTAACTTAAATGGGATATCCAACAGTGTAAAAAACACGGTACTCACTCGTCCAATACAGTAAGGAAGAAATGCAGTTCGCAAAATAGCGAGCGTGCTATTCTGAACAGGCGAGTCCGACCAACACAGTCAAACCGTCACAACCTCCACTCTCTCCTTCTCTCCTCTTTTTCTCTCTCTCCCTCTCCGCCTCTCTCTCCGACAAGATACTCCCAACGAGATTCGTCGAATTCTTTGATGAACTCTACGCCATCAGGAATTCTATCGAACATCTGCACATGGAGAAGCCTAAACACCAAAGCCAGGCCATTACTCTTTCCCTTGCTGATTATCGTGTATTCAGGTCAGTAAAGTGTGTGTGTGTATATATATATATATATATTGAATTTTCAGATTTCAATTTAGGAACAAAATTTCAAGTTTATATATATTTCAATTTGGGCTTACAAGATTACAGTGATGATGAGGATGGTGATGGAGGCTTTGAACAACGACAACGAGGCCACGGCGCAGGAGGCTTTTGAGTTGTTGATCGAATTGGCCGGGACCGAGCCCAAGTTCCTCAGGCAGCAGAGCGAGAGTGGGTTGGGGAGGCGCGGATCTGTAGGCGTTAAGTCCAGGTTGGGGCGGGTCTATGTGGGTGGGGTCGACGCTAGGCAATGGGAAAGAAAGGCAGAGAGAGAGCGGAAGGAAGAGGAACAGAGAGAATGTGTTTTTTTTCCTTTTATAATATTATTAAAGATTTTTTAATTTTTTATTTCACACATCAGCCCCAATTTAATATTTCTAATTGAATTTTAATATTTTTCAGGTAAAATCCCTAATTGAATTTAAATATTACAAGAATCATTTCTTAGTCCGACACAACACTAAATATAAGTTTTCACTATTTTTACAATCCAGGTAGTCTGAAGCAGCACCAAACGTAGGTCAGTATTTAATCTAGCTTAGGCCAATCCGAGCTAAACCAAGATAGTCCCAAAATTTAGTCCATTCCATGACATCCGCTGTACCAAATGAGCCTTAATCATATAAAAACCTAGTATAAAAATCTAGTATATATTATACTAGCTCCTGCCCTAATTTCTACCCTTACAAGATAATCTCCATCAATTTCAAGAATTCTCTTCATCTTCGACTACAAGTAAGCCATTTTATTTTTCTCTCTAATTCTTCGCAACTCTAATTTGAATCCGTATAATTTTTTTTAATTTTTTTTAAATATATTAATTATCTTATTCGTTTATGTGATATAGTAGAAATTTGACATGCATGCATCATACTTGTTGTAGGAATTTCAAAACATTTTTTTTTCAAAGTTCATTTGAATATTAAACATGCATTTAATCAAAATAATCGCAGCCAAAGTCTATGGTGATTGTTTAAATTCAAAAATAAAACTTCTTCCAAGTATCTTAAGCCATGAACATTGATATGCTTTTCATAAATGGAAAAAAAAATCAAGAGAAAGGATAAGATCTAATTACCGTTGAAGCAATTATATGAACCAATTCGTGTTTGGTCTTCTCTTGATGATTTCCTCTTTGTTGATCTCTTCCTTGATCTTTGATCTTTGCTCCTTCATCTTTCTCCTCCATGTGAGCCACAAAAGTATATGGCCTCTAAGTCTCCACACCAATGGAACCTTGAGATGAGAGATGAAGTATCTTGAGAATACATGGATGCTAGTGCAAGATTCTTAAGATTGGTTTCAATCTAAACCTCTTTGAAAGATGAAAGTGTTTCACTCTTGAAAACTCTCTTTTTTCTCTCTTCTCCCAAACATGTTTGGTTGATGTTGGATTGTGTTTGTGTGTCAATTAGCTTATGGAAACAATTCTCGTACACAATCTCTTAAGTATTTTCGGCCAAACCCCATTGGGCTTCCAAAATTGGGCCTTATGACACTTAAACCATAATATTTAGATGTCTTAAGTCCTTGGGCTTGATACCCAACCATTTGGGCTTCCTTTTAATTATTACCGATGCCCAAATACTTTTTTACACGTACTAAATCATCCACATCAAATCAATGAAATTGATTTCCTCATTCTCATTTGTATTACTCAAAGTTAACCATTTAAGGTGTGCGATCCATTAGGTTTTAATTAGCAAGGCAGTGAGAAAATATTGAAACTCTTTCTAACCAACTGGAATTAAAATCCCTTTTTAATTCTTCCTTTATTTGGATCGATCACAATCAATCCTAGGACTTCCAGAAGCCAAGAGTAACATCTAGCAATATGTCAAGGCTACCCAAGCTAACCAGAATAGATGAAGAACCTATTCAGTTGGAATTGCAATGCAATACGATCCTTCTGTTATACATGTTTCAAATCATATTATTAGGGTACTTATTGATTATGTCAAACCCCTAATATGATTTTTAACTTCATGTGATTCAGAAGAACATGATTAAGAACAACTTTCTAAATCAAGCTCAAAATACTTTGGCCAAAGATTCCTTATTGTATATTCACATGCCCCTATGATGAATTAAGAGATCCCAACAACACTTAAGACAAATCTTTTATGACTTGTCTTTAAGAGCTATCAAAGATCAATAACGCATCACAGGAAACCATGATGCCTTAGGTCTAAGGACTAATTTGCATTATTGCAACTATGAGTTCTCGTTTGACATATAGATAAATACTACATACGAGAACTACGGTTAATCGCGTTCAGTGTACTCATTAACAAATGAGCGCCCACATACTCGTATTAGTGTCAACTACACAAATAGTTTGAGACTAACTATCCTCGCATACATATATGTGCTAATATTGACAGTTTATCAATGCCCATTTGATAACCTATGATTAGGAACATTTTGGGATGCTACAATTAGAGATTCCAAATCTAATCTTCTTTAGATTACTTTATCTCTTATTTAGCATACCCTAGACATTTTTTTCTTTACATGATGTAAAAGATAACAAAATAAATTTTCCCTTTAAATATCAAATGTATTGGCTCTTAGGGCACATTTCTAACACTTGTATCTTAGAAATATTAATGGTGTTGTTTTATAGTTATGAATCAAAAAGATCCTGCATGGAAGGATGCGAAAGAAATAGAGGGGGAAAAAAATACTTGAGATGCACTGGAGAAATTTCTAGACTTAAGCGTCATTTGGGTCAAACTCATCATGGTATGCACCATGTAAGAAAGTTCCTGAGCATGTGAAAAAGAGTGTGTTGCAACTTTGAAAAATTTTTAGCTTGAAAAAAGAAAGAAAAATGAAATGCTTAGAGAGATTGGGGATGGTCCATGAGGAAGGGCTCAGAGTATGGAAACTTCATTGGATGAAGAATATGGAATCCCCGGTACTAGCAGTGTTGCAGTTGATGAGGCTCTTAGAGCACAACCTAAATCAAAAGAACCAATGGATAGATTTGTCACTTTAGAAGCTCGGCAAAGTACATTAAATTTAGCATACAAACAAGAAGAAAGAAAGGAAGTTTGTCGAAAGATTGGTCATTTTTTCTTCTCTAGAGCTATCCCATTTAATATTGTAAATGATCCATTTTGGCTACCTATGGTGGAACGGATTGCCGCATATGGTGTAAGATTTAAGCCTCTATCAATGTATGAGTTGAGGACTTGGATCCTTAAGGAAGAAGTTGGATGCATCACGTAAGGAAATATTGTTAAACAGCAACACTGAAGCTACACTCGCCTACATGAAAACGAAAGCGTCAGTGGATCTTGAATTTTTTTGTAAGTTCAGTGTAGATGAGGAGAATAGGCTTGCTAACTTGTTTTGGAGAGACTCTACCTCACTTTTGGATTATGTTGCCTCTAGAGACGTCCTCATATTCGATAGCACATACAAAACCAAAATATATGACAAGCCTCTAGTGTTATTTGTTAGTTCAAACAACCACCGGGCTAGTGTTAGTTGTGCCCTATTGCTTGACGAGACCTTTGGAACATAAAAGTAGTTATTGGAGACATTCATATCCTCAATGAAAGGCAAGAACCTATATCAATACTGACGGATGAGGATGAGGCGATGCGCAGAAAGCAATTGAGTATATGTTGTCCATGTGCAATCATAGGTTTGTGTTCATGGTACGTGGCCAGGAATGCACAGAATAACTTAAAGGATGAAAAATTGGTACGATCATTTCAATCATATCTTTGGGAACCAATTACAGTCAATGAGTTTGAACAGAAATGTGAGTTTTTGAAGGACAAGTTACTACACATAAACAAAAGGATGGTTGCAAATGATGTATGCAAAACGAGATGCGTGGCCGAAATCACGCCTTAGACCCAAGTTTTTCGGTGGCATGTGTACTACTCAATGTGTGGAGTGTATGAACAAATTTGTGAAAGATTGCTTGAGGAAGGCATTAAGTTGTTTGAATGCATACCACCGAAAATAGTCAAAGAAAGTGCTTACAACTTTGAAAAGTCTTGAGCAACATGCTTCCCAAATTTACACACATATGTACTTTTTATTGGTACGTAACGATATCAATGCTTCGTCAGCACTCATTCATGAAAAAATAATTCATAATTTCGGAGGACAGTTGTATATTTTAGTGAAATACAGTGAACCGCAAAATAATTTGAGTTGTATATACCTTGGTGGAAAGATGTTCGAATAGAGTGCAACTGTCATAATATGAAAGCGAAGGCATCCCATGTTGTCCTTTGTTTTATGTGATGAAATGAGACCATGTTATGGAAATTTCCTCGTCACTCATAATGAAATGATGGACAAAAACTGCCTGAATGGATATTGAATATGCATTTATGTTAGAAAGTAGTAGTAAGGAGGTTGTATAAACACTGCGAGATATGAAAGTTTATTAAGTTGTATTGCCAACAAAGTGTGTTTGTATACATCAAAGAGCACAGATGGGTATAGTATTATTCATAAATTTTTCGTATTAAAATAAATTAATGTTCAAAAGGCTTAGCACGACACTAACATAAGAAAAGGGAATTCATCAATAAAAACACAAAAGGCAAAACATGAGTGCAGAGAAAAAAGACTAACTATTATTCTTACCTGAGAAAAGAGGCATAAAGTTTTTTATTTGCTTGGTTTCTCAAGAAGATTTGCCAAAGATCATCTTGAGTATAACCAGGAAGATATATAGGAATAGGCTCCACATAACCCACACTTGAGTAATATATATTCAGTGAGGCATTGTTAATAAAGATAAGAGTGACCTTAGGCATTTTCAAAAATGTCATAGAGATTAAATAGTAAAGGTAATATGGTGAGAACCTTTTTCCCATCCTCTAACACGCTCCAAAATTGTCAAATATCAAGTAGATCATATTTCCATTAGCCTTTCCTGACCTCTTTGGAGGCGTAATTTTTAAAAAAAAAAAAAAAAAAAAAAAAAAAAAAAAAAAAAAAAAAAAAAAAAAAAAAAAAAAAAAAAAAAAAAAAAAAAAAAAAAAAAAAAAAAAAAAAAAAAAAAAAAAAAAAAAAAAAAAAAAAAAAAAAAAAAAAAAAAAAAAAAAAAAAAAAAAAAAAAAAAAAAAAAAAAAAAAAAAAAAAAAAAAAAAAAAAAAAAAAAAAAAAAAAAAAAAAAAAAAAAAAAAAAAAAAAAAAAAAAAAAAAAAAAAAAAAAAAAAAAAAAAAAAAAAAAAAAAAAAAAAAAAAAAAAAAAAAAAAAAAAAAAAAAAAAAAAAAAAAAAAAAAAAAAAAAAAAAAAAAAAAAAAAAAAAAAAAAAAAAAAAAAAAAAAAAAAAAAAAAAAAAAAAAATCTTTTATGAACTTGTCTTTAGAGCTATCAAAGATCAATAACGCATCACAGGAAACCATGATGCCTTAGGTCTAAGGACTAATTTGCATTATTGCAACTATGAGTTCTCGTTTGACATATAGATAAATACTACATACGAGAACTACGGTTAATCGCGTTCAGTGTACTCATTAACAAATGAGCGCCCACATACTCGTATTAGTGTCAACTACACAAATAGTTTGAGACTAACTATCCTCGCATACATAATATGTGCTAATATTGACAGTTTATCAATGCCCATTTGATAACCTATGATTAGGAACATTTTGGGATGCTACAATTAGAGATTCCAAATCTAATCTTCTTTAGATTACTTTATCTCTTATTTAGCATACCCTAGACATTTTTTTCTTTACATGATGTAAAAGATAACAAAATAAATTTTCCCTTTAAATATCAAATGTATTGGCTCTTAGGGCACATTTCTAACACTTGTATCTTAGAAATATTAATGGTGTTGTTTTATAGTTATGAATCAAAAAGATCCTGCATGGAAGGATGCGAAAGAAATAGAGGGGGAAAAAAATACTTGAGATGCACTGGAGAAATTTCTAGACTTAAGCGTCATTTGGGTCAAACTCATCATGGTATGCAACCATGTAAGAAAGTTCCTGAGCATGTGAAAAAAGAGTGTGTTGCAACTTTGAAAAATTTTTAGCTTGAAAAAAGAAAGAAAAATGAAATGCTTAGAGAGATTGGGGATGGTCCATGAGGAAGGGCTCAGAGTATGGAAACTTCATTGGATGAAGAATATGGAATCCCCGGTACTAGCAGTGTTGCAGTTGATGAGGCTCTTAGAGCACAACCTAAATCAAAAGAACCAATGGATAGATTTGTCACTTTAGAAGCTCGGCAAAGTACATTAAATTTAGCATACAAACAAGAAGAAAGAAAGGAAGTTTGTCGAAAGATTGGTCATTTTTTCTTCTCTAGAGCTATCCCATTTAATATTGTAAATGATCCATTTTGGCTACCTATGGTGGAACGGATTGCCGCATATGGTGTAAGATTTAAGCCTCTATCAATGTATGAGTTGAGGACTTGGATCCTTAAGGAAGAAGTTGGATGCATCACGTAGGAAATATTGTTAAACAGCAACACTGAAGCTACACTCGCCTACATGAAAACGAAAGCGTCAGTGGATCTTGAATTTTTTTGTAAGTTCAGTGTAGATGAGGAGAATAGGCTTGCTAACTTGTTTTGGAGAGACTCTACCTCACTTTTGGATTATGTTGCCTCTAGAGACGTCCTCATATTCGATAGCACATACAAAACCAAAATATATGACAAGCCTCTAGTGTTATTTGTTAGTTCAAACAACCACCGGGCTAGTGTTAGTTGTGCCCTATTGCTTGACGAGACCTTTGGAACATAAAAGTAGTTATTGGAGACATTCATATCCTCAATGAAAGGCAAGAACCTATATCAATACTGACGGATGAGGATGAGGCGATGCGCAGAAAGCAATTGAGTATATGTTGTCCATGTGCAATCATAGGTTGTGTTCATGGTACGTGGCCAGGAATGCACAGAATAACTTAAAGGATGAAAAATTGGTACGATCATTTCAATCATATCTTTGGGAACCAATTACAGTCAATGAGTTTGAACAGAAATGTGAGTTTTTGAAGGACAAAGTTACTACACATAAACAAAAGGATGGTTGCAAATGATGTATGCAAAACGAGATGCGTGGCCGAAATCACGCCTTAGACCCAAGTTTTTCGGTGGCATGTGTACTACTCAATGTGTGGAGTGTATGAACAAATTTGTGAAAGATTGCTTGAGGAAAGGCATTAAGTTGTTTGAATGCATACCACCGAAAATAGTCAAAGAAAGTGCTTACAACTTTGAAAAGTCTTGAGCAACATGCTTCCCAAATTTACACACATATGTACTTTTTATTGGTACGTAACGATATCAATGCTTCGTCAGCACTCATTCATGAAAAAATAATTCATAATTTCGGAGGACAGTTGTATATTTTAGTGAAATACAGTGAACCGCAAAATAATTTGAGTTGTATATACCTTGGTGGGAAAGATGTTCGAATAGAGTGCAACTGTCATAATATGAAAGCGAAGGCATCCCATGTTGTCCTTTGTTTTATGTGATGAAATGAGACCATGTTATGGAAATTTCCTCGTCACTCATAATGAAATGATGGACAAAAACTGCCTGAATGGATATTGAATATGCATTTATGTTAGAAAGTAGTAGTAAGGAGGTTGTATAAACTGCGAGATATGAAAGTTTATTAAGTTGTATTGCCAACAAAGTGTGTTTGTATACATCAAAGAGCACTAGTATTATTCATAAATTTTTCGTATTAAAATAAATTAATGTTCAAAAGGCTTAGCACGACACTAACATAAAGAAAAGGGAATTCATCAATAAAAACACAAAAGGCAAAACATGAGTGCAGAGAAAAAAGACTAACTATTATCTTACCTGAGAAAAGAGGCATAAAGTTTTTTATTTGCTTGGTTTCTCAAGAAGATTTGCCAAAGATCATCTTGAGTATAACCAGGAAGATATATAGGAATAGGCTCCACATAACCCACACTTGAGTAATATATATTCAGTGAGGCATTGTTAATAAAGATAAGAGTGACCTTAGGCATTTTCAAAATGTCATAGAGATTAAATAGTAAAGGTAATATGGTAGAACCTTTTTCCCATCCTCTAACACGCTCCAAATTGTCAAATATCAAGTAGATCATATTTCCATTAGCCTTTCCTGACCTTTTGGAGCTTAATTTCCCCGAGTTTCCCTCAAGATTACCAAGAATGCTAACCAAGGCTTCGCAAAGAAAATTAACAAAATCATATGGGCTTTCACAGCGCTTTGCACTTGAATATCCATTTACTGCATTCTTTTAGTGAAGAAATAGTTGATTCAAAATAGACTCAAACAATATTCGGGGATTATAACAGTTAAGGCAACTTGAATAAACAAAAGGACGTTTAAGATGCCTAGATATCTCTAGTACCATACTAGTTTTCATAGTATAAGTGCCTCCATATACAAAGATATGCAGCATGGGAGAGTTCCGTGGACCCAGAAGTTGTAGAAGCTCCTAGATCTGATTACGTCTACTAGGAAAACTAGACAATAGATCATCCAAGCTAAAGGATTCTCTTTCTTCTCCTAGCACAAGGTCACTAAGAGTTGGCGGTTGAGAACTACTTGCATAAGTTTCTTCAACTACATTCTTTGAAGGAGTAGCTGCAATGGAGGATCTGGTTGTACTCCTTATGGGTTTAAGGCTTTCCTCTTTACCCATGTCTAAATTATGGTAGAAGAAGAAAAACAGTAACATTAAAAACAGCAGCATTAAACACATCATTTTAAACATCTATTACTGTCACCCGAGAAAAAATGAATCTTTAATTTTCTCATGAACCAAACAAGATTAGGTTAAAAAATGAGGGGAGGGAAGAAGCATCGAGTAGATAGGGACTGAGGATTACTTGATCAAAAAATCCACTGGAATATTCGCCGGAGAGAAGAAAGAAATGCTGAGGAGAAATAGTAACTGTATGTAACAGCACCCTCTGATCTGAATTGAAACCCTAACAAGTTCCTTTTTTTGTTTTAGTTTACTTTTTTTGTCAGAAATCATTTTATAAGGTTAGTTGACAGAATAAGGAAAGTGTGGGAAACTTCTTTCTTGCCCAATTATCTCCAATTTGAGTGTGGAAGGCCTATTAAGGTTTAGGAACCAAACAATATTAGTTAAAAAATGAGGGAATGGGAGAAGCACCGAGTAGAGAGGGGTTGAGGATTACTTTATCAGAAAACCCACCGAAATGTCTGCCGGAGAGACGAAAGAAATGCTGAAGAGAGGCAGTAACTGTATGTAATAACACCCTATGATCTGAATCGAAACCCTAACAAGTTCCTTTTTTGTTTTTATTTCATTTTTTTGGTTAGAAATCATTTTATAAGGTTAGTAGACAGAGTAGGGAAAGTGCAGGAAACTTCTTTACCGCCCAATTATCTCCAATTTGAGTGTGGAAGGCCTATTATGGTTTAGGGTTTAGAGTTTAGGGAACCAAACAGGATTATGTTAAAAAATAAGGGGAGGGGAGAAACATCGAGTAGATAGGGGTTGTGGATTATTTGATTAGAAAACCCACCGGAATGTTCGTCGGAGAGACGAAAGACTTGTTGAGGAGAAGCAGTAACTATATGTAATAACACCCTCTGATCTGAATCTAAACCCTAAATTTTTTTTTTTTTTTATTTTTTATCAGAAATCATTTTACAAGGTTAGTTAGGGAAAGTGCGGGAAACTTCTCTCCCGCCCAATTATCTCCAGTTTAAGCGTGGAATGCTCATTAGGGTTTAGGGAACCAAACATGATTAGGTTAAAAATGAGGGGAGTGAAGAAGCATCGAGTAGATAGGGGTTGATGATTACTTGATCAGAAAATCTACTGGAATGTTCACCGGAGAGACGAAAGAATTGCTGAAGACAAACAATAATTGTATGTAACAGCACCCTTTGATCTAAATCGAAACCCTAACAAGTTCCTTTTTTTTGTTTTTATTTTATTTTTTTGATTAGAAATTATTTTATAAGGTTAGTTGATAGAATAGGGAAAGAGCGGGAAACTTCTTTTTCGCCCAATTATCTCCTATTTGAGTGTGGAAGGCCCATTAGGAGAGCATGTGTGATGGGCCGATGGCCAAGTTACAGTTAATTTTCCCTCCATTTTTTTGTTTTGTTTTTGTGTTTTTTTTTGTTAACTGAAAGGGATAATTTGAACTTTATACGTTTTTCATCATTATACTAGCCCTTTGGGCAGCATGTGCCATTGTTTTTTTAAAAATTGTTTTTTTAAAAAAGATAATGAGTAATTGTGTTCCATAAAAATAAAACCATTATTTGATTTTGTTTTTAATATGAAAAAAATCTAAATTTACCATATTATCATGATTTAATTAATAATTTCAATTCTAAATGTTTGTGTGAGCTTCAAGTATCCCATTTTGAGTAAGTAAGAACGAGGTCCAAAGTATCCCAAAGGAGAAGCTAGTCCTAGGGAATACTCTGTTCTTCTTCAAGTGGCTTTTCAGATTTATGGCTTCTTCCAGCGACTTTTCCAACGGCTCTTTGGATTTCTACGACGGTTACATGAATTGATACAAAGACCAATGAGGTTGGCATGGTGAGTCATAATATTAAAGGGTTTGACATGAGAGACTTGTGATGTGGGAGCTAAGTACCCATAAGTTTAGCATGAGAGAGAGATTTACTAGAGGAATGGAAGATTATAGCAGTGTGTTGTGGCATGGTTTGGATAGTGTTTGAGGCTTGATATGATATTCAGGGAATGGTGATAACGTCTAAAGGATGAGCTTACCTCTGGCTATTACTTGGTTGTGTAGTGGTCGTGTTGGTGTTTTGGACTTGAAGTGGTGTGAGCACGATGCAGAGATTAAGGGTTGGTTTTGGGTGTTTCTAGCAGCTAGAGGATGAGCTTGCCTTTAGCTACTGCTTGGCAATGTCTAGGTTTTGCGATGGCTAAGGCTTGTTGGTGTTTTGCAAAAGGTGAGCTTGCCTCTTGGTTGTTTCTAGATGATGTGCAGGGTTTTGGAATGGCTAAGACTTGGTGTTTTCTAACAGAGGGTAAGCTCGCCTTTGCCTTTCTTCTTCCTCCTCATGGCAATCGATGCCTCCCATTTATAGGAATTGGGAGTTCCTGGCAGTTGTGGAAGATTGAGTTTTTAATGTAGGAAGGTGAGGCGTTGGTGGTTATGGGTTTAATTGAGTTTGACTGTAGTTTTGCTGCTGGATGGGTTTAATGCTGAAAGTTAGGAAATTGGAGATTGGGTAATAAAAGTTGGAAGGTTGGCAGAAAGCGTGTTCTCTATGCTTACCCATTCAACGGGCTTAAGAAAATGAGCTTGGGTTTTGGGGTTCTCAAGAAGCCCAAAATCTTCATTCTTTTGAACCTTTGATAGGCCTCATGGATCCTTGTAATTATCTACACCACAACCTATTCAACAAGTCCCATGCATATATGTGGCTTGGGCCCACTTAAGCTTTATCGGTGATTTAGCATAGGAAAATGTATTATTGGCTTGGCATGACATGTACTGTTATAAAACTAGTGGGAATTGTAGAGAGTAATAAGAGGAAGAGAAACACAGAGAATTTTTTTCTATGAACTTGTATAAACCCATCTTATTCATCTTTGATAAGCGCCTATTTATAGGCTTACAATAAAGGTATTTAACCCACAATTTATAACTACTAGTTACAATAATAAGGGCATAGGTTACAAAGCAATAAGGGATGGAGGTAATGGATGTGATGGTGGTCATTCACATTCCACATATTTATAACACTCCCCCTTGGATGTCTACCATACAATGACATTATTGTCTCATTAAAAACCTTGCTTGGAAAACCCAGTGGGACAAAACCGAAGAGAAGGGAAAAAGAGTGCGACTTTCTTCTGGATCATTGATATGGTGTTGGACACGCTTATGTTATCTCGTTAAAACCTTGCTAGAAAAAACCCAGTGGGACAAAAACCTAGTCGAATGGAAAAAAAGTAGAACGCGCATATGTCCTGTATGTAGTAGAATTGGGATGCTCCCCCTGATTGATATCTCCCCCTGATTTTCATTAACTTTTGGAATTTAGGCTTTAGAAAAAGTTTTGGTAAAAAGGTTCGCCTGATTATTTTGTGAAAGAGTTTAACTCCAATCTCTTGGCTTTTTTTCTTCTTCTAAAACTATCACCATTGATGAACCCTTCTCTGATTTGAGCAATACAAGCAACATTGTCTTCATACATGATTGTTTATCACACTATTCGACCTGCTTTTCACTTTTCTAATGATTGAACTCTTTAGGAGCATCAACAACTAATTTAATAGTTAGAATATGTTACAACAATATCAAATTTGAATTCAAAATACTCAAACTCTTAGTGTTAACTCTTAAATAAAAATATTATGGTACTTTATAACCTTCAAGGGGTCTCTTCATCCGATATATCTCAAATATTTCATGAGTCTTGAGAATTTCCATGTACCATATAGCCTTAATAAATATGCATTTAACACATGCTATAAGTTTCACGTTTAAATAACAACTGCACTTATAGAAAAGTGGATGCATCTACGATGAGATGCGAGACTAAAACCATGTCTCTCACAGGAAACCTTATGTCATATTATTGATCTTATTTCACTTCACAAACACCAATTCGTAACCTTCATACTTAACATTTGGAATTTGGTGTTTGAGCTATAGGTTCAATATCCCACACTTCATATTTAGTGATAGATGGAATTGCCTATTTCTATTTTGGCCAATCACTTAACTTGTCGACATTCATAAGGCAAGATGTAATATAATCATAGCCCTTGATGATTGTAGTAGCTACTAATAAACCAAATGTATCATCAATTCGTGATCCCACAATTCTCATGTGCATGCGCACGCATAATTTATAAGCATCTCATTACTTTGGGGTACCAATGTCTCTTCAGGGGCTTATGTTGTCACTTATGGGACAAACATCTCTTTTATGATGAATTAATTAGAATATGTGGATCATAACCTCCTAAAGAGCGTTATTTTTATAGGGCTTGAATTTTTCAAATAATCTCCACTTCTAGGGAGTTAAGTTTTTAGAACCTATATTTTTGTTATGCTCCAGGCATGCATTATATATAGTCACTTATTGTCATGTTAATGGATTGTGATACATGAATATCAATCCATGCTTGCATATTCATAACTTCATATATGCATTATCTTGATGAGACAAAAGCAGACCGATTCAACAGTATTTCACGACGTTCTTCAGGAACTGCCATTTCTCCCCCTAACAGTCGAAAAATTGTCTCAAAATGTAGGAAAATAAACTCACCATCATTATCAAGTCAAATTGACTGGATTGGATAATGTGGGAGTTGTGCTCGTAAGCATCTTGACCAGAGACAAATATGTAACCATTTTAGTAGGCACATTCAATAAAACTAGTGAAGTGATCCATAATTAAATGTTGTATAGACTCACAAATATCCCTTTGAATTATTTAAGGAAAGATGGCTCAAAGTCAATTTTTGACTGAGATGATCTTATGACAACTTTTATTTGTGAGCATTCTTTGTAATGATATTTGTTGGACAAGACAATATTTTGAGTCTTTAAACGATGTCCTTACAAATTTATAAAAATCTTATGTATCATTGTGGAATATGGATTGCCAAGACAGTCATACCACAACATAAAAGTTATTCAGTCAATAAACTTCTGGTTTATGACATCATAATCTTCAACTACTTTAATAGTTGTGTAATATTGGGGCCTCATGAACTTCTGGTTCATGACATCATAAACTTTCTATCCACAAAAGAAGGTAGGAAGTTTCTCCAATAGACGCATTTGGCTGTCAATATTGGGGTGGTAATACAAAACATTACTATTGTAAAACGAAATTAACTAATAACCCAATATACATAAAATAAAATGAGTAAAGTGGTATAAACGAGGAATAAAATAAATAAATTAAAGACTATGAAATTCCAAGATAATCCAATATTAATGTGGATTCAATATGTAGATAAAACAAGAAGTTTAAAAATTGGATTTCCAACCAGTTTAAGTTCACAAATAAGTAATAAACTTCAGGTTCATATATAGTATTAAGATCCATGAAAAACTATAAACTTCAGCTTCATATCAACATATATTCGAAACTTCAGGTTTGAATACATAGATCTAAATAAATTGAATTAATAGTTGTGCTTTGAAATTCATACTCAAATCGATATATATGCACTCGAAACTTCTGGTTCGGGTTCTTAACATATGTAGGCCTCATGGAATTCTAATTTTGATTCATACAAAATCAAGAAGTTTCATGTCCTTATGTGCTTTTTAAATTCGTAAAACTTCACGCCCTCAACTATTTGGAATTAAATAACTTCAAGTTCTGACTCAATCAAAATAACTCTAGGTATTAATCTAGTTATATGATAAGGATCAAGGAACTTCGGGCCCTGATTTTTTGTATAATACAAACTCATCATAATAATTAAGATCATACATAAATTAAATAAACAAGCAAATAAAAAAATAATGGCATTATATTCATGTGTAATAAGAATAAGAATTTGTTTTATTTATTAAACAAGCATGATGAAGTCTGATGGTGAGTACAAAGAAACCATATATCATGTGATGACTCTAGCTCATATAAAAAGAAAGAAAATTCAGAGAAAGAAAACATACCAAGAGCAATATCATGATGATAACATATTATAAAACTAGAGGGAATTGTAGACAGCAATAAAAGAAAGATAAATACAAAGAATTTGGTCTATGAACTTGTATCAACCTATCTGATTCATTTTTTATAAGCGCCTATTTATAGGCTTACAATAGAGGTATTTAACCCACAATTTATAGCTACTAATTACAATAATAAGGTTATACAAAGCAATAAGAGGTGAAGGTAATGGATGTTATGGTGATCATTCACATTCCATAGATTTATAACATATACATTATTTTCTATATTTATTTAATGAATTAATTCCCAAAATATAGCTTGGATTAACGCATGACCAAAATTATATGTTATATTAGGCTTCTTGTGACATTTTGGGCCTCAACAGTTTGTATATTAATTAAGGATATTTTTTGGTATTTTGAATGTTTCACAATTCTATGTATTTTGCTTTATATATATGAAAAATTCCCATTAAGACCTCGAGTAGTTTTAGTAAGTAATTTTTAAACATTTAAATTAGTTAATGGTATTTATTGGGATTTTGGATTTTTGTTGTTGTTGTTGTTGTTGTTGTTGTTGTTGAATTTAGGAAGGAAAAGTGGGAAAACCTAGGGATGGGCACGGTTCGGGTTGGATCGATTTTTGTCTCAAATTGGAACCGATCTAATACTATTCATCCAGTTTGGTTTGGTTCGGTTTTAATAAAAAAAAATTCAAAAACTGTCCGTTTCGGTTTCGGTTCCAGTTCGGTTTTGAACTGGATTATAAAAATTATTTTTTTATATTGTTTTTTAATACAATTCTCAACTAAAGTATTATTTTTTTACTTAAAAATTAACAAATTATTCAATTTCATATAAAAATAAATATTAAAGTGAGAAAAGAGAGATATTTTGAAACTGAACTTGGATAAATATTAGTTTTTCTTTTTGTGAAATTAAAAATATAGCATTAAATATAATTATATTTTGAAATTATATATTTTTTTAATTTGACCGGTTTGGTTCGGCCCGATTCGGTTTTTGAAGACATGGAACCGGATTTGGAATCGGTCCAAACCGATCCGGTTCAATTTTTGACCGGTTGTTGACTTTTTGGTCAACTCGATTTTTTTCCGGTTTGGTTCGGTGTTGTTAGGCTCGGATTTCCCATTCGCCGGTTTGAGAGCCCACCCCTAGGAAAACCTCACACACTCGCCATGGGAGCTTGAATCCAAAACCACTTCAAAACACACCAAAACTAGGGCTGACAATGGGTCGGGTCGTGTCGGGTTCGTGTCGTGTCGGGATATTAAACGTGTCAAGAATGCTCAACCCAAACCCAACCCATTTAATAAACGTGTCGTGTTGGGTTCAGGTCGTCTTTTATCGTGCGAGTTTCGAGTCGTGTAACGGGTTGATAAATAATAACATGCATGTTACAAAAGTCACAACTGAAAAAATTTAAATAAAAAAAACGGAGAAAGGAGAGAAAATATAAGGAAAAGAAAGAAAAAAAAAGGGGAGAGAGAGAGAGTGAAAGAAATAAAAATAAAAAAGAGAGGAGAGAAAACTAAAGAGAAGGAAAAGAAAAAAAAATAAGAGAGGAGAGAAAACTAAAGACAAGTAAAAAAAGAGAGGAGAAAAGAGAGAAGGAAAAGAAATTAAAAAAGATAGAGGAGAAGATAGACGGAAAAGAAAGAAAAAGAAACATTATAAATGTCAAAAGGCATAGTATATAATCACAAAGTTGTATCTAGCATGGTGGATAAGTTGTTGGAGAGTAATGAGGATGGTGGAGGTTGACGTGTCTTACACGGGTTGACACGACCCGTTTAATAAACGGGTTACACATGTGTTTTAACGGGTTGGCGGGTTGACCCGAAACCTACCCGTTTAATAAACGGGTCAAAACGAGTTGACCCGAAAATTACCCAATTATTAATCGTGCGGGTTTGAGTCGTGTTTTTTCCGTGCGGGTTTCGAGTCGTGTAACGGGTCGTGTAGGAAATTGTCACCCCTAACTAAAACCTTGAACCAATCCAACTAACACCTCATTGGTGAATTTTGAATGATTCACCAATTGATTCTATTGGTTATATTTTGAAACAGAGAACGTCAGTGTTTAAATTTCGAAAATTGTGTTAAGACCTTTGAGCAACTCCCGAACAAATCAAAAGTACGAGAATAAAAATAGAACTTAACATGATAATGATAAGTGCAAACATAGCTTAACATTATAAAACTTTCATTCTTAATGCCCAGTTTACAAATAAAGGAAAAATTTAGGGAAACCCTAGAGTAATGTGTATTCAATCCTCATAAATAAGAACATAACTTTAGCCAAAAAGAAGAAAATTAAACATAGAAATAAGTATAACATGTGAGTTATTGCCAGCCCCCCTGTGAGCTCTGTACAAGTCAAATTCAAGGCAATAAAAGAAAATATCATACAATGGCAACATCAAACTTTGAGACTAGGAATATGAGTGAACCACAGTTGGACAACAAACTAAACATATCATAACCCCCTCATCTGTGTATCTTCCCCCCCTCTCTCTCCCTCCAACCCTGTGGTATTTTTCGTCATCATCTTAAGAGTCGCTTGAGGAGCTGACCCGGATAAAGGATCCTCGGCTCTGGCTGCCAACTATCACTTCTTTAAGTCGAGATATGGGACCAAGAATCCTTCCTGTTTTCTGTCAAGATGATGAAATGACAATGTCAGTGTCATTAAAAATTGAAGGTTTAGGGTGAAACAAAGTGGGGCAAAGGAACCAACGAGCGTTGGTGTGCACAATACGCTACTGCTAAAAAAATGCAATTGTATGACCATACGATAGAAACAAAAGAACAAAAACCCACACGAGTTACAACATTATGAATTAACACATCTACGACATTTCATGATACGCTAACATCATGAAGTTTTACGGCATACACAATAAACATCACATACTATTGAAATTACAAACTGTTATTAGATTAATTTAAAATCAGTAACTATTTGGTATTTAAAATCCTAGATGGGAGGACGTGATTAGCCATTCAGTAAGCAAAAAGTTATTCAGAAACACTCTTTAATACTACCTACCAGCTGACCCAAAAAAAAGAGGTATGTACAGTAAAATCTATTATGTGATACCTTAACTAACAAGAGAGATCAGGCAAAGGAAAACCAACAAACATGAGATGCATCAATTCCTTAACCAGAAAAAGAAAAGTGAAAATTGAAACATACTCATAATAGAAAACAATAGCAATCAACAAACCTGATCATTGACGCTCAACTGCCACTTTTGTTGTAGAGCCTGCCACCTCTCATTCTGCCACCGCTGCCCGAGTAACACAATCCCCATCACAGCTGCTGCTACAAAAATAGACCAATATGCATTTGCTTCTTTTGCATGACAATACAATGAAGCAGCTCTTCTTTTCCACCACGCTCCACAAGGCAGGCCAGAAACGTCAAATTTATCATCATGCGGTGGCCTTGGGGATTGTGAGATGTCCTCAGAAGAGTCTAAACCTTGTTCTGAAGGTTCAATACGTCCAGGAAGAGCAGTGCTCTCACCAAATGGGGTTGAACCACCAAGAGCTGTTTCACCATCTAAACTATATTTAGCAGCATCATATATAGTCTGCTCTTTGTCAGCCATAGACCCTTGCAGTGTAGCGCCTTCTTCAAAGTCTGTACCACCAATGGATAGCATATTATCCTTCTCTTTTGAAAACGGCATTCCCGTAAACTCATCCGGAACATTCAATCCTTTCAAAGTCAAAGTGTCTTCCTCCTTTCCACTGGACCTACCACCTTCAATACCTATCTCAGCCTCAGTTACTGCATCCTTGTCCACATGTTCATTATGAATTTTGCTGCTGTCAGTCTCCACAGGCAAATTCTCGTGCTGACTGGGTGGAAAAACAAAGTGACCAGACATGAACAGAGCATGAGAAGTCTCCGCTTGCTCTCCATAGGTATTGATCTTGCCGTCATTGTTCAATTCAACTCCTTGTGGACCAGGAGAAGCAGCATATGTTGATTCTGTAAGTGAGACAACTTCCCATCCATTCCCACGAGCAGTACTTTCCTCTACCTCCTCATTATCTGCCATCTTAAAGCAAGTTTCCTATTTCACATTTATAAGGCCCAAGTAGACACAAAATAACCAACAAGAAAAAACCCATCAGAATGCCGTAAAAAGAGATACAAATCAAATCAATTCTTATCTTCAGGCCATGAGAATGTCTCGGTCACAACACATTTACGCAGTAAAATGCATGCAGAACATTACTTTAAAGCAAAACTATCTTGTGTATGATCAAGCAACTTTCTTTTGGGTCAACAACAATGAATTTAAATGACTTAAACCTGACTTAAATAAGAATAAAAAGTTCATACATAATCTATTTTTGGCCGCTAAAATAGTAATTACTATGGATTTCATTTCCACCCATAAAAATCAAACTAACCTTATATTACACAGAACAAAGTTCTCATTTCCATTAAAAAACCAGATTACAGTATATAAGAAATGACAAATACATATTTGCAATTAACAAAAGTGATGTTTTCCCAATTCCTAAAAAAAAACGAATTAATTCCAACCAAACACATACTTAATCAATAGAAAATTCACTAAGAACCAACCCTCAGTATCAACAAAGAAATCCTCAACAACCTAATCACATGCTGCTATGCAAAAACAAAAAACAAAAACAGAACAATTTGCATGTGAATAATTGGATACAAATAACACCACCAAAACTCCTCCAAACAATCCAAATCTAAGGCAAAAGCATCAACCAGTCCCAATAAATTAAAAACAATAATCAACTACCAAAAAATAAACAAATATATCAGATTAATTTCGAATACGAAGAACTCACAGAAACTCGTGACGGGATTAGATCTAGAGGAATATATGATCGAGAATCGCAACGACGACGTTGTGATGGGATTGAAGGTTAAAAAATGAAAAACTGTATCGGGAAGTGGAAGAATAAATGGAGGGGTATGGGGTTTTTTATACGCGGAGATTTCTCGAGTAATAAGAGAGGGAGATGAAGAAGGAAACCGGCGGTACCGGTAAGGATAAACTGGACACGTCGGTTGACCGGCTGTATAAGGTGGGGTTGAGGTTTGTCGGCTAGCGTGTGTGTCTGGGTGAGAGATGTGATTTTAACCGGTAACGGAAACGAGGGGGCTTGCGATTGCGTGTGTGCCGAGCGAGGAACTCACTGCGTCACGCCAGATTTCTGTTTGTTAATGAGTTATGGTCATTTTTTGTTTTTTTTTTTTGTTTTTTTTTTTTTTTTTTTTCCTTATCCATCCATTTGCTATTTATTTACATTACCATATCCAACCTTTTAATGAAATTTTAGTGTCCAATTTAATGTTGTTTTTCAAAAGAAATTGAATCTTTGAATTTTTTTAAATCAACATGGGGGGTTTTGAACTTACAACCTCTTCCGATATTGAAAAGAGAAATACCATTAAACTAAGAGCTAATTGGTTGAATTAATATATTAAAAGACAAGTAGTTAAAAATTTACTATATTGCTCAAAAATCACTAAACAACTTTTAATTTTCAAAATATTTAAAAATTGACCAATTCAACTAAATATTAATTTAGTAGTGTTTCTCTAATAAATGTTGGAAGACATTGAAAAAGTAAGGTTAAAACGCTGCATTCAACCCGTTACAATACTTAAAAAATTGTTGTTTTATAAATCTTTGCTCTTGTTGTGTTGTTTCGTTCAAATTGTTTTTTTTGGGCCAATCTATATACAAATAATCTTCTAACTTGATGGGGATCGTTTATGTCGATGAGTGTAATGATGGTTCTCTTTTATTTATAACAATATTGATTTAACGTACAGAAATGAGGACTCGAACTTAAATACAAGGAGACAGATTCACTATTATGGGCAACTGATCTAACCCACGTTATGATGATAATCTTTGTTACTACGGTTGATTATCCAAATGAGTTAAGAGATGGGTGGGAAAATGCAAGTGAACCATAGCTTTCACAATTCGTTTTTATTTATTTTTCCATAATAATCTAATGGATATGGCAAATTGGCAATGATGGCATGGTGGTGAAAAACACAAAAAAAAAAAAAAAAAAAAAAAAAAAAAAAAAAAAAAAAAAAAAAAAAAAAAAAAAAAAAAAAAAAAAAAAAAAAAAAAAAAAAAAAAAAAAAAAAAAAAAAAAAAAAAAAAAAAAAAAAAAAAAAAAAAAAAAAAAAAAAAAAAAAAAAAAAAAAAAAAAAAAAAAAAAAAAAAAAAAAAAAAAAAAAAAAAAAAAAAAAAAAAAAAAAAAAAAAAAAAAAAAAAAAAAAAAAAAAAAAAAAAAAAAAAAAAAAAAAAAAAAAAAAAAAAAAAAAAAAAAAAAAAAAAAAAAAAAAAAAAAAAAAAAAAAAAAAAAAAAAAAAAAAAAAAAAAAAAAAAAAAAAAAAAAAAAAAAAAAAAAAAAAAAAAAAAAAAAAAAAAAAAAAAACACGAAGGGAGACTTTCTACTGCACCAAACATGGGTCAGTCTTTGCCAAACTTACTTTCCTCCCAGTAGTGTGAACCCCTGAAATTTCCACCGTCTTTCAGAAGTAAAGTACCTTTTCAGGAATTTGAGATGAAAATTCCTTTAAGAGATGATGATATTGCCTCTTTTACGTCAATATGCAGAGAAAAGCTTGGTGCCGAAAGGAAATGCATGTCCTCTGAGTCTCATCTTGGGTCCACCTTGAAAGGACATGCATGGGCCAATACACAGTTAATCACTCCAAATTTCTGAATAACCTAAAGGGGTCTATTATTAGGGCCATTGGCAAATCAGTCCAAATTCAAGGTCCAAAGAACAAAAAAGCTGCAGGTCTAAAAAAGTGGAAAAGTCGGTCCCACATGCATACGCAATGAGTCTTGTATGTCAGCATTAAATATGTACCCTATTTACATCAATGCCACTGCCATATACTTTTCCTTTTTGAGATATACCAAGTTTTTTTTCACGCTTTTTCTGAGAAGTAAAGCTGATCTGCAAATATTGGCTGTTCCCAAATATATAGTCCAATGGGACCCTTTAAGATTGCAAAATGTATGAATTAAGTGTGTCCACTTCATGATGTATTCACGTTGTCTTTTCTCTGTCTCTCTATGCCACTATGATTTGACACCGTGGCATGAAATGGACTATATTATCCACTTCATGACGTTTTATGATAAAAAGCCTAAATCATCTTTTGCCATCAGAGTTACCGAAAAAAAAATTTTAAATCTGTATTGCCATTAACTGATAAAAAGCTTAATTTGTATTCATTCGCTAAACTGATCTTTGTTGCCATTAATTGATTTTGTGTTATCTTTTAAATATTTTTATTATAACCTCGATGAAATGAGGGTAATTCATTTATGAACAAATCAATACATTGATGGGGACATAAAGCGACAGCTACAAGCCACGTGGCTTCTTATGGAGGCTCCGATTCTAAAATGTCATCAAATCCAATGGCTGTCCATTTTTTGGCTAAAAAGATTGAAAAAATATCAAAAAATTATGGAATTTTTTTCTATAAATACCTACCAATTATTCACTTGTCACACCAAATCTTCATATAAATTCATCTCCTTCCAATATTTTTCACTTTCCACACCAAATTTTCTACTATAAAATTTCATTTATGTAAAAATACAAATGACCTCTTCCATTGAAGTCGGAGGGTCGTGGACAAACGTTCTAAGCGGTCAAAATCTTAATGTTTTATTAATGAGGAGAAAAGGGTAACAAGTACAAAAAAAAGGGGGACAAAGTCCTAGAGGATTAGGCGAGTACTCTGCACCAATTCATGTTTTCACACATACTTTTTAAATGTTTTCAATTCATGTTATTTAAGAAAAAAATATAAAAAATTCAACACGCGTCACTCGAAAATCATTGTCGGAAAAATTATTAAGATTCCTTCAGGATAAGACGTGCCACGTGGACACAAAATCTTATCATAAATCTTGTCATATATGGCATATTGTCTCTAAATAGTTGTTTAATTAAATTAAACAATACATAGTTGTGGAATGTATGAGTGTTGTACCATAGTTTTCTCAAAATAATAAAAATACTAGCCTCTCTGCACGCGCTTCCGCGCATGCGAGAGGCCTTTTTTAAAATAATTTAATTTTTTTTAGAATTAAAAAGATAATGGGTAGTTGTGTTCCGTAAAAATAGGATCTCTTTTTTTTTTTTTTTTTTTTTTTTTTTTTTTTTTTTTTTTTTTTTTTTTTTTGAAATTACCATAGTATCCTCATTTAATTAATAATTTTAATTCTTAATGTCTGCATTAACCAATGACATTTTCTGGTATTTTGAATGTTTCACCATTCTCTGCCTTTTGCTTTATATATATATATATATAAAAGACCCTAAAGCATAGCCCTGCATGACTGTACACTCAATATATCAATTATCAGCAAATAACAAACAAGTTTTCTAACAAAAATCATCAACAACCAAATCACACGCTACTCTTCAAAAAAATAACAACAAAAAATCCTCCAAACAATTAATGGAAATCTAAAGCCAAAGCACCAACCAATGCAATAAAAAACAACAGTCGGCTAGTGGTGTGGGTGGGGTGGGTGAGAGCTGAGAGAGAGAGGAGACAAAGAAGAAAGAGGAGGGGAGAAACAGAGATCGATGGACGCGCAAGAATAATATGTTTTTAATTTTAAATAATTGGGTGGTACAACACACACAGACGCATGCAAGTTCGGTATTTCAAAAGGCCCATTCAATTTCCCAAGACTCTTTTTGACTCAGGGCTCTCCTTTTTCATTATTTATTATACCGGCCCCTTGGCAATAGGTGTTTTTTAAACACATGATTCTGGAAGGGAGACTTTCTAATGCACCAAACATGGGTGAGTCTTTGCCAAACTTAATTTCCTCATAGTGAACTACAGTGTGAACCCTTGAAATTGCCACCGTTTTCCAGAAGTAAATTACCTTTTCAGTGTGAAACCCTGAATTTGAGATCAAAATTCCTTTTTTTTTTGTCGAAACACACTTTCATTGAAAGGGAAATGACAAACCATACACAGCAGCCAAACAAACGACCCAAAGAACAACAGCAAAGCAAAACCACAACAGGAGCAGAAGCTACTAACCCACGAAAAACTACTAAACAAAGCAGTACCAGGCCAAACCAACCAACCCAGAAAAAGAGACACTAAGTTCCAGCTAGGACAAACACACTAGGACGCCACCCCAGAAGGCAAGAGTCAGATCCTAACTAGACAAAAAAATATTACACTTGTGGAGGACAAGGAAGACCATCGTTATGGAGCACGAAAACCAGGGAGGATGGGGGTCGACTGATCCAGACGTCAAAATTCCTTTTAAGAGATGATAATGTCGTCTCCTTTACGTCAATATGCAGAGAATAGCTAGGTGACTCCCCCAATTGAAAATTTGTTCTGTTCCCATATGCGCATGAACATGCAAACACATATACATCATATATGATAGTTCACGTTCAGTGTCTAGGATTGGATTGGATGAAACAACTCAGTAGAATAAACACATCTTGAATTAAGAAATGAAGTAAAGATGAAGGATTTTTACAATTTGTGCGGATTAGAACAGGTAAGCTATAAGGTGTTCGTGTCCTACCATTTTATAGGGATTAAAAGGAAAAACTTGCTTCCTGAAAACATTGAATGTAAATTGTAATATAATTATAAAAATGATTGAGAATGTAAAAGTATCTTTCCCAATTTCTCCAGCAAGACACAAAGGAATCTCATTCTCTTTGATCTGGAGGCTAAAGACACAAAGTGGGGGTGAAAGAAACATGCCTCTGTCGTGTCTTGGCCTCGTTCCATGTTGAACATGATTGTGTTTAGATCAACACCCATGAATCTCACCCCAAGAGCGCTAGTTCTCAGAACTTTAGTCCATTTCATTGCAAACTCAGCTACCGTATCTTGCGCGGGGAAAAGAAGCCCTTACTAACCCAAGGCCTATGAAATTAAAAAAAAGTTATTAAAAAGTTAGAAAAAAGAGTTTTAATAAAGTTTAGAAAAAAAACTCCAAGTATAGCCGCCCGGCTATACTATTTATTAAAAGAAGTTATAAAAAACCCCCAAATATAGCCGATCGGCTATACTATTTATTAGAAAAATTTAGAAAAAAACTTTTAAAAAAACCGAAGTATAGCCGTGCAGCCATAGTGTTTTGAATATAATAGTGTAACCGAAGTATAGCCGTGCGGCTATACTTCCAAGGTTCAGGTGTTGTAAATATGCAACCGTAGTTGAAGTAGATCCTGATTCAGATGAGGAACGTGTTGCTGGATGTGAAGTTTGTTTTAGAAATTCCCCCAAATGAAAATGGCCAATGTGTTAGTTATCATGATCCTTATTATTTTCATGCCAAGATTCTTATCAATGGAAAACTCATCAATGACATATGGGTTAGGGATGAGGATCCAACAGAGACACAGGAAACTCGTATGTGGCTCAAATGTATTCCATTATCGGATTTGAATCCGCAAGGGAAAGGAAGAAAGACGCCAATGCAGCAGGGTAATACTAATACGTATAGATTTCAAGTAATATTTAACTTCCCAGACCCAGATGGAGGGCCGATAGGCTTTAAAAGCTGGGGGGTTCACCTATTAGGCCACCAGGTACAGGTTGACGATGATGATACAACGACGATGAATGAATCAACGACTAGTGTTGGGAAGAAGAGGCCTCGTGGATCAGAAGAAGAGCAATGGCTTTGCTCATCATCTTCAGAACCAACGGATCAGCCAAAGCAGAGACATATTGATATTGATGAGGACCAAAAGTACGTAAATTGATCCATTAAATGTTGAATGATATCTTTGCATTAATATTTTCTGGTCATATTATCTACTCTCTTCTTCTTCTTTTTTATGTTCAATTCAAATTTAGCAATTAATATTTTGCTGTGCATCTCTGTTATATGTTGTAGCAAACTTCAGTCTCTGAAATTCTTTTTCTCAGGGCTCTACATTCGATATTAAATTTTCAGGCAATGAAGTTCCAAAGTGGTTCAAGAGGTGTGGTGAATAGATGGCCTGCCTACTCTGGAGAGCAGTTTTTACGCACTGGTTCCATTAAAATAAATAAATAAACACAGAATTGTGATAAGTAATTATGTCGGCTTTATCAACAGCCTAAAATCCACTTGAATAGTAATGCATGAATATTCGGAGTGGATGTTGCTATGGAGTTAGAGAAGGGGTCATTATATTGCATGTCAGAAAACTTACCGGTATAACTACAATTCCTCTTTCAAATGCCTATTGCTCTCTGCTGGACTCTCATTCTCCACTCTCTTTTTCTCATTCTGGAGCTTCTCCACAACTTCCTCCAACGGAGGATCTCCAGGTCTTCGAAAAACTTGATCGCCGATCTTTATTTCATAGGCCTCTGGTTGGGTCAACACAAACTCCTTCAACTGGAGAATCAAGATAAAGAAAGGGATAAAACAGTATAAGAACAAAAGAAAGCAGAAGCTCGTGATCTACAATAATCAGGTCATCATCCAATCAAAGAAATTCATGATCTGCAATAATAAGCTCATCAATTCAAAAAAGTATGCTAAGCAAGACATTAGTTTAAATGGCATGCAACACCTCTCTTATGGAACAGGTAAGCCATGCCCAAGACTTCAGATTTTTCTATTTCTTGTGAAAAAACATTCTTAAGAAATGAAAGACATCTACAATCAAGGAGCAATTTCTCCAGCAGGACACAAGGGAACCTCATTCTCTTTGATCTGGAGGACAAAAGACCCAGTGTGGGGGGAAAGAAGCATACCTCTGTCATTTCTTGGCCTTGTTCCATGTTGAACATGATTGTGTTTAGATCAACACCCATGAATCTTACCCCAAGAGCTCCAGTTCTCAGAACTTTGGTCCATTTCATAGCAATTTCAGCCACCGTATCCTGCGAGGGGAAAAGAAGCCCTTACTAAATTTGCCATTCATTTGAAGCCAAATTGAAAGCCTCAATCAATTACATAGCAAACCATCAAAAGTCATTTCTATTACCTATAAAGCCATTACATCAACTTAAGCTCATATTTAACATCTAAAACAAGAGACTACAACAAGAACAACAACAAAAAAAGATATAAATTTATAACAAGTGCTGAATTCATGGTTCCCAATCTACAAAAAGTGATCTGATAGTGCATTTTGGGCAGCCTGCAATTTGCAAAACTAGTACTTATCAGTAGATTTCCACACATTAATCCACAATTTCCAATTTTAACCAAATTCTTTCACATAAATGTTCAAGTCCAATTCCAGATCAAAACAACTTCCAATCAACTTCTCAATACTCTTTCAATTCAATAGTGAACGTTTGATCCAAATTCATGCTTAAAAAACTCGTTCCACTGATTACACTAAAACTATCAAATTGAGGTTCCAAACTATCAGAGCCAACATAGAAACTAACCCAATAAGAACACAAAGGGGAAGAGCAAATTCGGATTACCCGAGTCCGTTTGACGCCCAGCCGGAGCTTCACAAACCCAAAAGCCGGGCCGGTATGCCGCTTCATCATCTCCGCCTGGATCTCGGACATGTCCATTTTGGAAAAATCAGGGGGCGGATCGAAATCGGAAGAGGGTGTGGATTTCTTGCCCCATTCTTTCCAAGTATCGTCCTCTTCGTCGTCTACGACGTCGTCCAGGTCGTCAGTGATGTGGACTCGCCGCTTTCCTGCCTCCGTGAACTGGAAATGCTCGCCATTTTGGGAAAAGATGAGGGGTAGAATGAAGAAGAAGAGAATGGCGAAGAGAAAGGGAAATGGCGGTTTTGGGTTTGGCATGCTAGTGTGAAGTGAAGTTTTGGGAAGGGGTTTGGAAAATGTTGGGAAAATGGTAGTTTGGGTATATATAGGTTTTGACATTTGAGTGGCGTGAACACTTCTTTTCTTTCTTTTGGGGGGAACATGTACAGAACAACTTTTTTTTTTTCCTTGAATGCATGTTAAACAAAGTTAAAGAAACTGTTCATAAAAAAAATTTAATTAGATTATTTATTTTTATCCTTATAAAGGAATTGTCTCTTTTCTCCTTTTTTTTTTCTTTTTTTTTCTTTCTCTCTTTTTGTTTGGTAAAAAAAAAAAAAAAAAAAAAAAAAAAAAAAAAAAAAAAGACATAGGATCCTTCTCAATATCAAGCCTTTCTAGCCAAGGTACTTCGCTAATTCTAATTTCTAATGATTTGTTGGGACACATATTAGCCAACAAATTTGTTAGGATTAGTAATGTAAGGTTCACGAATCCCTTATAAGGACTTTTCATAAGGTCATATAGAATTGTGAAATATAACATCTCAAGATACGCGTATAATTCTAGGCATTTAGATTTACTATATGTACTGACAATGTCACTTATGGTACTTTTGTTGTTATATGCCAAAGCTTGTTTAGGGCTCATAGTTAAGTCTATGATTGTTTGCTTTTTGAATAGGGGTATTTGAGTAAGGGACAAACTGAACGGTTCGGATCGTGAAATGATATTGTGGAGTTATTCCAAACAAATGGTTAGTGTCGTAATAATTAACTTACTAACTGGTTAATGCTCAAGTGATACTGTATTTATATTGCAACATGATTATGAGAGAAATGAGCAAAAATATTAACTTAGGTATATGTTTTCTTCTTTTTTCAACCTATACATATATATAACTGTTAATACTTTTTTATTAAGTCTTTGTGGTCACTATCTCTCGAAAGAGTTCCTCTGAGTGACATTGAGTACCAAACAAAACAAAGAGCCTAGTTAGCCAAATTGAAAGATTGATTCTCATTAGATTACCTCATCCGTTATATAAAACTCCATTAGAAACATCAAAGAAAAAGAAAAAAGTAATAATATTTCCTTCTCATTAGGATAAGCATATAATAACAGAAAGGAATGACAATTTATTAAAACACACAAGTGACGATTAAATTTACTTTTCATGCTAGCTATAGTATCGTGCATGAGGTTATACATGATACATGATTCCCTGGTAACTGATCTCATTCAAAGAAAGGTTGAACAGACGCAATAAACAGTGTTTTCTTTGACCTCAAAATTAATAGGGGGTGGTTGATGAAAAAAGGGCAGTGTTCAAATCCCTACTGAAGTTCCTATTATCTTCTTGTTTTTCTTCAATGTTTCCACGCATAACCAAACCCGAATAAAACCAAAAGAAAAAGAAAAAACACATCTTTCCTTCCTAACATGCATCTTCTCATAATCACGAAAGGGAGGGAATGAAGTCGTGTTAGGAAAGAAATCTCTTAACTTCTGTAATTATGTATTTACTTGTAGTGCACACCACGTTCTGTGGGTCATACCAGATTTCTAGCCTAGATTAGTTAGTTACTTAGAATAGCTACTCGTGTATCTTTATATTCCTTGTATTGTCCTGTTTGATGATTCATTCAATAGAGAAAATATTCTCCATATTTCACTTTACATGGTATCAGAGCACCATCCTGGTGACTCTTGATTTATTTTCATGGGTGAGAAAGAAAGTTCCTCCGCCGACGAAACTTCGGTTATGGAGTCTTCCAGCCCTCTTTTTATTCATTCTTCTGATCACCCAGGCCTTCTGTTAGTTTCCAAGAAGCTTAATGGTGACAATTATGCAACCTGGCAGCGTTCCATGGTTATTGCCCTCACTGCCAAGAACAAGATTGGATTTGTTGACGGCTCCATCGAACGACCATCATCTACCAAGAAGTCCGATAATTACACTCTTTGGGACCGTTGTGACAAGATGGTTCTTTCTTGGCTATTAAATTCAGTTGACTCCGACTTGGCAGATAGCGTGGTTTACGCAGCAACCGCAAGAGAAATTTGGCAAGATTTTGAAGACAGATTTTCCCTAGGCAACGCTCCAAGAATTTTTCAGATCCAAAAGATGATTGTTTCTCACACTCAAGGAACTATGTCGGTATCCTTATATTACACCAAACTCAAGGCTTTATGGGACGAGCTTGCTTCTTATAATCTTTCTCCTACTTGTTCTTGCGGTGGTATGAAAACATATAATGAACATAAAGATCGAGATCACATCATGCAGTTTTTAATGGGTCTCAATGATTCTTATAACACAGTGCGTGGTCAAATTCTACTTATGAATCCTCTCCCAAGTGTCCGCAAAGCATATTCTTTGATTACTCAAGAAGAGAAACAAAGGGAAATTGGCTCATCCACAACTGAACACTTCTCCATTGCTGCAGCCGTCCGAAATACCAAAAGTAATAATTTTTCCCAAAATCGATCTCGTGGACACGACGCCAACGGCAATCCTCTCCATTGTAGTTACTGTGATCGCGACTACCATACTGTTGAACGCTTTCACAAGTTGCACGGGTACCCACCCGGGCACAAACTTCATCATGGTGACAGAAACGCTGCTTCTTCGACTGGTGGTAACTCTGGCAGCAACCGTATCTCTGGGTGCAACTATGGTGGTAATTCTAGCACGCGACAAACACCAACAGCCCATCAAGTAGACGCCAATTCCTCTTCAGTGCAACAGGCCAGTCAGCTCCCTTCCACTAGTCCAAGCGGTCCAATGGCAATGGGTCACACCTTGCCACCAATCCAGTCGACCTCCAATTTGGAATCTGTTCTCTCTGGGCTCACTAATGAACAGTGCAAACAACTTACAGCTGCTATGGTAAAATTTTCCACACCTTCATCATCCGACAACTCCACTGCTTTTGCTAATGCGGCAGGTCTGTTTAATCCTTCTCTCCCTTCCATTAATTCCATTTTTTCTCATCCTTGGATTCTTGATAGTGGAGCTACGGATCACATTACATCTGACTCCTCTTGTTTTGTTGACAAGAATCCCTCACATGTACCCTCCGTTAATTTACCTACCGGCTCATCTGTACCCATTGATTCCACAGGCACAATTCTTTTTAATAAGGACATTACTCTCACAGATGTTCTTCATGTTCCATCTTTCAATTTGAATCTTCTGTCTGCCAGTAAAATTACTAAATCATTGCGTTGTTGCATCATCTTATTTCCTGATTTTTGTGTCTTGCAGGACTTGGCTACGGGGAAGATGATTGGTTGGGGTAAACAAAGTGGTGGTCTATACTACATGTCACCGCTCTCACCATCACCAATTTCTTGTCACATCCCACCGTCTTCTCATCTTTGGCATCAACGGCTTGGCCACCCATCACCTGCCCGTCTCCAACTCCTCCATAAATTGTTTCCTTTTATTTCTGTTCCATTTGACAATACTTGTGATGTCTGTCCTATGGCCAAACAGACTCGGATTCCTTTCCCTTCAAGTAATATTACTTCCAAGTTTCCTTTTCAATTATTACATTGTGATATTTGGGGGCCGCACCGCATTAAATCTCATTGCGGTGCTCGTTTTTTTCTCACTATTGTGGATGATTTTAGCAGATGCACTTGGCTTTTTTTAATGAATCAAAAATCTGACACTCAATATCTTCTCAAAAATTTCATTGCTTTTGTTCAAACTCAATTTAATCTCTCCATTAAAACAATCCGTTCTGATAATGGTTCTGAATTTCTTTCCATGCAACCTTTATTTCTCTCCCATGGCATTGAGTTTCAACGCTCTTGCGTTTATACTCCACAACAAAACGGTGTGGTAGAACGCAAACACCGCCACATTTTAAATATCGCCCGTGCTCTTCGTTTTCAATCCAATATCCCATTACATTTTTGGGGTGAATGTGTTCTTACCGCTGTCTACATTATAAACCGTTTACCCACTCCTTTATTATCCAATAAAAGTCCTTTTGAACTTCTCTATAATCGTTTACCTACCCTCACTCACCTTCGTGTTTTTGATTGTCTTAGCTATGCTACTGTTGTCCATCCATCTCATAAATTTGATTCTCGTACTCATCGTTGTGTCTTTATCGGGTATCCCACAGGTCAAAAAGGTTACAAACTTTATGATATGGATCACAAAAAAATTTCTTGTCAGTCGGGAAGTCCACTTCTTTGAACATATTTTTCCTTATCAAACTCATTCTCATACTCCTTCCTTTGTCCTGCCACTACCCCAAACTGACTTTCCTCCTTCCTCTGGGCCTGCCGAGCCCCCACCAATGCCACATAACCCCCAAGCCTGCAACCAACCGGCACCCTTTGCACCTGTGGACCCACCATCTCCTACTTCTTTCGACTTTGCCCCTGTAGACCCCCCATCTTCCACTACCTCTGACCCAGCTCCCACCCCACTTGAACTAGGTTCCTCTCCCCAACCCGACACCACCACTGCTCCTCTTCGTATCTCTACTCGCACCAAACATGCACCTGCGTGGCATCATGACTACCATATCTCTCATGCTATTGTTTCTCCCAACCAATCTTCTGAACCGACGTCAATTCCTACAGGTACAAAATATCCTCTTTCTAACTTTCTTTCTTACTCTAATTTTTCCCCATCCCATCGTTCCTTTTTAGCTCACATTTCAGGTCACATTGAACCTGCCACCTATGATCAAGCTGTTTCGGATCCTCAATGGTGTGCCGCCATGCAAGCTGAGTTGGATGCCCTTGCCCTCAACAATACTTGGTCCCTTGTGCCTCTTCCTACTGGTTACAAACCCATCGATTGCAAATGGGTTTATCGTATTAAATATCACTCCGATGGCACCATTGAACGCTACAAAGCGCGTCTCGTTGCCAAAGGTTATACTCAAGTTGAAGGTGTGGATTATTTGGAAACCTTTTCTCCGACTGCCAAACTCATTACTCTCCGCTGCTTACTTGCCATTGCCGCTTCTCGCAATTGGTTTCTCCATCAGTTGGATGTCCAAAACGCGTTCCTTCATGGCGATCTTAATGAAGAGGTTTATATGGTTCCTCCTCCCGGTCTTCGCCGACAGGGGGAGAACTTGGTATGTCGGCTCAACAAGTCACTATATGGCCTCAAACAAGCTTCTCGCAATTGGTTCTCTAAATTTTCCACTGCTATTCAGAACGCAGGTTTTTAACAATCCAAGGCAGATTATTCACTTTTCACCAAAGTAAAAGGTACATCATTTGTTGGCGTATTGATTTATGTCGATGACATACTTGTTACAGGGAATGATGCACAAGAAATCCAACTTCTCAAAGATTCTCTCTTGCGTCAATTCCGAATCAAGGATCTTGGTAATCTGAAATACTTTTTGGGCATTGAAGTGTCACGTTCTCGAAAAGGCATCTTTATGTCTCAACGGAAATATGCCTTGGATATATTGCAAGACGCAGGCCTATTGGGAGCATGACCTGAAACCTTTCCTATGGAGCAGAATTTGAAACTCTCACCTACAGAAGGTGATTTGCTTAATGATCCGACTAGATACAGGAGACTAGTTGGGAAATTAATCTATCTTATAGTAACCAGGCCAGACTTGGTATATTCAGTGCAGACTTTGAGCCAGTTTATGCATCAGCCAAGAAAACCACACTTAGATGCTGCACTCCGAAATTTTGAGATTTGTTAAAGGCACACTTGGCCAAGGTTTGCTCTTCCCTTCTTCCAGTAATCTTAAGTTGAAAGCTTTTTGTGACTCTGATTGGGCAGGATGTCCTACCACCAGGCGGTCTGTCACAGGATACTGTATTTTTCTGGGTAACTCTCTAGTTTCATGGAAATCCAAGAAACAAACTAATGTGTCACGATCATCTGCAGAGGCCGAATATCGCGCTATGGCTACAACTTGTTTGGAATTAACTTGGTTGCGTTATATTCTACAAGATTTGCAGGTGTCACAAGATGAGCCTGCACCATTACACTGCGACAATCAGGCTGCATTATACATTGCCGCGAACCCTGTGTTTCATGAACGAACAAAGTATATTGAGATTGATTGTCACATAGTTTGTGAAAAATTACTAGCTGGCATAATTTCTACTTCACATGTTCCTTCACGTGCTCAACTAGCTGATATTTTTACGAAGGCATTGGGAAGAAATAACTTCCAGTTAATGAGCAGCAAGTTGGGACTTCACAACATTCATTCTCCAACTTGAGGGGGAGTGTTAGGAAAGAAATCTCTTAACTTCTGTAATTATGTATTTACTTGTAGTGCACACCACGTTCTGTGGGTCATACCAGATTTCTAGCCTAGATTAGTTAGTTACTTAGAATAGCTACTCGTGTATCTTTATATTCCTTGTATTGTCCTGTTTGATGATTCATTCAATAGAGAAAATATTCTCCATATTTCACTTTACAAATCGTAATAAAGTAGACTTTTGGACCTCTTACGTACACAAAGCTAGAGTAGTAGGCGTAATTAAATTCACGATGCATAACTGGCAACTGCAGAGTTGTAATAGTTTCCGAAGAATCATCATCATAAACAAGGTAGACTACAATCTCCCTAGGCGAGTATGGGTGATAATGATAGGATGTAGATCTTATGGCACCTGTCTTTTTTTGATAACTTGGGCATCGTATTGCTATTAGGATGGCTCCCTTTACAGCCTTCTACCTTTGTACTCTTTTTGTTTGTTTGATCTAATAAACTTCTCCCGCTTAAAAACCCTCTATAACTGTTTATACGCTCTCATTACATATTTAGGTATATATATACTAATTAATTGTTAGTACCACTTTGCAAAACCCAAGGGGAGGTGTCGTATAGCAGTGTAGTTCGGAAGTCCGAGTGTCGTATCCACAGAGAGCGGTGTAAAGAAAAAAACAAAGCTGAAAAAGAACAATTGTGATAGAGAAGTAGATTTAAGCAAGATTTGATTTAAAGAAAATTCAATTGATTAACACTAAGGCATTGGGGTTCCACTTTTAACATAAGCATGCAACTCTTAATAATTTGATCCTCAAAATATTTTCCATTGTAGTTGTTCAAAATAATTAAAGCTCTTTTTAATTTCCTTTAGAAGTATTTTAAGCATAACTTGTACCATTGGCAACAAACTATCAAAAAAATAATCTTCATCAAAATTCTATTAATCTTTGGTAATTCTCTTCTCTTTTAAAAGCTTGAAAGTTTTTACTACACAATGGAAAAAACATGATTGAACCCATGAAATAGATTATCAAACATTCATCAATTAATTAAAAAGAAAATTACAAATTCCATTTGAACAAAAACTACAAATTCATATTAAAGCTTAAGTTTGGATCAAACTAATAAAAATTACACACTCATATTAAAAGCTTTCTCCCTAGCTAAGGCTAGGGAGTCAGTTCCCCATAAAATAAAACTTAAAACAGAAATTTAAAACTAGAAAGATAGAGGAAAGAGAGAGAGCTCAAGAGTTGTGGAGCTTGGTGTGTTTTTACAATGCCGTAGCTCCTCCTATTTATAGGAGAATGGGAGCAATTCTTTTTTCATCAAATCCCTCCATTCATGAATTTAATATGTCTTCCACTTGCCATCAAACCAATTGCCAATTTGCTTCCTTTACTTATTCCATAGTGTTGGTGACTCCATTCTCCAAATTCTTCATCTTTTTGTTTCATTGGTTGTTGCATACATATTGTATTTCTTTTCTTCTTTAATTTCTCGCACTTGAACACTTTATCATGCACTTACATGCATTTCTCTTCTCTTTGGCCGGATGGTGCATCTTGCATTCTTTTCAATTCTTTTCTTGCTACCATTTGCCTACTAGCATCCAATGATCTTTTTCAACCTTAAGATAAACTAATGAAATCATCATCAATTATGTAATTGGTATGTAAGCAAGTGAATAAGTGAAAAACATTCCTAATTAACTAAAATTGTAAGAAAATCAATTACTAACAAATATATTTAGGGATAATAAACATGATAATTTATGTGCTCATCATTAATGTAAGAATACGGGTTCACGATTATGGCCAACTGACCTAACCCAATGTTAATCTTTGTTACTATAGTTGATTATCCAAAATGAGTTAACAAATGGGTGGGGAAAATGCAAGTGAACCATAGCTTTCACAATTCGTTTATTTTTTATTTTTTATTTTTTTTCCCATAATAAGCTGATATGGCAATGATGGAATGGAAGTGAAAACAAAGGAAGTGGGTTGCAAATATTAAAATAGACCTCCACCATACTCAATCATTGCGGTGCCAGCGTGACACCTCAAACCTTTCCCTTGTCGTTTCAAATTTTAAAGAAAGATAAGATAGTGATAGTCTGCACATACGGCATGTCGTCTATGAAGATTGGGCCTCCAGCCAGCCCAGTAAAAGCCCATCCAAAAGATGCGGAGGATAATCAACCACTACTTAAAGACCTCCGTCGAGAAAATTAAACGAACTGCAGACCACTGAGAGAGAGAGAGAGAGAGAGAGAGAGAGAGAGAGAGGAAATGGGGGATTTATATGCTTTGGATTTAGCTGTTGAGAGAGCTCCCTCTCTGCTGTGAAGGTTGTGTTTTGTGTTTGCACATTTTCACAAGCTAGAAAATATTTGCTTAATTGATTGTTCAATTTGTTTGAATGGTGGTTATGCGTAGGCTGCTAACGTGTGATGGCCAAGTCTATTCAACGGCGTGGATTCAACTTTGGAGGATTGGGTTGTTGAGCAGATGCACATAGTAGGTCCTCCATATCGTTATTTACTGTATGTTAACATAACATTTTAGACTGTCAGACGTTAACCCGTGTTTGAATGAGAAGGAATAATGAATTATGAGAATCTGCTGTGAGGTTGCTGCTGTAGGCGAGAATACCTTCTATACGAAAGTCATCGGTCGCGGAAGGGATTATAGTGGAGGGGATATTGGAGAAGTGGTCAGAGCTGAAGCCTGTGATTATGGAAGAGTGGGGTGAGGAGAGGGATGCTCTTATTAATCTTTTTGGGAAGGTCAGGGATGAGTGGATGGATGAGGACCTAACAACTTGGATTGGTGCAAATAGGTATCCAATTCAGACTTTTCTTGCAAAGGAGCCATTTATTCATATACAAAAGACAAAAGCATTTTAAGGTTGTTTGATTTCAGATTTAATTTATTCTTGTTTAACATAAGGGTTTTTATCTCGAAACGTCCATGTGGTTCACGAAACTATTAATCCTTTATGCGGGGTTAACATGAACGTCATGGACGTTTTGTGATTTAAAAAAAAAACCCCTTACCATGATTTTAGTCTCTTCTCAAACTTGTTGGGACTGGGAGGGCTCAATGCATATCTAAGTAGGAGATAATTTTCTTGCAGATTATATCCAGGTGTTCCTGATGCATTAAAATTTGCAAGCTCAACCATATACATTGTCACCACAAAACAGGTGTGAGTATCTTTGTTTTCTCTTTCTGACACAATCCAATTAAAGACTGTAAATGTTGTGGTAGCTGTAAATGTAAACTTTTGCCCTTTGTCATTCTCTCACTTTCTTATTTCCTGTTCTTCTTCCACCTATTGCAGAGCCGATTTGCTGATGCTTTACTGCAAGAACTTGCAGGAGTTACAATACCGCCTGAAAGAATATTTGGTCTTGGAAGTGGGTTAGTGGAAATTAACTTGATTTCAATCTGTGTTTGATTGTTTTGGTACTTATGCCTGTGGTTGGTTTTCCCTAATGTGGAACATACTCTTATGTATTGAATTCCTCTTCCAGTCCCAAGGTAGAAGTATTGAAGCAGCTTCAAAAGAAACCAGAACATCAGGGGCTGAAACTGCAGTAAGATACTTTTCTGCTTCGTATTTGAATTTTTTTTATAAGATACGAATTTTCGATAATATACGCTCAACATTGACCAGCTTTGTCGAAGATCGACTGGCAACCCTAAAGAATGTGATCAAAGAACCTGAATTGGATGGTTGGAATTTGTATCTAGGTAAAATTCTCCCTTTACCCTTATCAAACACAGACTCTTTAACTTGTCTATTTATATTGCTGTATGTGCTTCATTGTGGTACTCATTCGCTGCGGTTGCTAATTTGGGATGAATTGGATCAGGTGATTGGGGGTACAATACACAGAAGGAGAGGGAGGAGGCAGCTACAATTCCCAGGATTCGGATCCTTGAGCTTTCTGACTTCAGTAAGAAGTTGAAGTAGCTTCTTTTCATACCGTTCTTCTTCTTATTCCCTATCCAGCTGTGAATGTATTAATTCATTTAAACTGCAAATTTGTCGGAGACTTAGAATTTTGCAGTCAGAAATTTTATGTACTTCCTCTGTTGTAATCTGTTGAACAGAATTTGTCCCCTTTCAAACAAAGAAGCTGAGTATTATTGAAGTTGTTTCTGGGTTTTCATTCTAATCAATGGTGAAATACTTACCTTTTACACCTGCAGGTGACTAACTGGGATATCCCGCACAGATGAGAAAATGGTAAATAGATGGCCTACTCTTGAGCAGTTTTTATGCACTGGTTCCATTAAAATAAATAGATAAAAACCGAATCTCGATAAATAATCACGTCTACAATTGTCATTTTGCATGTCCATCGGCTTCATCAGCAGCCTAAAATCAACTTGAATGGTAATACATGAATATTCGGAGTGGAGGTTGCTATGGAGTTACAAAAATGGTCATTATATTACATGTCAGAAAACTTACAAGTATAGCTACAGTTCCTCTTTCAAATGCCTATTGCTCTCTGCTGGACTGTCATTCTCCACTCTCTTTTTCTCATTCTGGAGCTTCTCAACAACTTCCCCAAAAGGAGGATCGCCAGGTCTTCAAAAAACTTGATCGCCAATCTTTATTTCATAGGCCTCGGGTTGGTTCAACGCATACTCCTTCAACTGGAGGCTAGAGGGAAAGAAAGGGATAAAACATTATAAAGGTATCTTTTGACTTCTGATGCCGATATCAAGTTATCTTTGCTTTCATTAAGATTTCGACTTCTCTGCCTTCTCCTCACCCTCCTCATGGTGGTCGTCGTCACGATCGGTCCAAATCTAAAGCCAAAGCAGCCACCAGTGCAAATTGTGGTACATTCTTTACACCTTTTTCCCGGAAACTGTTTCTGCTGTCATCTGTTTGTATAGTTCCTTCTGAAGCTTCACTTCCGCAATTTTCATCTGTCATAAAGCACATCTCATAGCCAATCCATAAAAATTTACTTCCTACTTAATAAGCGTTGTCTCTTGCAATTGGCTCCATCATTGAAACCTTGATTCTAAAGAAGCGTAATTTCTTTTCCTTTTTTTACATTTCATGACTTTTGATGAATTAGTGCACAAGTTGTTCAAATTAATTTCCTAGTGTTGTTATTAATATGTACATCTTTTTGTATAAATAGAAAAGCTAGTGCCGAGAGCAATATCCTCTCCCCTGTTTTTGCTCTGTTTTTACCTTCTTCATTTATATTTCTATTTGCTTGTGTTTATGAGACTGAGATACTTTATAGCCCAATGAAGAATACAGCAAACTTGAGCAGGCCCAGTGTATCATCAATTTCTCTTTTCTTATGTTTTAAGACAAGTATTTTCTTTCTTACACAGACGAAAGATAATGACATATGTTAACTCAAATTCCATTGTTTTATTCATAACAACAATACAGTAAATGGCAATTCTACGTCTATATTTCCTACATTGTGAAAGAAAAACACACCATGAGGTACACAATAACATCATACCAAATAGTTCATGGGAGAAATTCCCGTTAAGTTCTTACAAATAACAGCACAACTAATCTACTAAAATGGTTCATTTATTTCAGTGAGATCCCTTATCATCACTCAAATACTCTCGAAAGCTAGTACAAATAGGAGTCCTTCATCGCATCCATCTTCAACTGAAGGGAAGCATGTCGTCTCAAAGGTGCATGCGCTAAAGACAAAGGTTAAACAACCCATAAGATTAAAAGAGATAAATCACATAAACTAAGGGCCCATTTGATAATAATTTCAATTTTAGTTTTTAGTTTTCATTTCTTATGTTATGTAATATCTGCATGTATATTTGAGGTTAAGAACAACTAACTTGCTTAATTTAATTTCATAACTAGTATGTAAGAAAGATAGTAGTAATTTCCATTTATTTATTAAGGATCCTTTGCCTGATGATTTCTACCTTCACGTACAGCCAATCGTTTATAAAGGTCAAGAAATTGAAGTACGTATATCTGCATGACCTGTTGAGCAGAAGAGTGCCACAAACTCCCCAAAATCCAACAGCAAACCCAAGCCCCATGCTAATGTAAAATCCTTGTGTTATGAGCCCATCTTTGTCGTCTTCATTCACCAACACAGATTGTCCTGGACCTTTTTCCTCATCAGAGCATGTCATTGGAAGCGGTTCTCCACAAAGCAGAGTATTTCCACCATAAGCAGAGTCAAAGGTTTGGAGCTGAGTGCCTATTGGAATTTTTCCAGACAAGTTGTTTTCTGACAAGTCCAAGTAACCAATACGATTTATCCAAGAAATACTTATTGGAATTTTGCCATTTATCTGGTTTCTTGATAAATCAAGAGAATCCAACTCCTGCAAATTTCCAATCCTTGAAGGTATTTGACCTGTTAATCGGTTTCTCGACAAGTTCAAAGGTACCAAACCAACAAGATAAGTGATTTCAGTAGGAATCTCCCCACTCAACTTATTGCATGATAGATCAATACTCTTTACAAGTTCAAGAATGCTTTGGTATTTTGACCTTACTCCTTTCCATGTTAAAAATGCTTCATCATCATAAGGAAAAACATAGACTGATGATTCTCCCACCTGAATTTCATTGGAATGTTTGATACTTGGACTTGAATTCTCCTTTTGAGTCAAAGTAGTCCAAGTGTTGAGACATTTGGGTATAGTTCCAGAGATGTTGTTCATCGACAAATCCAAAATTTGAAGATGTGTAAGATGGCATAACTGTGGTGGGATGCTCCTATAAAACTGATTAAATCGAAGGATAATGATAGCCAAATTTAGAAGATTTTCCCCTAGCCATTTAGGTATTAATCCTGACAATTTATTTTCCCCAACATCAACAAGTGTCAACATTGTGCAATTCTTCAATTGTGAAGGCAACTCTCCGACAAATCTGTTATTATTTAGTTTTAGTGTCATGATACTAAACAAGTATCCCACCGTGGTAGGAATTTTCCCAGATAAAGAGTTGTTGCTCAAATCAAGAAAGACTAATTTTTGAAAATGGATCCATGGTTGCTTGAGAGATCAAGATATTCTAAATTACTCTTCTCGGTTGTACTTGTGCACAATAATGAAGCTGACCCTGAAAATTTATTATTGGACAGATCTAGCAATGACACATTTGATAGGATTGAAGGGATTGGACCCTCCAATTGGTTCCAACTCACATTTAAAAAATCACATGCTAACTCTGATCTCAAATTTCCTCTAATTTGATTGCGAGACAAATCCTTACGCACAATGTCATTTCGCAAATCCCAAAACCAAGTTGGAATGGTATCAGAAATTCCAGCATCAGAAATATCCAGCCAGTTATAACTTTTCTGAGTTCGAAGCCATTTCGGGAAATACGGCCCCATCTTACAAGACCCCAATCTTATCGTATCCAATTGAAAGGGAGGAACCCAATCAAAACTGAAGTTTAAAACTAGTGAGTTAGAGGATAAATCCAAATACCTTAATTTGGAGAGTTTCGAGAAATAAGTTTCAGGTATTCTTCCACTCAATTTATTTTCCGAGAGATCAAGAGAAACAATGTTGGTATGAGTACCGGGCAACCATTGGAAGATTGATGAGTTAAGATTGTTTTTGGAGAGATCGACATGAACAAGAGATTTAGAAGAATTCAAGAGAGAAACAGAGGATATAACTGGAGGAGGAAGATTACACTCCCGTAATGCCAAGTTTGTTAGTTTGGGAAGCATATTAACTGCTTCCAGCCAACCAACAACATCACTGAGATTAATGAAACGTATTTTAGACGAGAAAGATTACGAAGCCAATAGAGATTTTTTGCATAAATAGAGCCAGAATACATGAAAGGAAAATCATCATCTTGAATAGGAAAATCAGATTGATATCTAATATCGAGATGATGCAAGTTTCTAAGTTTTCCAAGTTGATATGGAATTAAACCTCCAAAATTTGCTTCAGAGAGATCGAGGTATCTTAAATTGCTCAGAGATCCAATGAAATCTGGAATTTGGCTCCGACTGAAATGATTGGAACTAAGGTCCAAATATTCCAGATGCTGCAACTCAACCCAATACCAATTAGTTAGTCACCAATACCAATACCAATTTTTGAATAACCTAAAGGGGTCTATTATTAGGGCCATTGACAAATCAGTCCAGATTCAAGGTCCAAAGAACCAGAAAGGTGCAGGTCTAAAAAAGTGGAAAAATCGGTCCACATACATACGCATTGAGCCTTGTATGTCAACATTAAATATGCACCCTATTTACATCAATGCCACTGGGTAATGATACAAACAGACGCTGCCATATACTTTTCCTTTTTAGATAGGCTTAAATGTCGAAATGGTCCTTGTATTTTACCTTATCGGCCAATTTAGTCCTTGTTTTATTAATTTGGTCAATTTAGTCCCTATGTTTGTATTTGTTAACAAATTTGATCCTTTCCCCCAAAATTATGTTAAAACCTAAAAAAAAACATTTAAAATTAATTTAAAAATCTGTAATTAATTATAAAGATTTAAACTCAAATAATAATAATGCTAAAATGATTCAAAACCCACACAACCTCAACCTCCAATGGTTTCGATTCCTGTAGGAAAAAAAGAAGGGTTTTTAGTCGAATTGATGCCTACTCTTTTCTTGCCTCAATTTTTCTTCTCTCTTATGTTTAAAATTTTCTCATACTCTACCCTTCATCTCTCTCTCTTCTCTCTGATCCATTGGTCTGAATGTTGTCGACTTATGCTGCAACGAGGATGATCAATAGAAAGTAGAGCCATCAAGGTTATGGTGACCGGCTATGATGATCTTCATGATTTTTCAGAGAGAGAGAGAGAGAGAGAGAGAGAGAGAGAGAGAGAGAGAGAGAGTTGTTGTAGTTCAAGTGGGGTTGGAATGGTGGTGAGGGGGCTATGGTTTTGGGGTTGGAGTGGTGGTGGTAAGGGTGGCTGGGTTTGGGAGGTGGTTGAGGTGTGTGCGAGAA